CTCCTAACCCCATCATTACCCCCCCCAAATAAAAACAAATTAAAAACAACAAACCTGCGACGCGTGTGTGGCTCAGTCGCACCTCCATAGCGAGGCATGTTGGTTTGCGCTGTGCGCTGGCTTGCCTCTTGGCAGTTGTGTTTTTTTATTATTATTTATTTAGTTATCTTTCTCGTCGGTGGCGAGCCACTGGACCCAGTGGGTGAGCTGCGCGCCCGACGAGGTCTGGGTCGGGTCGGCCGACCCGATGATGATCTCCATCACCGCCTGCCACCCGCCGTCCTGTGCCTCCTCGCCGTAGCCCCAGTCGTAGAAGTCCGGACACACGCCATACCAGGCGCCGTTGCCGTCGGCGTAGCGCCACAGATAGCATTCGTCCCTCGTTCCGTACATGCACTTGAGGCTCGCGCTCCTGGCCGGCAGCTCGTTGCCCAAGTACCACGGGTTGCATGCATTGATGTCGTAGACCACAGTGGGCGCACTGCTGTTGGTGCCGAAGAGAGGCGAGGCGTCACCGTCGCTGGTCCTGCTGGCCGACGCTAACTCCCCCCTCTTGCCAGGAGTTGGCTCAGGTGAGGCTTCGGAGAGATCGAGGCCGGTGAGGACTTGCGCAGGCTCACGGTCGCCGTAGCAGAAGACCACGGCGCCGCCGTTGTTGCGCACCCAGTCCTTGATGGCCGTGCGAGTGTCCTGGCTCAGCGCTGCTCTCATCTGGGAATCGCCGTTTTCTTCTGTTTCGATGAAGATGACCACCTTGCCGTTCCACAGGGCCGAGCGCCAGGCCGCCTTGTCGGTGTAGTCCTCGATCTTGATCACGCTCTCGCCTTCGAGCGACTCGACGAACCGCGTCACAAGGACCGCCTCACCAGTTTCGCTGGGGTCTTCGCCACGCGTCGGTGTCCACAAAGTTGGGGTCGAAGCCGACCACGACGCTCTGCTCCACCTCGGTGGTGGGAACGCCACCGAGAACGAAAGAAGAACAACAGGACAAGAGAACGAACAGCAGCGCCACGGCGGAGAAGCCCATCGTCTTCTTCATGGTTGTGAGCGTTCGTGTCGTTTGGTCGTAGCGAGCCGAAACCCCTGCGACGGAGTGAACTGGACGAAAAAGGGGAAGCGCCTACCTTTGCTTCGCCGGGATTCCGAGAATTCCACCTCGAACTGAGATTTCGCCTTTCAACCTCCGACTTTTCATATTTCCGCTTTTTTCTTGTACCTGCCTTCAGGAGGCAGCCATGTTTCACATTCACTCCTTGGTGGTGCCCTTGTCCTTGCCCCATGCCTTGTTGAAATATATAGAGTGGTGTGTGCTAGACAATAGAGTATGTTTGAAAGGTGGCACTTTAATATCATTGGGTTAAATAAGTACTACTTATTTATCTGCCTTGGTTGCTACATTGACTCAGACTTTGATGTGGCTGAGTGCCTTGGTCAGTAGATTGGCAGCTGTGTTGGCAGTAGGACAGTAGTGAACAGTGATCACAGCTTAGCACCACCATACCATGCTCAACAACAACCTCACAGTGCCAATCTACAACAACAACCAAAGCACCCTGATGATTGTCACCTGGCTGACGCACATGGCGTGGTGGCAGAGCAGTGGCTGTGCTTCACTGGCAGGAGCCCTTGGCCATGTCGTGGTACTGGGGCACCTTGTCCAGCAGGCACCCCTTCTTTTGGGTCTTGATGGTCTTCAGGTTCTTCAGCAAGTCCCATCGACCCCACTTGTTCAGTGACACTGTGATCCCGCCCATTGTAGTAGCTGCATGCAGAACATGCAAATGACATCGCATGAGCAGCATGAGCAGTCGTTAACAACACATGAGAAACCACCTCTGTAGTTCTTGTACGTACTAGAGAGAGCAGTACGAGTTTGTGAGCGGTGCGCGGGGTAGATATCGATCTCGCCTCCGGCCACCAGGTCATTCGCGCAGTTGGTGCAGTAGTGCACCGTTCCGGCCGTCCTCTTGCCCCTTATCACCGTCTTCACTCGCATGGGTGGTGCTTCTGTTGTGCGTGAAAGAGGTTGTACAACAAGCTCCTCTTCGTTTCTTTTTCTCTCTTTTCTTTCATGATGGGCCTTGAACTGCGTTCGGCTGCTTTGGCCTGCCTGAAGCAATGCTCGAGAAGAGGCGTTCGTGTTGGCTTCTTCTTCTGCTAATGGATGGAACGTGGAGAAGACCCGACAGAAGTGGGTCATCATGGCCACTCGAAGACTTCACCGTCCTGGCCCCACGCGACCTGCAGCTCCTCGCCCGACCTGCGCGGCTGGCACAGCCTCTCCACGTCCTCCCGCTCCACCCCGCACGAGGTCAACTATCCCCCCCCCTCCACATCAGCCGCACTGCAGGCCAGCTTTCACTGCAGGCCTGTGTCGTGTGTCGTGTGCGACAGAAGGTACCTTGGCGGTGGCGAGATCGGGGCACTCGACGAAGACCTGTTCGACGACGCTCAGCGGCAGGTGGTCCACGCGGTCCAGGACCAGGTGTCGCAGCTTCGGGCACCGCAGCGGCGCGACGTCGACCGAGCGCGACCGGACGCCGTACAAGGACAGGCGCAGCAGGGACGGGCAGTCGATGGCGAGCGCGAGCCGATCACCATCGGCGGCGCCGCCTGAGCTCTCGATGTGCAGATGGTACAGGCTGGGGCAGCCGAGCGCAGAGAGCGCGACCAGGCGCGAGGAGTTGGCGACCACGACGCGCGCGAGCGTTGGGTGGTTGTTCAAGCGCAGGGCGGTGATGAACTTGCCGTTGAGCTGTAAGGCCGTCAGGTTGGGAAACCCTGCAGCCAGCATGGCGAACACCCATTCAGCCACGCACGCACACGCACGCACGCACACAGCTGCACACCCACAGGCAATGGGCAGTACCTGCACAGCTCATGGCAAAGGGCTCGCATTCGATGTTGCTCAATGACAGTTCACTGAGCGCCTCGTGTTGCTGGAGCGCATCGAAGGCGAGCGCGGGAAGTGGCACCGAATCGAGTTCCAACCGCGTGAGCCGCGGGAAGTGCCGCAGCAGACCGTCGAGCTCGCCGGCCCGCGCCAGCCCGTAGCGCGCGAGCGACAGGCGCGTGAGGCTCTCGCCCGCGGCCAGCCCCGTCACCTGCACCGCGGCGTCGTCGTCATCGTCCCCCGAGGCCACCGGTATGGCGCGCCTCAGCGTGAGCGTGTGGAGGCGGGCGAAGGGCCTTGAGGGGCACCTCATGACGCCGCCGTCGTCGATGTCGATCTCCTCCAGTGCCGGTGATTGCTCGCGCAGCGCGGCCGCCAGCGTGTGCTGGCCGACCCACCGCAGACGCTCGAGATCCAGCACCACCCGGCGCAGCTGCGGGCACGCGAGGCGTTCCAGCTCGAGCGCGGGGCCGTCTTCCGGGTCGCTCCCGCCGAGCTCGAGCCGCTCGAGCCGCGGGTGCGCGATCGCTACGCGCAGCGCGCGCGGCGGCGAAAAGGCCGAGGCGCACCAGCACAGGCGCTCGAGCCGGCCCAGCGCCGCCACCATCGCGCCCCAGTCGCGGCTGACGTCATCATCATCTGCTGACGTCAGCTCTTCGGTAGTGGAGGTGGTGGTGAAGGTGCACGACTCGAGGAACAGGTGGCGAAGGTGGTGGCCGAGGCCGGACAGGGCCGTCGTCAGCCCTACGAACGGGCACCGGATTCGGTCGAGCGTCAGGGTCTCGAGCCGCCCCGACATGGAGGGAAGTGACCACCTGCTCGCCGCCGCGTCGAAGTGGGCCAGCCGCAGCGCGAGCAGGCGATCGCCGAGCGAGGCGATGGCCCGGTCGAGCTCGGGGGTCGCGGCCAAGTCGCGCCCGTGGAAGCTGCACAGATCGAGCCGCACGAGCTGCGCGCGACAGGCGGCGATGGCCGTCGCGGCCTCGTGGCCGTGGCCCGTCTCGGCACACGGGTCTGTGAGTAGGCCCAGAGAGAGCTCGCGCAGCTCGGGCGGGGCGTGGCCGAGCCCGGCCCCGGCGCAGGCGTCCATAATACGAAGCAGCGAACGGCAGCGGATGCGCGGGAAGGGCGGGCGGGTGAGCCGCGGGCAGCGGCGCCAGCACTCCTCGAGTACCTCGAGCCAGTCGTTGGTGGCGCCAGTACTGTACCAGCGGTAGGGCACCGTGAAAGTGGTCAGCTTCTCCGTGCCGTCGCGCTCTCTGATTGGTGTATTATATATTAACGCCAGTGCCAGCCAGTGCACCATAGTTAATATGTACATTTGTAGTATTTAATGTATGTTTAAAATATTATTTATACATTTAAAAAGAAAGTGGTGGTAGTACCGAATAAAGCGGAGGCAGCCGATTGAGGTGACTTCGGTGCCAACGAGGCGTAGAGAGACCAAGGCCGGCAGACCTTGTCTGCCATCGACGTCGCGACGCAGAAGCCCGGTGAAGAAGGCGTCAGTCACCATTTTGTTTTGCGAAACGTCCAGCTCCTGCGTGTGGTGTCGTGTGTCGTGTGTGTGCGGATTACGATAAGCAAGCAATGCCGCGCGCCAGTTAAGACTGGGAGAGGGCAGACCTGAAGCGAGGGACAGTTCTGAGTCAGCGCATCGGCCGCGTCCGGTGTCACTCGATTGCAACCCTTGAGAGCCAGCCACCTTGTGTTGTGTGTTGTGTGTTGTCAGAAGAACGAAGAGTAGCGAAAACGACAACGAAAGCGTGCACCGGAGACGAGGAAAGGCGCGCAGATGTGCGATCGCTGCGTCGGTGATGTACTGACTCTGCGACAGGTTCAAGCATTCAATCGTCTCCGCCGCCTCGCTGGCGCCCAGGCGCGCAATGAACTTATCGTCCACTCTGGATGATGGTTTCTCCCAGCAGGCCTGTCAGGTGCCACAAGCACCAATCACTGCCACCGCGTTGTTGGGCGTAGTGCCGGGTGGTGGGTGGGTCACCTGGTGCGTCGCAGATCGATGGACGTGAGCCCGGCTGACCACAACGGAGCCGATCGCCAGAGCGCCGCGCACGAGATGTGGCCCTGCCCGCTACATTTCATTTTTTAAAAAATTGAACAATAAATGATTAAAAAAATAACTAAGGTTGGTGGTGGGGCGCACCGCAAAGACAAGGAAGAGCGGGGCAGAGCCACGAAGAGGTTGAGAGTGCGAGAGTCGACGAGCAGGAGGCGCGTCATGGTCTCGGCCACCCGCTCCCCCAGCACCCCGAGCTTCTCCCTCCAGGCCGCCACTTCCGTCCGCCGTGCCGTGGTGCCCCCTCGCCGTCATCAACTCCGCCAGCCCTGCAGTGCGGGGGTGTTGTCTGGCAATGGCATTGAAGAAGAAGAAGAAGAAGAGGTGAACGCAACGTACGGCCGGTGGGCAGTCGCCAAGACAGTCACACAGCGCTCCCACAATGAAGCGGGCACCTGCAGCATGATGTTGAAGCCTGTGGAGCCGAACAGTGCAGGCAAGAATCGAAAAGAAAACCTTTTCCTGGAAGACCAGAGCAGAACGTTTCAAGTTGGCCCCAGTACGCCGCAGTGGCTCAACTGCGGGTGAAGCCACGACCACACTTGAGAGCAGCGCACCAACGGCGTAAAGAAGAATGCAACACTTCACTCGGTGGCTCGTACCAACGGTGAGTCGCACGAGCAGCACTGGTGCGCGCCTCCTTTCCACCACCGCTGCGGGCAGTGAGCCACAGTCCGGGCGTGCACACACCCCTAGTGCCGCGCCTCCCCATTGTGTTATGCCCAGGCCTCATCTTCTGGAACCAGCTCGACCTCAAGGTGCAGTGCAATCCATTCTTTTTGATCTCAATCAGTCGAGAGCTGCATTGCTTAGAAAAAGACAGATTAATCGATCAATCAAATTGGCTTCGCAGGGGGTGGGGAGGGTGGAGTACTGGGGCGGGGTGGCGTCACACCTGCGGCATCGGGGGGCCACGGTGGTGGAGGCCGTGGTGCCAGGCACAGGACACATTCGCGAGCGTGCGGCCGAGCTGCGACGCCACGTAGACGCATTCCTCGCGGCACACCCGTACGTGGCACCTTCTCTTCTTCGCACACACGCACACCGCACCCACGCACAAGCCACCCCTCCTCTCATCAAGCTGTGGACGAACACGGTGACGATGTGGTGGTGAGCAGGGACGTGAAGAAGGTCAACCTCGTAGCCTTCTCCATGGTGCATAGCCAAGAATCCCCATCGTGGTGCTTGATGCATGCTGGTCGCGATGGTGCAGTGGCACTGACGTCGCTGCAACAACACCAACTCAGGGAGGACTCGATGCACGAAGCATGATTCACCACCTCCAGGGCCACGAGGTGGTCGAAAGCCTCACCACCATCGCCACCCCACACCGCGGCTCCTCCCTCGCCAAACGGTTCACCCCTATTTTCTTTATTAAGATTTGTATTTGTATTTCCTTTATTTAGAGATTTACCATTATTATATATTGCTTTTTCACAGGTTCATCGACCAGGGCTACGACCGGCACCTGGCCCGGCTGGGCATCGGTGCGGAGGCGTTCCGCTGCCTCACGCCCCAGTTCGTGCAGGGCCTCAACGAGGCCACGCCCGACCACCCCGACGTCCGCTACTACTCCTACGCGGGCTTCAAGCCGCGCAACGCGATGAGCGGGTGGGGCCGGTGGGCCTACGACCGCGTGCACGAGCGCGAGGGCGCCAACGACGGCTTCGTCGGCGTCCAGGGGGCCGTGTGGGGCCGCTTCCTGGGCACCGTGTCGGCCGCGCACCTCGAGTTGATCGACTGGCGGCTGGGCGTTCGGAGCGCGCACCGCTTCCGCGTGCTGCCGGACTTCTACGACCAGGTGCTGCACAACCTGGCGCAGCTTGGGCACTGAATCGTGTGCGGGGCGACGATGGCACATGGACACACCGTCGCACCCAGCTAACGCTGTACAGAACACGACGACATTAGTCACTTGCGTGTGCGCGTGTGCGGTCGTGTGTGCGTGTGCGGTGGTGTGTGCGGTGGGAAAGAGGTTTAGTCGTGGGTTGGTGTGGTGGCTGCTGGCCGGACGCGGAAGGCGGCGAGGGGGAACTGGAAGGGGAAGTAGTGCATGCGCGACGTGTCGCCCACGACCTCGGCCTCGTAGCAGCGCACGAGGAGGATGGCGAACATCCGCAGCTCGAGCACGGCCAGCCGCTGGCCCAGGCACACTCGCGCCCCGCCGCCCCATGGAATGTAGCCGCCCTTCACCTTTTGGTCCTGCAACCGACACCATACGACACGCCACACGCCACACGCCACACGCCACACGCCACAGAACGAATCAGGACACAAAGCAAACTAAGGTGTGGCAGAGGTGTGGGGGCGGGGACGGACCTCTCTCCTGGGCTCGAGGAATCGCTCGGGGTCAAACTTTTCCGGCTGCGGCCACACGGTGGCGTCGCTGTGGCTCGCCAGTGCCGAGAATCTGAAGAGTGCCAGACAGTCCCGGGAGGTGCGTGGTTGTCAGGTGTACGAACAGCGCAAGTCGCGCGCAGGCGCGCAGCGAGCCGTCGTTACCTGATCTTCCACCCCTTGGGGAAGAACCACTGGTTCTGGTACTCCACGTCCTCCGACAGGTCTCGGAAGCCGCCTCCGACTGGCGTGTATACACGCAGCACCTCCTTGATCACCGCATTCAGGTACTCTCCACTGCACACCGCACACGCACACGCACACGCACGATCGCACACGAGCACGTACACGGGTGTCGGCCCAAAGGTGCTGAGCTGTGTGACGTGGCTGTCGCGCGCGCACCTGAGAGCTTCGGCGGGGATCGGTTGCGCGGGGTCGGGAAAGGCGGCGGCCACCTCCTCCTGCAGCCGGCGGCGTACGTCGGGGTAGCGCGCGATGACGAAGGCCAGCGACGTCAGCGCGGCCGACGTGGTGTCGTGCCCGGCGAACATCTGCAGCAGGACCTGGTCCTTGAGCTCGTCCAGGCTCAGGGTCTCCTCGGTGCCGCTCCGCATGTCATGCAGAAGAATGGAAAGAATGTCGCGCGATGCGGCGGCCTCGGCTGGGTCGCGCTGGCTGTCGCGCACGCGGCGGCGGAGGATGACCTCCTCGACCATGGCCAGCAGCTGTCGGCGGGCCTGCATGGCCCGGCCGAAGGTGGTGAAGGGCAGGTCGAAGGGCAGGCCCATAAGCCCCGGAGCCACACGCCGAAGAGGTCGGTGAAGGCCGTGGCCTGCTCGTCGCTGAGGTCCAGGCCCAGCAGGATGCTCGTGGCCATGCGGAACGCAAACGGCTTCGCCTGAACAATATCTTCGCCATTAGCGCCGACAACACACACGCATGACACAACACGACACGACCAACGACACGACACACACCTCGTCGTTGAGCTGGAACTCGCCCTTGGTGGCCCAGCTGCTGAGGGTCTCTCGCGTGATTTTCTCGATGACGGGCGCGTACATTCCGATGGCCCTGTTGCAGCGTGTGCGCACCTAGTGTGAGGCTGCGGCGCTCGCAGCAGGCCCGGACGAGAACGGGGAGTGGGAGTGGGAGTGGGAGTGGGAGTGGGAGTGGGAGTGGGAGTGGGAGTGGGAGTGGGAGTGGGAGTGGGAGTGATATGATGTGTACGTGGGCGTGAAGGCTTTGGAGAGGACGGCCCGCTTGCGCGCGTGGTCGTCGCCCACCGCCACCGACAGCGAGTGCGCCCCGAGCAGCTGCTTCCACGTCCACGGGTGCGCCACGTTCACGCACTTGCCCTCACCCTACGCCCCATTTAAATTAGTAAACAATTTCAATATATATTGTTTATTTTGTTTACACGCATTTATTTATTTATGTAGTAAAGCAATAAATAAAAAATATAAACCTTAATGATGAGGATGAGGATGATAGAGCGTACGTGCAGGAGCCAGTGGTTGTCGAGGGGGCCGCGAGAGGAGGATGGTGTCGCGCCAGAACAGACGAGCCTTGAAGACGTCGCCGTAGATGGTCCGCTTGCGGGTGTTCCACTCGGCGGGGTGGCGCAGGTAGAGCCCCAGGCCGGTGTCGCCGAACCAGGGCAGGCCCATCGTGCCCGGCGGTAGGGGCAGCTTCGCGGAGGGCGAGACCTGCGTTGATGCTGCATATTTCCTCCTCCTTTGGCTCGCCACCACCAACAACAGCGCAGCCAGCACCAAGGCCGCCCACACCGTCCACTCCATCTTGGGGTTGTCGCTCTCGTATCCCTGAAGGTATTTTTATGTTTATTTTCATATTTATATTTATGTTTATTTCTTTATTTTATTTTTGATGACAGTGCGGTGGATAAAAAGTAGCAAAATGATTTAGAGATGTGGAGAAAATGCTCGTGAATATTCACTTGCAGGCATGGAACAAACAAATAAATAAAAACGAAGCTCGAAGACGGCTTAGATGGCGGTGGTGGAGGTGGTGGGCGCGTTGGTGGCGGCACCGGTGGCCGAGGCGGCGGTGGCCGGGTCGACGCCCTGCATGATCATCTTGCCCTCCTCCTTCTTGGCCGGGTTGCGGGTGATGGCGCCCTGGACCTCCTTCATCGCGCCCTTGATCTTCTGGCCGAAGCCCGCACGGTTCTGCATCGAGCCAGTCTCCACGCCGCTCATGCCCGGCGCCGCGGGCTCGACCAGCTGGCTGCGGGACAGCTCATCGTGGTTGTGGCTGTGGGCGCGGCCTCCCAGGTGGAGCTTCTCCTTGAGGCCGCTCAGGGCTCCGGTGGCGGCGCCGTCGATCGGGATCACCTTCTCGCCGGGTCCCAGGGGCGCGACCATTCCCCAGTGGAGGCGCTGCTCGGCGTCGAGGAGACGGTCGCTCTGGTCGAAGCCCTGGCCGTAGCCGTAGCCGCCCAGGCCGCGCTGCATCATCATCGGGTAGTGGTTGTAGTGACCGCGGCCGCCCATCATCGGCATCATCATCATGTTGTGGTGGTTGTGACCGTAGTGGTAGCCGGGGTGGCCGCCCATGGCCATCATGTTCTGATGGTGCATGTGCTGCTTGCGCATGTGCTTCTCCTGCTTGCGCATGTGCTTGTCCCGCTTGTAGAGGTCCCTGTCGACGTGCTTGGCGTGCTTGTGGAGGTGCTTGTCGCTGCCGTGGCCGTGCTCGTGGAGGTGGTCATGGCCGTGGAGGTGGTCGTGGCCGTAGCCGTCCCTGAGGGGCATGGCACCGACGGCGGCCGAGCGAGCGGTGGTCGGGAACGGGGCGGTGGCGCCGACCATGTGGGTGGGCTCGACGATGGGCGGAAGCATCACATTCTTGTCCTGTTATGAGCACAGAAGGGAAAAAGTTGCTGAGTTTTGGTTGGTTGCATAAGAATAAATTTGGCGAATCAGGAGTGACGACGACCGAATTGGGCGAAAAGTCAAGCAAGCAAGGCGGCTCTGTTTTCGTACCTTAACGATGTAGTTGGTCTCGGTGGTGGCCTCGGTCTTGATGATGGGCTGGATGCGGTGCTCGGTCTCGTGGACCACGGGCTGGATGTGGTGCTCGTGCTTGACCTCGACCGGGCGCTCGTTGATGATCTCCTTCTCCCGCAGGGGCTCGTGGTGAATCACCCGCTCGGCCTCGTGCACCACCTTGTCACCGAGCGACATGTGCTGCATGGGCGCCACGGGCACGACGGGGACTGCGGCGGTGTGGACCACGGGGACGCCCTCACGAGCAGCGAGGCCGGTACCGACGGGCAGGGCGGGGTCGACAAGGCCGTGGCTGCCGTGGAGGTGGTGCTTGTTGTCCTTCTTCATCTGCTTGCGCATCTTCTTCTCCTGCTTGCGAGCGGCCTTGTCCTCATGCTTGTAGGCCTTGTCCTGGTGCTTGAGTGCCTTCTTCTCCTGCTTGTTCAGATCGGACGACATGCTTTGTCTGTGGTTGGTAGAGTGGTCTTCAAAAGAAGAAATAGAAGAAGAAGAAAGGGAACGTAAGAAGTGAGGCACTTCCCACTTCGTCTCTGTTGTTGAAGTGGAAAGCAGGAGCAGTACCTTGGGGTGATTGAGTGAGAGTGAGTGTAGGTTGTTGTGATGGTGGATTGCTAATTTGTTGTGACCAGGGCAAGGAGAGGGGGTTCTTTATACCCGCCCAACGGCTCATGATCTGGCAGGTGCGACCAAAGCAGGCCTAGAACTCAGGGAAATGGGGACCTCCGATGTCCGCAAGGTCCTGGGATCGGACGAAATTTCGGTTGAACCGTTCTCGGAGACTCCAGGATACAAAGTCACCAGGAATCCGTCGGGATCGATCCATCCCAATCATCTCCGCCTCCACCGCTACAGTTCCAGTCTCTGTGGCATTTCCCGAACAGTATATATCTCTCATTACATCTTATAGTTTAGTTACTGAGAGTTCTTTTTATATGGAGAATGTGGGAAAACAGCTCAGACAAGTTGCGGGGTGACTGACGATGCTGGAGTGATTGGTGGGAAGAATACCACCCCAATGGCAGTCTAGCGGCTTAGAGTTGGTCGCAGGCAGCGAGGCAGCGGGGCTGAGTCGCGGAGCAAGAGCCGGTGGTGGAGTAGACGCCGGCCTGGTCCGGGTAGCAGCCGAGAGCATCGGCGTACCTGGGACCCACCGAGGTGAGCGTCGGGCAGCAGCCGTTGAGGTCGCGGTAGAACGGCGCATTCATTCAGCTACACGACATCTTCGACCGGCCCTGCCTCAAACCAATGGCGCTCATTATCACGGGCCACACGGTGTGGCTGGGCCGCAAAGGAAGGGGTTCGAATGCGGGCGCAGCAAATGATCAGAGTTGACTTGACTCCATAGTATGGGGGAAACGAGTAAATACAAAAGCACGCAGTAGCGTGCCGTTGACGTTCTTCCTGGCTGGGACCGTGGGACTTGTTCACATTGATCAGCTCCTACTTCGGGAGGCGCTTGAGCTCGTGCATGAGCCATGTGGCGATCGAGAGGAGCGTGAGAGAGCCGGCCTATTATGGGCGTGGTGCCGGTGCCGTGAATGAGCAAAGAGGGGGCGATCATGGTAGTGTTGGGGTGGTAAGGGACAGGAGAGTGGTACCTGGTGGGTGGCGGCGACGTGGGTCATGACGAGCGTGTAGAGGGTGGCAATGCCCAGGGTGACTTGCAGCGACGCCATGCCCAGCAACGCGTTCATGGCCAGACGAGAACGCGGTGGGAGCGGGACCTGGCGACGCCCATTGATCGGGGGGGGGGTTGATGTGGTTCGTCAACGCCGCCAAAAAAGAAAGTTAAGAAAAAAGTGTTCAACGTGCGGGGCCGAGGGGGTTACCTTTCTGGACCACAGCCACATGGCGACAATAGAGGAGAAGGTGGTGATACCCAAGACACGGTGCTGGAACTGCACCGTTACATCGTTCTCGGTGAAGTTGCGCCACTTGGGGTCCTGCGATCACGACGAGATTGGGGGGACTAAGTAGGACGTCGACATTGGGGGGGAGGCAGTGTGGAGCGTCGTACCATGTCGAGAATCTCATTTGGCACGAGCTGGCCGCCCATGTAGGGGAAGTCGGTGTAGATGAGACCCGCGTCGAGCCCCGCGACGAAGGCGCCTGGGGCGAAAGTACGAGTCAGCGAAACACCCGGGCCGAGCAGGGTCATGGTGTGTGGCGTGAAGCGCGTAAGCCTGCCGTACCAGAGATGGCGGTGAGAAAGACGAGACCGGCCACGCCGTGCGCGTACTTCCGCATCTTGGCCTGCAGCTTGAGCACGGTCGGCGCTGTGTGGTCGAAGCAGACCGGAGGCGGTGAGTGAAAAATTAATTCCGCCGACGGCGTGGTGGTGTGGTGGTGGGGTACCGGACGCGGCGGCTGCCGAAGCCGCGGCGGACGTGGTGAGCTTGGCGGTGGTGGTGAGCGGCGTGAGGACAAAGTCGAACGTGGTCCACAGCATGGCCGTGTAGAGAACGAACGCGGAGCCCAGGTGCGCGGCCAACCGGTACTGGCTCACACGCGGGTGGTCCTTCTCGACCAGACCGGACTTGACCATGTACCAGCCCAGGAGGCCCTTTTTTGCCGTCACAACATTAGACGCAGATGATGGGCGCCAGAGGTACCAGAGAGCGAGGAGGGTGCACCTGGAAGCCGATGCCTGCGGCGATGGCGTAGAGCCGTGTGCGGAGAGGGCCCCGGACGTGGCCGCGCGCGGTGAAATAGAGGAGGGGCAGCGTGTACGCGGCACCGAGGAAGCGACCGAGGTTGCGATGAGCCCACTCATAGTAGTAGATACTCTTGAACTCCTCGACCGTCATCTTGGAGTTGAGCCTGCCACCGTTTTGTGATATTCAATAAATGCTTATTCATAATAATAATCATAATAATCATAAACATAAATAGAGCCGTACTTCTTGTATTCGGGGAACTGCTTGTATTTATCGAACTCGGCCTCCCACTCCTCCTGGGTGATGGGCGGCTTCATCTGCAGCACGCCCCAGTCCACCTGGCGAGCAGCAGAGGCGTGTGAGTGCGAATTCACAAAGACTTGACGGGAGTGGCAGAAGTGTACCATGGAGAGGCCAGACTCGGTCAGGCGGGTGAGTCCGCCGACGACGACCATGCCGAAGACGGTGGCCGTGCAGCCGGCGATCCACACCTTCATCGACGTGGGCACGTCGTGCCATGTCGCTGCGGCCACCTCTGCACAGGCACGGCACACGAAGAGGCGCTGGTCAGATTGTGTTGGCTGTTGGCTGTTGGCAGCACTGCGTACTCGGCATAACGCCGGGCTGGGTGGCCTGGTGCGTGACGGTGGAGTTGGCTCGCCTCAGCAAGGTGGCGGGCCGAAGGGCCGCACCGTTCGTTGCTGTGGCGAGTCGCGGGAACACGCGTGCGGCGATTCCGGGCCTGCGGTGGAAAGGTGAGTCACCAACACGTCTGGTTGGCGCCGGCACATACTCGAGCATACGTAACACGGATTATACTTGGAAAAACGGTATTAATAATTGAATTATTACCACCAGAAAATAAAAAAAAATATAATCAACTTGTTTGCTAAATGGTAAAAATGAAAACAAAATTCAACAGAAGATTGGTCGGAAAAATCGGAAGATTAAACGGTGGCGTACCTGGCAGAGGTGAACAGGGGAGCTACGCCACTTGAAGAGGTACGCATCGGTGCCAAACGTCCAGCGACTGTCAGTGCGCGTGATGGAGGGCAAGTGGCGGCGAAGAGGGTCCGCGAGAGTGAAGACGAGCCGCTTCTCGCCGTCCCAAAGAGCCCTGCACGCTCTACGCCGCCGGAGAAGGTGGTCCAAGTGCTTCTTGGTCTGCTGAGTCGTTGCATCATCGATGATCGGTTGGTAAATAAATGGCTTGGATGACGGCAGCGTTGCGTTCGTGTTTGCTTCTTTAAATGTCCGAGAATTGAAGAAATGCAGTAATTCCTCACATTCCGTACTATATTCGTTCATCTGCAACGAATTCTCAAATATGCCGCTTCGGATCTGAGGAGCGACGTTGACATTTTTCGTTTCACAGCAAAAATTGTGTGATTGGGAAATCACGCCTAGACGTGCGCGAAAACAGCCAGAACTTCTGCCCAAAAAGGTAAAAATGGATGAATGTCATGAATGTATGCGATCTGCTGCTGCCGAGGTCGGTAATGTACACGCGAAGACCGCCAGCGAACGCACCAACAACAAATAACAACGCTTCCCGCGCGAAGCGCGAGGGTCCGTTACGTGAGGAAGAGCTGCCTGGTGGCTATGGGGCTTGGTGCGCGCCTTTATGGGCCTCTGTCCCGCCATAATTATTTCCCCCAGCAGACAAGAAAGCTAGACCACGCTTCGTTGCTCCCGCGCGCCCCTTCTCGGCTCGATTGATCGATCGATTGTGCGTCTCCAATTGTTAGCCTTCCCTCTCGCACGCCCCCAATGTTCAACCATACATTCGCGGCGTTCGCCTCCTCCGCGGGAGCAGCCAAGCCCGCCGCCCAGCAGCCCAACACATCGACGGCACGTCTTGCCAAGGATTTCCGAACCGGCGAGCCGAGGACGGCGCTGGGCAACCTGACCAACAAGGCCGCTTCATCGAGCAGCGGCAAGACGGGCAACGCGGTGAAGAAGTCCAAGATTTCATCTACCCAGTCCCTTACATCGAAGGTCAATCCCGCCCCCAAGCCTGGCCAAGATGACGCCCCGCGAAGGAAATCGAGCCTCGGTCGACGGAAGGAGCCCCGACTCTCAGTCTCGGCGATGGAGATCGAATCGGCTGGCGTCAATCAGAGTGTAGACATGGGCGACCTCGATCCTTCACATGCCGTCTTCGTCGATGAGGAGGAAGAAGTGGAGAGGGAGGCCGAAGTGGAAAAGGGCATCAAGGAAGAGGAGGTGGTGGAGGCGACGATTGTGGTACCGGTGCAGAAGGAGAAGATACTGCTGCCGATGGGCTGCCTGAACATCGACGAGGTCGACGAGAACGATCCCCAGTGGGTCACTGACTACGTCCACTCCATTTTTGAATACCTTCGCGAGAACGAGGTACGTGCGCTGCACTTGTCATTACGACCATTGGTCAACTCAATTCGCTCGAAATGGCCAATTCAATGATGGCACGTTGTTGACCTTCTCGCCTTGTTCTATGTATGCAGGTTCGCTTGAGACTGCCGCACCATAACTACATGGAGGTGGTGCAGACCAATCTCACACCGGCCATGCGAGGCATCTTGGTGGATTGGTTGGTCGAGGTCGCCGAAGAGTATGAGCTTTCCTCGGAGACTCTCTTCCTCGCAGTCAACTACCTCGACAGATTCGCAGCTACCTGCCCTGTGGATAGGCGAAAATTCCAGCTCGTGGGGGTCGCATGCATGCTGATCGCGTCCAAGTACGAGGGCATCTTCGCTCCCGCCGTCGACGAGTTTGTGTACATATCCGCCAACACCTACTCCCGAGAAGAGGTACCTTCCAATCTCGAGATCCGCATCTGCCCAGCCCGCATCTTTTCTCAAATCCCGACCGCGGCTCCGATAACGAGCGAACGCAATGATCTGACGGCTTCACCCTCACAGGTCCTGCTGATGGAGGTCTCGATTCTCAACGCGCTCGGCTTCACGCTGACTGCGGCCACAGCGAAGGTCTTCTTGAGGCGCTACCTCAAGGCCGCGGGAGCCGACCTCACCCTAGCTTTCCTGGCAAGCTACCTCTGCGAGATCTCACTCCTCGAGTACAACTTCCTGCAGTACCTTCCGTCGATGGTGGCCGCCGCCTCCGTCTTCCTCTCTTTGCGTACGCTCGAACGAGAACCCTGGGTACAGTCTCCTCGCACACAACGTTGGTCCTCACCATTTTCGAAAGACCGCGCTCCTAACCCCGCTCAACGCAATGACATCCATCGACTCGACAGACGCCCACGCTCGACTTCTACACCAGCTACCGACTTCAGGACCCGACCTTCCAGCAGTGCGTGCGCGATCTCCATCAGCTCCAGATCAACGCGCCCAAGTGCAACCTGCAGGCAATCCACGAGAAGTACGCCCACCAGCGCTTCCAGAAGGTCTCTAAGATCGCGCCACCTCAAGTGCTGTGAGCGCCATCCACTCCGGAACCGAACGGACCAGCAAGCGAAGTACACTACACAAGACGCAGCATCACCAACCGAACAAGAGGAGGAAGAAGAAAAGGGAGCACCGCCCACCCGGTACAACAACAACAACCGACGATGGCAACGGCGACAACTGAAGAGGAGGAGGACTTGAGGGAGAGGATGAGCAAAGGGGCTCGGGGTGCGCCCTCTCTACGCGATGCGAGCGAGAATCGGCGAGGTGGTGTTTTTTCCCCCTTCTTTTTTGTCTCTCCCCAGCCAGGGGTCTCCAACGTTTTGTTAATCATCATCATTGTTCTGTATATCCTCCCTCTACCGCTGCTTGCGCGACCTCTGGCCTTTCCAGGTGCAAGATCGAACAACGACTCATCTGAAGATCATCTAGGTTCATTTTCGCGTTTCCCGCCAAGATGGTAATGTTCCCGCCAAAGACGTTGATCCATAGCGTTGCAATTTGCGTTGCGTTTGCCGAAGCGTTTTGGCGCGAAATAACACAGACATTTTTTGCGGACAGGAAGCTAGAGAATCGCAACTCAAATCTGCTGATGGACGTGGAGGCCGAGCTGAGCCAACTGGCTGAAGAGTTTGGGTTTGGGGTGAAGCACATCGGCACCTCGCGATGGACCAAATCCCGTGGGGCGCCAGGGGAGAGGGCCTACGTGGCTGTCACCACGCTCGAGGGCACTCCTCTTTGCATTGAACTGTCGACCCGCGGCTGGAAGGTACACAAGAAAAGAGGAAGATGGGGCGGTGAGATGGACCATCGCTGAGCGTTGCACGTGCGGCAGGTGCTGGGCGAGCTTGAGGATGCTGCTTCGTCCGAGGCGCAGTTTGCGGATCTCCGAAATCACGAAGAGGGCAGCAGGCGATGCTACGATACCATGCAGGCGCTCCTCATGACTGAGAGTCCGCTCTATCGCCAAGCGTTCCACGATCGCCTGCTCGGCCGGCTCTCCGCTGCCTTCCCTCATCCCGTGACGTAAAAGAAAAGAAATAAAAATAATATAGAAATATAAATAAAATAGCACGCTCCAAGATGTACGCGCCCAGCACGGAAGGAAGTGGCCTGTCCGATGACCTCGATGAAGAAAGTCCCAGCGCCACTGCCACAGAACCACTGGTGCACGCCCTAACTTAAATCAAGGTTACTAAGTTCCATCATTAGTGAAAGCTGACCCCTCTCCAGCTATCTCCAGGTCAGGCCCAGCGCACGCGATGGCTGCTGTTTATTCCCTTTTCTATTTATTATTATGTCTTATTGATTTTTAATTTATTTATTTATGCACACTTTATTTATTCCAGAGTTGGAGGAAGACACCGACGATGACCCGACGGTGGCGCTAGTGAAGAAGAAGCGAGAGGTCCACACGAAGGAAAAGAGAAAGAGGAAGACCGAGAAAGAGCGCGCAAAGAAGGAGAAGGCCAAGAGGCGGCGCGAGTGGGCCAAGCGCGAGGGCAAGATCAGCGCCGCCCACCGGGCCTCGTGGCTGGTCCGGGCCGCCATACTCGCCTGCATCTCCCTGCTCAGCGTGGGCTCCTACTTTGCCTACGACTCCATCGCTGCGCTCGAGACCTACATCAAACAGGACCTCGACCTGAACTCGTTCCGCTTTGGCTTCCTCTATTCCTCCTACGCCATTCCCAACATCGGTATACACCACCGCACACGCACGCGCACGCGCACGCGCACGCGCACACGCACACACCAGAAGCATTACAACTGGACTGATCGCATCGACACACAGTGCTGCTCGTATTGAGCGGCTACGTGATCGACCGGCTGGGCAATCGCAACAGCGCGCTCCTTTTTCTGTCGCTGACCGTGCTGGGCACGTTCATCGTAGCCATCGCACCCACCTTGCGCACCGGTTCCTCCGATTCCGCGTACACCGCGACTTTCCTCTTCATGCTCCTGGGCCGCTTCGTGTTTGGCCTGGGCGCCGAATCCTCCTACGGTACACACCCACACACACACACCACACCCACACACCCACACCCACACCCACACCCACACACCCACACCACATATACCACACACACAGCTTGAGCTTCACGTGCGATTCGCGTGTGTCGTGTCGTGCGATCAGTGGCGCAGAGCAGCATGTGCGTGGAGTGGTTCGGCGAAAGCCGGTTCCTGGCGACGGCGATGGCCATCACCATTGTACGTACCGACCTGTCAGCCGTGGCACGTGCGTTCAGCCCCCAAACAAACGCTCACGCTTGTCTTCTTCTTCTTCTTCTTCTTCTGTAGTCGGTGTCGCGATTTGGGCCGATCCTCGCCTTCAACGCCGAATCGAGGATTGCCGAGCAGACCGGTCACTACGTCTACGCCCTGTGGTTCGGTTCGCTTTTCGCTTTTCGCTTTTCGCTTTTCGCTTTTCGCTTTGTTTGGCTTCGCTTCTCTCTTTCTCTCTCCCATTTCTGCTGACATCAGCACATTCCACACAGCATTCCTCATGTGCGTGTTCTCGCTGGGCGCGATCCTGGTCTACGCCGGGGTCGACTGGGCGTCCAAGCGCGACCGCCCCTCTCCCCGGCGCGCCAATGCGACAGCTGAGCGGCTTCTTTCCGTTTCTCCGCCCGACCCCGAGTCGTCGTCGACACCCGCCTCGCCCGCCCCCTCGCCAGAGCCGATTCTCGTGCCCACGAAGCCACACAACATTCAATCCACTCTCATCGACATCCTCCGCAGCATCGTAGCCCTGCCAGCCATTTATTGGTACGCCGCGCGTGGTGTGTGTCGTGTGTGCGTCGCGTGTGCGCCGTGTGTCGTGTGTGTGGCTCAGTGTGCGGCACACGCGACGAATGTTGTGTTGTAGGCTGGGCATCGTGGTGGTGACGTTGATCTACACGGCGATCTACTCCTTCCGCTCGGTCTCGACCGAGCAGATTTCCATCAAGTACGGCCTCTCGCAGGAGGACGCCGGGTTCTACCTGAGCGTGATCGACATCGTCTGCCTCGTGTGCTCGCCGTTCTTCGGATACCTCGTCGACTGTACTGGCAAGAAGGGATGGATGGGTACATCCACATGCGTGTCGTGCGTGCCGTGCGTGCCGTGCGTGCCGTGCGTGCCGTGCGTGCCGTGCGTGTCGTGTTAACCGATGGATCTGTAGTGGTCTTGGGGAACAGCTTGGCTGTGGTGGGGTTCCTGCTGTTGGGATTCACCGAGCTCCCGCTGCTGGTGGGGGTGCTGATCCTGGGCGTCCACCTGTCGCTCATGCCGGCCGCCGTCTGGCCCTGCATCGCCGTACTCGTCGACCCCAGGCAGGAGGGCATGGCCTTCGCCCACTCCTCCTCGGCCATCAACCTTTCTCTCCTGGGCGCCACGCCCCTAGCAGGTAAAGTGTGCGCGTGTGCGGTCGTGTGCGCGTGTGCGGTCGTATATCGGCTCACGTGTGCGGGCGACATGCAGGGTACCTCAATGACCAATGCGGCTTCGAGTGCTCGTGCATGTTCTTTGCCGCGGTGGCGGGGATGTCGGTCGTGCTGGCCGTCGTGTGGGTCGTCGTCGACGCGCACCGGCCGATGCCGGTACTCAATGGACCCATGTCTCTGCCGTCCTCCCTCGGGGCCTCCGCGTCTGCGCTCCTGTGCTGTCGCGGCGGCTCAGCCCGCAGAGGCAGGGGAAGGCGAGAGCCCGCGCGAGTGGTCTCCGCCGGCGACGACATGGGCCTCATCTTCGAGGACACACGCGCCCACACTACACCGGAGCACCAGACCGCATAGGACCGCCGCAACAGGTGCGAGAACATGCGTGTGGCATAGGCGCTGTTTAAAATAATGGTAGCACGGCGAGATGTAGGCCAAACCGCCTAAGATGCGTGGTGCAACAAACATGTTCTGGTTGCGCCAATGGTGTTATTATCCGACGCGTGTGCTTGCGTCCGAGTGGCGGTGTTGTGCGATTGGTCAGTCCGTTGCCCAATAGCCAGTGGTGGCTTGAGGTCCCGGCCACGACAAACATGACTATTGAGCCCACGGTGGCCGACGCCGATCATGCGATCTGCAGCTCCAGCGCCTCCGTGGGCCGCCACGACGTGCTCCTGGTGAACTTCCGCACGTCGCTTGGCCTGCCGTTGGCTCGGACACACAGGCCTGCCACCAGTTAAATACTGACCGGTGCCTCTTCTGCCAAACTCTACATTCACCTACCACCCAGTCAGCTACCCTTTCCCTACTACCACCTACTACTACTATGAAGGCGTCTGCCCTCTTCGTCGTGCTCGTGGCGGCCCTGCTTGGGTCGGCCATGGCCTACACCGACGTGGAAGAGTTCTGCGAGGACAGCAAGTGGGATTCGACCCAGCCGGCCTTCGCCTCGTTCAACGCCTTCTGGGCCGAGCGCGCCCAGTTCCTCGAGTTCAGGGACTACTTCCTCCAGATCACGTCCAGCGTCGATCTGGGCAACACCACGGTCGAGGCCGGCATCATCGACCTGCTCAACGCCAAGCTCACCCAGAAGGGCTTCGACAACACGGTCCTCAGCTTCACCATCACCCGCTCCAACGGCGACATCACCATTGACTCCCAGCTCGGCGTCAACCCCGTCATCGACAACCATGGTGGCCGTTACTCCCTCGGCAAGCCCATGCTCTGCCGCGACTTCCACACCGTTGTGTTCGACTACACGTACGCCCCCCCCCCATAAATATCAATTCCTTCACCTACGCGCAGCTCATCGTCTTCAACCTGTGATTGTTGCCGTACGGAACGCAGTTATGTGACTCGCACCGGCCTTCAGTACCGTTTCTGGTCGCAGGCCGTGCAGACCTCCGTTCAGAAGCAGTTCTTCGCCTTCAGGTGGAACATCCCCGTTCAGTAGGAAAGAGTTGTTCTGGTCAACAAATAAAGAACAACTGAACGAGTTCTGTGCTCTGTCGAGAGAGAGAGAGAAGAGTAGGCCTTGCCTACAGCAGCGCGGCGAGCTACTGGACCCAGTGGTGAGCTGCGCGCCCGACGAGTTCTGGGTCGGGTCGGCCGATGATGATCTCCATCACCGCCTGCCACCCGCCGTCCTGGGCGCCCTCGCAGTCGGCCCAGCCCCATCCTGAAGGGTCCTGTCAAGGATCAATACATTACCCCCGCCCCCAAAAGGCACTTTGTGTTGCACTTGTTGTTTATTGGTTGCTTCTTCCTTTGCAAGGCGTCAGGACAGCTCCTACAGAGTGGTAATGGTGCTCGGCCCGGTCCTGTACGTCCGCCTCGTTATCATCATGGAGGTCAATAGAAACAAGCCCCCGAGCGATATGAACTGTGCCCGCAAACTTAGTTTTTCCATATTGCAAAACAACCCACGCTCGTGCTCACGATTTGGTGAAACGAGGGACGAGATCATTATGGTGTATCGTATGTGTGTGTGTGGTGTGTGTGGTGTGTGTGGTGTGTGTATGTGTGTGTCGCGTGGTGTGTACCGTGTGCGTCTTGCCCGGCCTCGGTCACGTCCGCCTCATCATGGTCCTGTGGTAGTGGTGTGCTGTGTGGCCTGCAGTGGCAGATTTGCTGAGGTTTGTGTCTGTGTACCCTCCCCAAGCACTGCACAAAACTACGTAAGATTTATTACACTGGTGGTGTTCTAAAGGAGGCCTCAGTTGAGCCGAATGGGGGCATTTTCGCCACGGGGAGAAGCCGTTACATTGCGAACAACGAAGCCGCCCACCACCGCCCAACCAAGGCTGAAGGAGGTGGGACAGCAGAAGGCCCTTATATACGGTCCGTTGGTCTGTAGGAGATTGAGGCACTCGCCGCCGCCGTAGAAGTCCAGCGCGTAGTTGGACGAGTTCGCAATGGGGCGGACCATGAGGCTTGAAAAGGCATTCCCGGTCGAATCCTTGAACTGGCCCGAGACACACTCACCGGTTTGCCTCGTGAAGAGGACTCCAGTCGGACACTGCGGGACGCCCATGTTCTTGATGCAGCCACCCCGACAGAAGTCCACGTACGCGGGCTCTGCAGTGCTGTTTGGGCTCCCCATAGCGCCCACAAGGAGCGCCCAAAGGAGGACCAGTGAAGCCACTGGGAGGAACACTGATGAGAACACACGCACACACACCACCACCAAATGGTTGCCGTGGTACGTACCACAAGAATGTGCTCTTGTAGGTATGAAGTGCATCTTGATTAGAGGTGAGGAAAACAGAAGAACAGGAGTGAGAAGCCACAACCATCGAGAAAAAGGTTTGCGCCCCGAAACTCTAGAGCAACAACGCAATCAGGCTCGAGGAGGGACTGGGTGAGTTGGGCCTTAGGCCCACTCAGACCTTTTTTCTGGCAGCATGCCTGTTATGGCACTCCATCTCTGAAAACGTTTGGGAGTATATAGGACAATGAAGACAATGTGTTCTGTACACCAAACCATCAATACTCACCAACACAGACCTAGCATGGTGTTTACAATGGGTTCCTCCCTGCTTCTCTACACCATTGATGTCTGGGGCACCACACAGACCCCAGTGTCCCTGGTCACCAACAAAGTGGCCCATACAGCAGCAGCAAATGTCAACTCTGCAGAGTGGCTTCTTACAGGGACTCACTCTACCTGGTGTTACCCACAACAACAACATGGGCCTGTGGGTTGGTCAGGGTGTGTGATTTCATAAGGCAAAAAAACAGAAATCTGTGAGAAAAGTGTGTCAGAAATCAACTGTGTTGGTGAGTATTGATGGTTTGGTGTACAGAACAACACAAATTTGATGTTGAAGATCAAGTATGTTTGCACACCAGACAAAGCCAAAGGGCAGATCAGCTGCTGGCTATTTTCACACAAGGCAGTGTCATTTGGTATTTAAGGTGTTGTAGTGACCTGGATGGGTTACCCCATACTTTTTTTATCCTTGCTCTCTTCCACTTTTTTTGTTTATTTTGGCCCTCTGTCCTGTTGGTGGAACCATGACGTTCTCACAACTCGAATTTGCAGAGAAATTACCACGAAATTCCACACAATCTGCAAAACACCCAGGAAACTACGCGGCATGTCGCGTGTGCACCTTATCTTTCTGCCAAACCTGGAACCAGCCTTTCCTTGGCGGCCCACCGGCTTCGGTACAAAAGCTGGACACCCAGCACCCACAACCAAACTCATTTCCAAACAAACCAAGAAACACATCAACACAACACAACACAACACAATGTCCAAGTACACAAGCATTGGCATCGACCTGGGCACGACCTACTCGTGCGTGGGCGTGTGGCAGAACGATCGGGTGGAGATCATCGCCAACGACCAGGGCAACCGCGTGACCCCGTCCTACGTGGCCTTCACCGACACCGAGCGCCTGATCGGCGACGCGGCCAAGAACCAGGTCGCGATGAACCCGCACAACACCGTGTTCGACGCCAAGCGCCTCATCGGCCGCAACTACTCGGACCCGGTCGTCCAGGCCGACATGAAGCACTGGCCCTTCAAGGTGGTCCAGAAGCCCGGCGACAAGCCCTTCATCTCGGTCGAGTACAAGGGCGAGCGCAAGGAGTTCTCGCCCGAGGAGATCTCGTCGATGGTGCTCATCAAGATGAAGGAGACGGCCGAGGCCTACCTGGGCCACCCCGTCACCACCGCCGTCATCACCGTCCCCGCCTACTTCAACGACTCTCAGCGCCAGGCCACCAAGGACGCCGGCACCATCTCGGGCATGCAGGTCAAGCGCATCATCAACGAGCCCACCGCCGCCGCCATCGCGTACGGTCTCAACAAGAAGGCTCGCGGCGAGATGAACGTGCTCATCTTCGACCTGGGCGGCGGCACCTTCGACGTTTCGCTCCTGACCATCGAGGAGGGCGTGTTCGAGGTCAAGGCCACCGCCGGCGACACCCACCTCGGCGGCGAGGACTTTGACAACCGCATGGTCAACCACTTCGTCCATGAGTTCAAGCGCAAGCACGGCAAGGACATCTCGGGCAACGCGCGCGCAGTCCGTCGACTGCGCACGGCCTGCGAGCGGGCCAAGCGCGCCCTGTCGTCGGCGACCCAGGCCAGCATCGAGATCGACTCGCTCTACGAGGGCGTCGACTTCTACACTTCGATCACCCGCGCCCGCTTCGAGGAGCTCTGCGCCGACCTATTCCGCGCGACCATGGACCCCGTCGAGAAGGTGCTGCGCGACGCCAAGATGGACAAGCGCGCCGTGAGCGAGGTGGTGCTGGTCGGCGGCTCGACCCGCATTCCCAAGATTCAGCAGCTCGTCACCCAGTTCTTCAACGGCAAGGAGCCCTGCAAGTCGATCAACCCCGACGAGGCTGTCGCCTACGGCGCCGCGGTGCAGGCCGCCATCCTGGACGGCGTGGCCACAGAGGGCTCTGTGCTCAACGACATGGTGCTGATCGACGTGGCCCCGCTCACCCTGGGCATCGAGACCGCCGGCGGTGTCATGACGGCCCTCATCCCGCGCAACACCACCGTGCCGACCAAGAAGACGCAGGTCTTCTCGACCTACGAAGACAACCAGCCGGGCGTGCTGATCCAGGTCTACGAGGGCGAGCGGGCCATGACCCGCGACAACAACCTGCTGGGCAAGTTCGAGCTGTCGGGCATCCCGCCCGCTCCGCGCGGCGTTCCGCAGGTCGAGGTCACGTTCGACATCGACGCCAACGGCATCTTGAACGTTTCCGCAGCGGACAAGACGACCGGCAAGTCGGAGAAGATCACCATTCGCAACGACAAGGGCCGGCTGTCGAAGGAGGAGATCGACCGCATGGTGAAGGAGGCCGAGCGCTACAAGGCCGACGACGAGCGCGCCAAGGAGAAGGTCGAGGCCAAGAACGCCCTGGAGAACTACGCCTACACGATGCGCAACACGATGCGCGACGACAACGTGGCCTCGAAGCTGGCGCCCGAGGACAAGTCCAAGATCGAGCACGCCACCGACGACACCATCAAGTGGCTCGAGGCCAACCAGACCGCCGAGAAGGACGAGCTCGACTACAAGAAGAAGGAGCTCGAGGACGTGTGCAACCCCATCATGACCAAGATGTACCAGCAGTCAGCCGGCGGCGGCCCCGCAGGTGCCGGCGGCATGCCCGACATGGGCGGCATGGGCGGTGCTCCCGGGGCTCGTTCGGCCGGGTCGGGTGCCGGCCCCAAGATCGAGGAGGTGGACTAGCCACAGCTAGCGAGCTCCAACTCTTTTCTCTTTCTTTTGTGAATAGTCTCCACAGATTAAAATGAACTGTTTCCCTCTACACTACTACGCTTCCCCTTATGACGTGGAAGATGAAGCCATCACACTCGCCAGTGCCGACTGCGAGACTTGTACGTCGTCTTATTCTTCCAGGCACGGCCGAGCTGACTGTCATTGAGGCTTCTATCTCTTCCCCTTTGTGGTTGTACTTCGTCTTGCGCGTTGTATCCCACTACTTGTTGTCGACGCCTGAGGCTTCCTTGCATTCTCTGTGACTGCAAATGTGAGAAATCAACAAAACAAGAGCAAAAGAAGATGAGCTATACACTGGAAGTGCAGAGGGGAGTGGTGGGTGGTGCGCCCCCGCACCGCTGCTGGCGCAGCTCACAGTCGTGGACGGTCACCGTCGAAGACACGACGACGATCGCCGATCTGGTCCAGATGCTTCAGCAGACCTGCGACTCGTCCATCACCGCCAGCAGGCTCCGCTTCGTCGGCGGTTCCGGTTCGTGGAGCCCCTCGCTCGACAACGCGCTCCAGACCATCAGCGAGGCCGGCCTCACCAAGGTACAATAACATCTGAAATGGCTTGATTGATGAATCTTGAATGATGAATCTTTTTTCTTTTCTAATTCACTTCTTAATTCATAGGGCGCCGTGCTGGGCTTCACCGTTCCTGGCGCGATGGATTGATCTGATAACCAGGAATGTAAACTCTTGCTTGATGAAAGATGGCTTTCTTTGCGCAGTAATCAGTAGTCGTCCTCGTCTTCTTCGTCGCCACTGCCTTCCTCATCGTAAGTCAAATCATTGGCTCGAGAAGAGCTCTACGTTGACGAGCGTCGGGCACTCGAAGCGCCCGTCGAGCTTTCGCAGCCGCCAGCAATCCTGGACCTCGAACGACCACAGGCGCACCACCAGCTCTACGCCGCGGAGCTCTAGGCACCGGAACAGCGAGAGGGTGGCCAGGAGCGTGTTGTCAACGATGTGGACCTGCTTGCTCGCTGCCGCTGATGCTTAGGTCGGAGAGCCAGGCCATGTCACTGACAAAGTGGATGCCCCAGGCGCTTGCAAGTGTCCACAAACAAGTCCACCAGGTCTAATTTCACCAGGTTTGGCAATCCTAGACACACACACAATGCATAGCCTTTGGTGCTGTCTGTCCAAAACTGATCTGTGAAATGGGCAACTGTCATCTGCAAAAATGCACATAAAAATCATCTGTCATCTGCATAAAAATCATCTGTCTCTATGGGCATAAAAATCATCTGTCATCCCTAATGGGCATAAAAATCATCTGTCATCTGTAATATCATCTGCAAAATGGTCATAAAATTATCTGTCATCTGCAAAAATGGGCATAAAAATCATCTGTCATCAGCATAAAAATCATCTGTCAGCATAAAAATCATCTGTCATCTGTGAAAAGGGCATAAAATCAACTGTCATCTGTAAAAATGGGCATAAAAATCATCTGTAATCTGCCAAAATGGCCACAAAAATCATCTGTCATCTGCAAAAATGGGCATAAAAATCATCTGTCATCTGCATCCAAAATCATCTGTTGTCTGCATAAAAATCATCTGTCATCTGTAATATCATCTGCAAAATGGTCATAAAATCATCTGTTATCTGCTTAAAAATCATCTGTTATCTGCATAAAAAATCATAAGTCATCTGCGAAATGGGCATAAAAATCATCTGTTGTCTGCATAAAAATCATCTGTCATCTGTGTAAAAATCATCTGTTGTCTGTAATATCATCTGCAAAATGGGCATAAAATCATCTGTCATCTGCATAAAAATCATCTGTTGTCTGTGAAATGGCCATTTTCATCATCCATCAAATGGCCACAAAAATCATCTGTCATCTGCCAAAATGGCCATAAAAAGCATCTGTCATTCATGAATCCCACCCTGCCCAATTCACACAATTAGACAAAAACAAAAACAACAAAATAACAAAGATACCACAAAAACCTCCCACTGCTGTCGACATAAAGCCGGAGTGGCGGCAATGGTTGGGGGGGTGCCTTAGCAGGCGGGCGGGCAGGCCAAGGATGGCTGTCTATGTACACGTTGATGGCCTTTGGGAAAGGTGCGCTGGTCGACTCAGTCGAAGTTCTAGTCGCGCCCACAATCGCACATGTCAGCCAATACATACTGGCATGTGGTGTTGTTGATGGGGTGCTCACCCTCTAGTTTTGGCCGCAGTGGCCAGTCTCTCCAGGTCCAGGCGCAGCACGGCGAGGCTGGTGCTCTCCAGGGCGCTCACGGTGGTCAGCTCATGCAGCCGGGTGCACGCGCGCACCAACTCTGCGAGCTTCTCCGCTCCCGACGGGGCTCTTGGTCAGGGAGAGGCGCGTGCGGCGCTCGAACGTCGTCGTCCACCCGGGAGGCAGCTGTTGCGTGGGAACGTCGCGGTCTCGTATCGACACCACCTCGCCGCTACCGCGCTCGAGCTTGAGCTCGCGCAGGCGAGGCCGCCGGCGCACGGCCAGGTAGAGCAGGGCCTCGGGCGCCGTCGTCGCTGTTGCCTGGGCTTGATCGGGCTTCTCCCCGGGACGAATCACGGCGAGGCGCTCGAGCCGAGGCCGCCACGTCGGCAGGTCGGCCTCCGTGGCCTCGCGCGGCCCCCGAGTCGGCGATCGCAGCGGCTTTGAATCAAATTCCGCCGCCGCCGCTACGGCCGGGTATATCACGCAGTTGCGCATAAAGGCGAGCCGGCGCAGGCGGCCCAGGGCGTTGATGGTGTCGCTCACAGCGGCAGAGTGGTGGTCCGCATCGTCGTCGGGCTCGGCGACGAGGAGTTCCAGCGCTACGATGTCGAGGCGCGCGAGGTTGGCGAAGGCTCGGAGCTGGGCAAAGGCCTCGAGGCCCATCAAGACGCTGCAGAGCTTGAGGCTCGTCAGGGACTCTCGCGTGGCGGCGCACCAGGGCAGGGCCACCGAGCGCCACACGCTGCCGAACGTGACCCGCTTGCTAACGCGCACGCGGAGCGCGACCATGGTGACGGCACGGGCGGCTGCTGACGTCATCATCGTCGGTGCCGCAGGCAGCAGGGAATCTTGATGCAGTCCCACACGTCGTCTCTGCTCGATCCGGCAAATGTGGAGTTAACCGCAAGCGGGTTGTGGCGTTAGTGGTGGAGGTGACCAGAAAGGGAGCCGTCATGAGCAAAAGACGTCGTTGGTATGAGTGTACGCGATAGCCGAGGTCGTTGAGGAGCACCATCGTCAGAAGAGAAGAGGAGAGGAGAGACCGCCGGCGGGCAGGAAGAAGAACACGTACAAGTCTCCAAGTCTGAGAAGCACTCTCACAGCCCGGTCTCAAAATCCACGGCAGCTGTGGTGGTGTGGTACGGGGAGGATCACTTGTTCTGTCTGTCCCCGAACACACTTCATTTGGCAAGTGTGCTAATTCCCTGGCTCACGCGAGGTCGCGTGGGAACTCCTGTTGTCAAGGCCGCAAGGTCGTGATTGTCCCAGGTCTCGACAAGGTGATGTAATCGCGCGCGTACCGCCCGCTCATGATGCGTGGTTGGGGTCCAAGATGTGGTAGCCGGTAGTCGGGTCATGAATGCTGGTGGAGGGTATGGTGGTACTTGACTTGCACCACGCAAGCCGCGCGCGGACCCAGCAGGAAGAATCGTTGGCCGCTGCGATCCGTTCGCTGGTGAGGGCTAAAGCTGGGGCGTCGTCGTGGCTGTGCGCGCGAGACCGGTTCTGGCGGCGCGGTCTGCACAACACGATCGTTAGGGCTGACGAGATATTGTCAACTTCCTCTAGGTCTTGGCGGTGCGCAATCACCTCAAACTCGAGATCGTGCCAGACCATGAACGGGGTGACCATGAGTAGACTACGGCCAAACAGGCCCAGCAGTTCGTCCACCGACGCCCGCCGCACCATCGGGTCGCTCTCTGTTTGTTGCGCGTAAAGGTTAGCGGTGAATTGCACTCTTCCAAGACCAAGAACGAACATCATCACTACATCACTGCGACACGATACACACACGACACGCGGGCTGGTACTTGTTGATGAGCCAGGAGCCGGGAATCTGGCGATGTGGAAGTTCTCGAGGGCGGCGTCGAGGTCGTGGAGTGTGGGAAGGTGGGTCAGGGCGCCCAGCCGTAGCGAGTGCTGGCCGGACCACTCGTCAGCCTCCATCACCACGGCGGGCCGCCCGCGTATCTGCAGGTGCTCGCAGGGCTCGTCCTGGTGCGAGCTCCACGTGATCGCCTCCGCGGAAAAGGCCGCCTTCACCACCTCGTCCCAGTGCCGCTCTGCGCATAAGAGCACAACTGCTTCAGACATTCGCTGCACGACACACACAGCACACCACACACGCACGACACACGACACACACGGCGACGCACCAGTGAGGAGGAAGAGGGCTGACGGGAGTGTAACTACGCGAGCGGTGACCGAGCAGCTGACGTATCGGTTGATGTAGTAGCTCTGCTGTCGCAGGGGCCGCCGGCCGCCCATGCCTAAGGCCGTGCGCAGCGCGCGGGACACGAACTGCAGCCGCGCCGGCGTTGGCTGCCAGCCGAGGCTGCTGCCTTCCTCCTTTTCTTCATCTTGAGCCTCCTCCAGCGCCGCCTTGCGCCGCGACTGACGTAGCGCCACGTCAGCTTCGTCGACCACCTGCTCTCGCGGCCGCTCGTGTGCTGTTCCCTTCGTCGTACGACGATTCGCTCGCCTTCGATTCGCTCGGCGTCGCTTCTCCTCGGGCACCTCGTAGCCCGGCTTGGCGTTGGCGGCAGCCTCGGCCTCGGCCGCCGCCTGGCTGGCGGCTTGCTTCAGCCGCCGCTTGCGCTCGTTCTCGGCCTTGCGCTGCTGGCGCCGCAGCTCGCGCTTCTTCTCCTTGGCGAGCGTGGCCAGCTCGGCCTCGGTCACCACCATCTCGAGCTTGGCCTCGACCTCGCGCATGAGCGCATCGTGAAACGCGCCACTGGCCTCCACCGCCACGAACAGCCGACAGCACACCAGGCGCAGGCTAGCCACCGCGTTCACCGCCACCGCCGCGGGCGCCGACGACGCCCCCGGAGCTGCCGTGGGCAGCACCAGCCATTCCAGCACCGCGAAGAGCAGCTCGAGGGGCAGGCCCTGCAGCCCACTAGCTTCCTGTTTGACCCACTCCACCCACAGCCACACAAACGCACGAATATGAGGGCTATGGTGGAACAACGTTGGGGGGGGGGCAGCTAACTGTTGGCAGAGCGGCAGAAGCTTTGTGGTGGGCTGCCCTCAGCAGGGCGGACCACTTCTTATCACCTCGTCTCTGCCAGGAGGCCACCAGACGTGGCGCCTGCATCTTCGACCCGTCCATTCAGTGATTGTAAGAAAACAATGCAAAAGCCGATTAAAAATACAAAAAAGGACTTTATCAAGATGACGAAGGGCAGCCGGGGGCTAACGATCACAGGGCGGGTGGGCGAAGGCTGAACCCTGACTGGAGGGGTGAAGAGGAGGGTGAAGCGGGAGACCACGAGGAGGCGGGAGACTCGTCCCATGCCGGTGCTCCTGCGCCGTCGTCGATTGCGGCTGACTGGTTGGCCCAGCGTTTGGCGCGGCTGGCGAGAGGCGCTGCAGCAGCGAATGCCCGAGCGGCCTGGGTCGACATGCAGAACGGCGAATCGATCCACTGCGAGTCCATCACCTCCTCCCGGTCGACTCCTCCACTGCCCACCGTCGCCTTCGTTCTGCCTCTGGCCGCCGGCAGCGCAGCCCGCGCGCGTTTCCTCTCCAGCTGCTCTTCGCCTTCGCTGTCGTCGCAATCGTCGCCGTCGCCGTTTGGTTTCCGCTCGTGAGTGCCTCTCGCTGCGCTCTGCGCACCCTCGCTCTTCGGCTCGGCCGTCTTGCCTCGGTCCGTGCGCCTGCTTAGTTCATCAAGATCTTCCTTCTCTTCGATCCACCGGCCGGCAACGCTCTTTTCCAGCACGTCAATCGTGGCGAGGAAGGACGAAGTGATCTCGAATTCGTCCGACGGCGACGACATGGGATCGAGCGAGGAGGGGATACAGGCTGAAGTAGAGGAGGTAGACGTAGAGGTTGAGGTTGATGACGCGGGTCCGGTCGAATTCGAGGTTGCTGCTGCAGCGGACGGCAGGGCTGACGATGCAGAGGCGGCGGAGGAAGAGGCGGAGGTCCGTGGGCTCTTGGCTGGTGTCGTGCGTTTGTCCGAGCGCGTTGACGCGGCGGCGAACGGAGAGGTGGGCACCGTGAACGGCGACTTGGCCGGTGACGGCAGACCTCGAGGGGAAGTGGGCGAAGTCCTGTTGTTGCTCGCCACCGGAGATGGCTGTGGTTTCGGCGCAACACGAAGTAAGCTGTCAAGAAAGACGACACAACTGCGCACAGGTTGTGGTGCCATACCGCCGACTTGGTGCGAGGAGTCTTGTCTGGATGCCTGCGCGCAGGCTCAACCGTTGTCCTCCGCCTCTTACTTATGGGGATGTCTGTCTCTTCTTCCCCCTCATTCCCTCCCTCATCGTTCTCGTTCTCGTCTTCTTCGCTGCTCTCTGGTGCCTTTTCCTTGCCCTTCGCTTTTTGGCGGGCCATTTTTTCCTTTTCGATTTCTCTTCGCGTTTCTCTCTCTGCCCGTTTGTCTTGCTCTGCGGCTGCCCTCTTCATCTCCACCGCCTCCAACTCGCGCTTGATGGCTGAAGCTGCCGCTGCCGCCTCGGCTGCCTTCCTCTTCTTGGCCGCGGCTGCGGGTGGTGTGAACTCTTCGATGGAGAACTCGCAGTCGTCGGCGCCATCATCATCGCCTCTCCTGCCCAGCTCGTGCTCGATGATCTGATTGCGCAATTCGAGAATGACTGGCGGCGGCTCTGCCGCTGCAGCGTCATCTTCTGCCCTGCGCCGACTTCCAGAAGGGGAACGCTTGGCAGCGGTCGTGCTGGCAGGCGCTGATCGGACTGCACCGACGAGGGACGATTCCTTGACGAACGGATTGGCGAGCGAATGAGGGATAGGGAAATTCGAATGATTCTGCCGCTTGGCGTGGATGAAGTTGAGATAGACCTTCTGACCGCCCACCACGACGTAGTCTTTCTGCCGTGGCGAGCCTTTCGAAGGCGCCAGCATGTTGCCGCCTGACGACGATCTTCTGCCCGATGCCTTCGAATGGGTACGTTCCTTTCCCGCCTTTCCCCCTCCATTGCCATCCCCACCTCTCCTCATTCTTTCGCCCTCTTGCCGTTTCATTCCCTCACCGTTTCATCAATCATCGTGGATGGACGCCAAAAATAACTTGGAAAATATTTGCCTCAAATTTTGGTGTCGGCATATATCCGGACACGGAGGCGTGACGGAAAAGGGAAACGCAGAGCGGGTGGGCGGCTTTCCATTCATTTCTTCGGTCTTTCGAGGAACGGAGGAAGCCGAGACCACGCACGCACGCGCGTCTCTTAGTGTACACGCGGCCACAACAGGCATCGTTTGCTTTATTACTCCTCGATTGCTTGATCGATTAAATTCGTTCGGCATTCTAGAGACGGAGAAGAGAGTCTATCAATTTGTCAGTGGTATATCTTTCCTTCGCTCTTGTTGATCTTCATTATTTACAGATTGGAGATGTAGCATCGCGCCTCACAATGCAAGAAAACGAGATTCTGACCAATCATTCTTCATCAGACAAAAGAACAAGCCGGCGAGGGTGCGATGTCGCAAGAGCCCCACCGCCAAGATCGCCATGGATTAAGATTGACCGACCACTCATCCGTAGCCAGGTTCGTCAATTTGGTCTTTTATCAATCTATCAATCCCCCCCCTGTTCTTATCATTCCTCTACGTAGTAATGGAGAAGCGGACAGGCGAGCATCTGCAAAGACGCCAGCCATGGACATGCCCTTCCTGAATGGTACCCTTCTGCACCCATTTGGCTCATCTCCCCTTCATCTTTCGTTTGATTCTTCCTGTCTTTTTTCGTTCCGTTAAATTTCCATTTCTAATTTTGTTTTGGCAACGACTTTTGACACGATGCGTTCCATTTAGATGTGTGGGGCGAGGAGGACATGTTTGCCATCGAAGGCGGGATTACCTCCGGACTCTCTTCGCCAGTGTTGTCATCGCCCTCGTCTCCCGCTCGCCACTTGGCGATGGCCAAAGGTGGCTCTTCGCCTTACCCGCCCTCCTCTTCGGCTTTCGCCTCTGCATGCATCGCCGCGAGCGCTATGGACGACCCCTTCTCATCTACGTCGCCCGTCTCAGCCTCACCACCGGCTTCGCCATCCCTCATCAAGCGCTCCCTGTTCGTGGGCTCGAATAGCGACTCGCTCGGCGCAGTTGGCGGCAACGGGCTCCACGTAACCACGCGCACCCACGATGCCTCTTCGGTCCATGCGCCGAAGAGCGACGGCATGCTCGACGGGCCGATCGTGGTCGAGACAGACTACATGGAGGAGGAAGGAGCGGAGGGTACCTGCGCTGCTGGTGCCCAGCAGTTCCACGGCGACAAGGAACGGCAGAAGCGAGAGAACGCGCGAGAGGCCGAAGGGGCAGTTTTGAAGAACGGGGTGCCAATGGAGTCAGCGGCTAAGGACGATGGCCGACGAAGCAACAAGCCCGAGGGAGAAGAATGCATGGAAGATCTCCGCCAAGCGATGAAGGGCGAGGCGCTGAGCGAGTCGAAGGGCGCTGAAAGCATGGAGGTGGACGACATCAACAGAGAGCTGGTGGCCTCAACAGCCGCAGCAAGCTCGACGGCGACAAACGACGACGGGCACGACCACCAACACCACTCCCCCAACGTTGCCGTCCCGATGCCCGAGAGCCATCTCGCATTCCCCGACGTTCCGTCGACGACCGTCGCGGAGGTCACCACCCAAGCGGAGAAGGTACCCGAGACCAAGGAAGCACCATCCGCCACGAAGGTGGAAACCGCGGCTCCGAGCCTCGCGCCGCTGGTTGCCACCGTACTGCTGCCGGTGGCTCTACCGCTCGCGCCGCAGCTGTTGGCAACGACCACCACGATGCCGACGACCGCACTGGCACCGCTGCCAACGGTGCCGCCAGAAATGAAGGTGCCTGTGGCGGTGACAACGCCGACGGCATCTCGCGGCAAGCCGAGTGCTGCGGCCGGCAAGAAAACTCCCACCACGCCTAAGGCGCCCGTATCGAAAACGGTCACCCTCCGCGTGAACACGGACCGGGAGGACTTCAAGCGATTCGCCTCCATGACACGCGACAAGCTCCGACAGGTTGGCCATCTCCTCCCTCCTCCTTTCCCTTCTTTCTTCTCCACTCCCCGCACGCACACTTACACTCACGATCGAACGCCTGAAGGAGCTGAAGGTGCGGGGCCTGTCGGTATCGGGAACGAAGACGGATCTGTACCAGCGCATCGTCGAGGCCATTCTCGCTCAGGAGCAGAAGGACAGCGGTGTGGTCGGTGTCGTCAGCAACGTGAAGATGGGCAAGGTCGTCAAGGGCAAGGGCGCCGGCGGGGTCAGGGCCAAGAAGGAGCCCGCCGGCAGGCAGCAGAGCAGAGCCGACCTGGACGAGGACGACGAGGAGGAAGAGGAACAAAGCAGAAAGAAGTCGTCGACGAGCTTCGCCTTCCCCTCTGTTTCGACTCCCGGCGCCTCATTGTCTGGGCCGTTTACGCCCTTCTCGCCGTTCGCGCCGATGTCGTCCTCGGGCTTCGCAGTTCCGCTGCCGTCGGCTGCGGCCAAGCCTCAGACGCCGAGGAAGGAGAAGGCAGCTGCCACCGACAACGCCCTCTTGAGCCTCGACTTTGATGGTATGTCACCGCTCCTCGCACTCTCGCGTAAATCTATTCTCCTTTGCACCCACGTATTAATTCAATTTTTTTGTCGCTTTCGTTCTTTTTCTTCACTCTTCGCCGTGATGTTTAGACGAAGACGCGCTGGACATTCCGCTGGAGGAGAGCCTCATGGAGGAACTGAGAAAGCAGGAGGAGCGGGAGCAGAGGATGGGCATGACCGCCACGACCGCCAACAAACAGGACGACGAGTACCGCTTCAGAAACGGGGATGGGCGCGATGACGATGAGGACACCGACACATTGGACGACATGTCGAGCGACGAAGACGACGACGAGGGTTTGTTGGAAGACGAAGAGCAGATCTCCCTCGCTGGTGACGGTGTCAGCGGCGGTCGTGCGGCGGTCGTGCGACGTAGTCACCGCAGCCACCACGCACCCAAGGACGAAATGGGCGAGACCGCGATGAGGCGTAAGGAGAACGAGGAGGGATTGCAGGAGGCCTCCAAGCTCACCGACATCGTGCTCATCAACGACAAGATCCCCAAGCACCTCCGCACGGACGATAGGGTAAGTCTATTCCTCCACTCCACTTCACGTCACGTATGCAGTCGCTCACGGGTGTCACACTTGGTTTTCTCTTGCAGTATTACTACTGTAAGCACTGTGACAGGGCGTGGCCGAAGACATCGTTCAGGAACGCGCAACAGTTCGGTGCACACTGTTCCAACTGCGCCCGGCGTCAGATCAGGCGGACTCCCTCGCTCCCCAGGGCCGTGGGCTCCCCGGTGGCTGTCGATGGGTCGCGCCGCCTCAGTGTCGGACGCCTCAACCTCCGGCGGTCCGACGACGCCAGCCCCTCGCTCAAGTCCTCGCGCGACCTCACCAACAGCGGAACGCGCAAACTTGCAAAGACTGTACGTTGGATGACCACCTCACATTCCTTGTGCGCAACGGGTTATTGGACGTGCGCGCCAGACAGCTCACGTGCGGCGAAACGCGTGTGTCCTTGACCAGTCTATTCAGCCGATGACGCTCGGGCGCATGAAGGCCGAGAATCGTGGTGTGTTCCTCTGGTTCGATGCCCTTCCGACCGACCTCATCGTGCGCATTCTGTCCTTCCTCGAATCCAGCCCTCGTGATCTCGGCGCCATCTCCGCCAGCTGGTACCGACCAGACACACATACACACACACGTCAGCTAACAAACTGCATCACGAATTCGCTAACATGTTGCTGTTGGTCACAAACAGCCACTTCTTCTCGATCATCGCCGCCAACGACGCGCTGTGGCGCCGCATGTTCGAGGCCAGGTGGGGCACGGACCTCGCGTCCCACTACAGCGGCACCTGGAGAGAACGCTTTGCGAGCCGCGTGTTCTTCCTGAAGGCCAAGACCGCGCTCCCACCCGTCATTCCTTCGCCCTCCGCAGTAACTAGCGTACGTCGTGTTCCTTTCCTTTTCCTTTTCGTTTCCTTTCGCCCCCTTTGTCGCTGCGGCCAACGGCTCGCTTTTTCGTGACCATAATTAATTGGTATCGTGCTTCTGCTACGCAGGTTGCTGAAGGGGAAGCCAGTCGGCTGAAGGAAGCGTGGAATGGGCTGCTTGCTGACCCCAAGCTGAAGGCCCGCACCGTCGAGACCGTGCTCGCCGTTCACCACGCCACCTTGCTCTCCTCCGCCGAGCTGGTTCCGATGAGCGCGAAGCCGATGTACCTGGTCCAGTGGGCGCCTGCCGACGATAACGACAGCAGTGCGCCGGAGGATCGCCAGAGGTGGGTGTCAGAGGAGACCATGACCGTCGCACCTGTCGTGTCCCTCGTCGGCTGCTCGTCGGCGCTGCCGGGCCGCAAGCGACGGGTGTCGGACTACGCGCTGTCGTACGACGGCGGTAGCAGTAGCAGCAAGCGGATGCGACGCCAGGACGGCAGCGACGACGACTCGAGCGACAGCGATGATGAGGTCGACAGCATGATCAGCTTCGACGACCTCGGCGGTGTCTCTGCCCGGAAGAGGAAGCGCAGGACCCTCGAAGACGAAAGCGACGAAGACGACGACCAGAGCGAGGACGAGTCCTCGCTCCTGGGCGAGGACAGCCTCGACGGCATCAGCTCGGCCGTCACTGCGGCCGACTCGCAGCAGCTGATGAGGCGCAAGTTCGAGGAGGGACCCAACGCCAAGGAGGCGCGGCTCAAGCGGAAGCAGCTGCTGCGCGACAAGGAGGAGCGAGCGCGGAAAAGGCGGAGGAAGGGCCGACGTCAGGAGGCGATGAACGGCGGCGGCGACGACGGCATGAACGGCGCCAACAACGACGACGTACCGCTGACCAAGGAGGACAAGGAGCGACAGCAGAGGGAGTTCCTCAGGGTGCTCTACAACAACCGCGACTACAAGCCGGTCATCCTCTTCTTCGACAGGAACGCTTGATCAATCGAGTGGTGGTGTTGGGCGAGCTCGCGCCTGGGCGCGTGCGACGATGACGATGACCACCATCATCGTCGGCATCGCCGTCATCATCACCTTCATTGCATCGACCCAGTACGACTTCGTCGCTCTCAGCCGACGGTGGGACCGGCGGACGAGTGCTCTGTCGGAGGTGGAGACGACTCGCGAGAAGGACGATGCACCAACATGGGATGGTGAGGAGCGCGTCGACGTCGGCAGCACCGCACGCGGGCAGCAAGAACACACAACGCACAACAAACACACACAAGCAAAAACAAATAAAAACAAACAAATAAACCAAAAGTTAGGCGAACACGGTGTTGGTTGTCTGTTCGTTGAATTGTTAGTTTTCGCATCCAACAGAGGAAACGCACCACCAACAAACGTGTGTTGTGCTTTCAATCATCTTCCAATCCACTGCATCTAGGAAGAATCGATTCTAATCGAGTGCGAAGGAATTAGACGAAGATAACAGATAATAGTAAAGATATGAAGCTCGTACTAAAGAAATTGCCAGACCAAGTAGCGATCGAGGTCGAGGTGGCCGAGGATGCGACGTGCGAGGACCTCAAACGCCAGATCCAAACCGATCACCAATTCGACGTGTCCTGGCAGAAGGTCATTTTCGCCGGACGCATCGTGTCCGATGAGGCTCGCCTTGCCGAACAGGGCATCAAGGATGGAGCGTCGCTCGTCCTCGTGGTAAGGAAGCCAGACAGCGCAGCGGCTGCTGCCCCTGCCGCATCCACGCCTGCTGCCGCCCCTGCCCCTCAATCAGCTGCTCCTGTCGCCACACCTGCCGAAACACAACCTGCTGCCGCGGCCACCCCTGCTGCAGATGCTGCTCCGGTGGCAGCCGCTTCCACACCTGCGTTTACGCCTTCTGATGAGGCCCTCTCGGCGTACGCACCCTCCAAGATCAAATTTATAAATTTGTATATTCTCTACACGTAATCAATCCGATCCATGCGAATGCCATGGCCTAACCATTGTGTCCCGCGGCTAGGTTGCTGGGCATGGGCTTCGAGCAGGAGCAGATCGTGCGGGCACTGCGCCTCGCCAGAAACGACCTCCAGAACGCTTGCGACCTTCTCCTCTCCGGTGCTCCTCTCTCTGAACCCACCACACCCGCTGCTGCCGCTGCCGCTTCTGGTGGTACGCTTTCCTCCTCTCGTGTCGTGTGTGTATGCTTGTGTCGTGTGTCGCTGCGTGCACGCGCAAGTGATCTTTGCATGTGAGCGCTCATGCATGATCGCGTTGGGCACACGTGCAGGCGCTCAGCGGACCGACCCGCAGCAGGAGGCCAGCAACCTGATGAGCGATCTCATCCAGCGCATGGGCCAGCAGAACTCTGATCCGCAGGCACAGTTCGAGTGGGTCGTGCAGCAGCCTCAAGTACCTCCATCCTGCCCGCAGACCTTTCAAGCACTGCGCTGCACTCGAGGCTCACCCATTTTCTCTCTCTCTCTCTGTGTCGTGTGTGTGTGTGGTGCGAACCAGTTCCAGCGCATTCGATCGCTGCTCCAGACGAGGCCAGACCTCTTCGCCGCGCTGCTCACCCAGCTGGGCGGCTCCAACCCGCAGCTCCACGAGCTCATCTCACAGAACCAGGCCGAGTTTCTCGAGTGGCTCAATGACGAGGAGGGCGGCGATGGCGACGGCAGCGACATCGCCGTCGTGCAGACCGGCGGCGGTGGAGGCGGTGGCGCCGCCGCCCAGCTGAGCCAGAGGGACGAGTCGTCGATCACGCGATTGATGGAGCTGGGCTTCGGCAGGGACGTGGTGAGGCAGGCCTACCTCGCCTGTGGCAAGAACGAGGAGATGGCGGCCAACTACCTCTTTGAGAACAGCTGAACTCTCCTCTGCTGAGGCATCACGGCCCCTTCTTGCCCTTCTCTCCATCTCTATCTTCCTCTAGACTCTTTGTGTATGCACTGTAGTATCCCCTCCCAACACACCACAACAACGGCAACAACAACAGCAACAGCAACAAGAACGCCTCTTCTCGCACATTGCTTCAGGCAGCCAATGCAGCCAAACGCAGTTCACGGAAAGGCGGACCATAAAAGAGAGAGAAAAGAAACGAAGAGCTTGTACAACCTCTTTCAAGCACAACGGAAGCACCACCCATGCGAGTGAAGACGGTGATAAGGGGCAAGAGGACGGCCGGAACGGTGTACTACTGCACCAACTGCGCGAATGACCTGGTGGCCGGAGGCGAGATCGATATCTACCCCGCTCACCGCTCACAAACTCGTACTGCTCTCTCCAAGTACAAGAACAACGAAGTGCATGGTTTCTCTGCATGTGTTGTTAGCGACTGCTCATGTTGCTCATGCGATGTCGTTTGCATGTTCTGCGTGCAGCTACAACACATGCAGCTGCTACAAGGGGCGGGGTCACAGTGTCACTGAACAAGCGGGGTCGATGGGACTTGCTGAAGAACCTGAAGACCATCAAGACCCAAAAGAAGGGGTGCCCGCGGGACAAGGTGCCCCAGTACCACGACATGGCCAAGGGCTCCTGCCAGTGCTCCGGCTACTACCCTGGTCCCAAGCCGCGAGATAACCGACCGGCCTTCCTCCACAAGATCCGTACGACCGACACAAGAGCGTCGATTGATCCACATCAGCTTCATCGTTGACACACCTTCATGACACAAACGTTCAGGGCCGAGCGTGGTGGTGCTAAGCCGTGACGAGGTGATGGAGGTGCTGCCCGAGAGCGACTGGGCGCACCTGGCTGACGCGCGCGGCGTGGTGGCGGAGCAGTGGCTGTGCTTCTTCACCAAGCAGGGACACTGCGCCGAAGGGCACAGCGAAGTCGCCGCCTGGCAGTACTTCAACGGCATGAGCCAAGAGGACCAGCAGAGCTACGGTAAGCTCTTGTGCGTGTGCGTGTGCGGTGGTGAGTGCGGTGTGCAGCAGTGTGTGCGTGAGTGCTGACCTCATCGGAATCCAATCGAGACAGGCCTGCTGCTGGTGAAGCAGGACAACGCGGAGAAGAAGGGCAAGCTCTTCCAGTGTCCGTTCCACTCCACCATGTCCGCGCGCAACAAGCTACGACCAAAGGCGCGGGGCAAGGACAAGGGCACCACCAAGGAGCGAACGCGAAACATGGCCGCCTCCTCCTGACTCCTGGCTCTCTGTCACTCATTCGTCGTGTACCCCCGGTGGTGTAAAGAAGAAAGTCGGAGGTGGAAGGTGGTGTACAGAAGAAGAAGAAGAAGGATGAAAAAGGAAGGAGGTTCCCCTTTTTCGTCTGTTTCGCTCTGTCGCAGGGGTTTCGGCTCGCTACGACCAAACGACACGAACCTCACAACCATGAAGAAGACGACGATGGCCTTCTCCGCCGTGGCGCTGTTGTTCGTTCTCTTGTCCTGTTGTTCTTCTTTCGTTCTCGGTGGCGTTCCCACCACCGAGGTGGAGCAGAGCGTCGTGATCGGCTTCGACCCCAACTTTGTGGACGCCAGGGCGTGGAACAGTGAAAACCCCAGCGGAACTGGTGAGGCGGTCCTTGTGGCGCGGTTCGTCGAGTCCCTCGCAGGCGAGAGCGTGATCAAGATCGAGGACTACACGGACAAGGCGGCCTGGCGCTCGGCCCTGTGGAACGGCAAGGTGGTCATCTTCATCGAAACAGAAGAAAGCACCGCTTCCGAGATGAAAGCAGCGCTGAGCCAGGACACTCGCACGGCCATCAAGGACTGGGTGCGCAACAACGGCGGCGCCGTGGTCTTCTGCTACGGCGAGAGTGAGCCTGCGCAAGTCCTCACCGGCCTCGATCTCACCGAAACCTCACCCGGGCCAACTCCTTCTGATGAGAAGAGGGGCGAGGTGGAGGATATAGGGCCGGCCAGCAGGACCAGCGACGGTGACGCCTCGCCTCTCTTCGGCACCAACAGCAGTGCGCCCACTGAGGTCTCCGGCATCGATGCATGCAGCCCGTGGTACTTGGGCAACGAGCTGCCGGCCAGGAGCGCGAGCCTCAAGTGCATGTACGGAACGATTGACGAATGCTATCTGTGGCGCTACGCCGACGGCAAGGGCGCCTGGTATGGCGTGTGTCCGGACTTCTACGACTGGGGCTACGGCGAGGACGCCCAGGACGGCGGGTGGATGGCGGTGATGGAGATCATCATCGGGTCGGCCGACCCGACCCAGACCTCGTCGGGCGCGCAGCTCACCCACTGGGTCCAGTGGCTCGCCGCGCTGCTGTAGGCAAGGCCTTTCGCCCAGTGGGCTGGATAGAGTTGCGGATCCACGGACCGCAACGAGAAAGATAAATAAATAAATAAAAACACAACTGCCAAGAGGCAAGCCACCATTTGCCTCCAGCGCACACAGCGCAAACCAACATGCCTCGCTATGGAGGTGCGACTGAGCCACACACGCGTCGCAGGTTTGTTGTTTTTAATTTGTTTTTATTTGGGGGGGGGTGAATGATGGGGTTAGGAGCGGGTGGGTTGGCGCAGCTGCGGCACGAGAGCGCGCGCGACTCAGTGGAAGCCGAGGGGCTGGCTCGCTCCACGTCGTGGCGCTTGGCCAACTTCGGCATCGGTACGTTTCACTTCATAAATCAATATAAATCAATAATCAATCAACAAGTAAATAGATATATATAAAATAAATGTAAACACACGGCAAGTGGCCGCCAAGTGTGGTACTCACCCGCGAGGCTTCTTGTGCTCGCCTCCGCAGGCGCGGTGGCTGTGACCGCCGCACGCACGCTGACCTCACCACTGCGGAATGTCCACGTGCAGCTGCTGCTCGACCAAATCAGTACGTTTGGTGTGCGGTGTGTGTCGTGTGGCGTGTGGCGTGTATGATGTGCACTGGGCTGACGCCGGGGTGCGTGTGCAGAGGGGAGGAAGTCTTCGGTGCTGGGCACCACGCGGGACATCTGGCGGAGGGACGGCGTGCGCGGGTTCCTGCACGGCAACCTGAGCGCGTGCGTGCGGACTGCCGTTTACAGCGGCGTCAAGCTGGCCACCTGGACCAGCCTGCGCCTCTTCCTTGAAGACACCACCGGCCGCATGAGGTATAATAACGCATAATATACATAAATAATAATGAATAATAATATATACAAATAAAATAAAATGTAATACATAAATAAAATAAGAAATATAATAATGCATGAGGATGGTGGTGATGACGACGGTACGCTCGGGGGGGGGCAGTAACTATCGAAAGGCGGTGCTGGCCGGGGTGTTCTCGGCGGCGGTGGCCGTGGTGGCGACGCTGCCCATGGAGGTGCTCGAAACGCGCATGATCGCCGCCATGCGGTGCGACCCCGAATCTGTGGGTACGACGTCTCTGCTCGCTTCAGCGATGACCGAGTTCTGATCTGTGTCGTGTGTGTGCGTGTGTGTGTGTCGTGTGTGTGCGTGTGTGTGTGTCGTGTGTGTGCGTGTGTGTGTGTCGTGTGTGTGCGTGTGTGTGTGTCGTGTGTGTGTCGTGTGTGTCGTGTGTGTCGTGTGTCGAGATGTAGATCGAAGGCGGCTGATTGGTGTCCCGTTTGGGAGGCGCTATTGGCGACTCCTCCAGGGGCTCCGATCAGATCTCGCCGAGCAGCAGGGCGGTATGGACTCCACCTCACCGCCTTGCAGCCAACTCCCCGCGCGCGACCCTTCGCCTGGCTGACCCCTTCCTCTCCCCTCCGGCGCGTTGTAGGCAAGGCCAAGGACACCCTGGAGTACCTGTACATGAGCTGGAAGCCGGCACTGGCCAACCAACTGCTCCAGGAGGTGCGAGCACAACACCACGCTACCAGCATTGCGTATAGAGCTCAGTTTCTTCTTTCTTCGGTCTTCTTCTTTCTTCGTCTTCGTTCTTCTTCTTTCTTCTTCGGCCTACTTTCAGCTGGTGCTGCACACCACGCAGGAGCTGTTATTCATGGTCGAGTCGAAACCGGCCGTTCGGTACTCGGCCACCGCCCACTGTGTCGTGTGTCGTGTGTCGTGTGTCGTGTGTCGTGTGTCGTGTATGTTTGGTGGCACGCATGCAACGCGTGTGTTGACTCATGTGCGTTGTGTGCGGCCACAATACAGGAAATACATGATCAGGGTGGGCGATGAGACCAGGCAGCTGGTGAAGGATTGTCTGGTCTCCTTCATTGCGCGAGTCGCCTGTCTGCCGCTCATCAACATCGAGTACCGCATGGAGCTCACCAACAAAGGTACGCTCTGTGCAAGCTCTCATTTTTCTTTTCCTTCTCCTCTTACGTCGGAACGTTGGGCGGGGACCTACTCGGACTTGAGCGTCATTTACTTACGCACCATTTTGCCGTGGCGATGGTGGTGCTCGCTCTCTTGTGCAGGATTTTTTGAGTGTTGTGTGGACATCTACAATGGCGGCGGTGCATCAGGTTTGTGCGTTCGTGTGTGCTGTGTGCGTGTATGCAGGCATACGACTCACCTTTTCTTTTGTTTTTTTGTTGTTTTTTGTTTTGTTTTTTTAATTACAGGATTCTACGCGGGGCTGTTGGCGCAGCTGTGGGTGGTGCCCTACTTCTGCAGCTACCACCTCATCATGAGCGGCGTCTACTCCATCCTCGACCGCCTCGAATAAAACCAATCACCGTGGCTTGGGGTTTGATTGCCGACTGGACGGAGCCGTATCTAGACATCTGTGCGCTGTGCGATCAGAAGAGGGAACACTTGCGACGTCGTTCAGCGCTTGGGTCTAGCGGGGGTGCGTTAGGCTGCCGTATGGCGCGGACCAGCTGGGCGAAGGCCTCCTCGACATTGATGCGCGACTGGGCTGACGTCTCGATGAACCGGCAGCTCGGCCCGAACGACGCGGTCAACGCCGCGCCCTCGTCCGTCGCCACGGCGCGCTGCCCGTCGAGGTCGCACTTGTTGCCCACCACCACCATCGGCACCGCGTCGAGCATCTTGAGGGCCAGCATTCTGTCGCGGAACCCGGCCACCGACTCAAACGAGGAGTGCGACGTGATGGCGTAGACGATCATGAAGCCCTCGGCCCGGCGCAGGTACTGATCTTTGAGTGCACTGTGCAACGACGTTTGGAGATTGGAGAAGAAGGTGAAGGTGAGCAAAACGTGAAATCGGAATGAGAAGATGATGAGGACGAGAAGGGTGCCTGTGTTCTTGGTCGGCGGTGTCGAGGATGTCGAGGAGACATGTCTCGCCGTCCACCGCGAATTGCTTGCGGTAGGAGTCATCGACCGTCACCTCCCAATCCTCTTGGAAGTGGCCCGTGGCAAACCCCACCGTGAGCGCCGTCTTGCCCACCCCGGCAGCGCCCAACACCACCACCCCGTACTCCGCCATCTAGTCTCGGCCCAAGAAAGAAATGGCGCATAAAACAATGTGCAACAAAAAGAAATACTCAACAAAAAAGGACATTGGTGGGTAAAAATAACGAGGGCTGGGTGGTTGGTCAGTTGTGTGACCAAAGAGAGAGAGGAGGACAAACATTGGCCCGTCAAACAGGTTCGAGGGAGCCCCAGCGCTGGCCGGCAAAGAGATTGACGACCATGGGCACGTCGAGCGCGACGGCGTGTTCCATCTCCTGCTTGACGATGGCCTGCACGCGCGCCAGGTCCTGCTCGGGCAGCTCGATCACCAGCTCGTCGTGGATCTGCAGCGCCAAGTGCGGCGCCGTCAGCCCGCGCTGGCCCTCTGTCGCCACCACCCGTCAGTTGCTGCGAGCCACTCTCGCGTTGTGTGGTGTGTGGTGCGTGTGTGCGGCACGTGCATATAAATGCGTGTGGCGTGTGTGTCGTGTGTGTTCCTACCGTCAGTGGCGTAGTAGTCCGGCCAGCCCTCCTCAAACTTCTTGGCGATGTTGATCATGGCTATCTTCATCAGGTCGGCTGCCGACCCCTGACACACGACACCACACACGACACCACACATGACAACGAAGAGTTGAGCGGCGAGTGGAGTGCGGTGTGTGTGTGTGTGTGTGTTTGTGTGTGACGGAGAAGCCGGGCACTATACTTGGCAGATGGTGTTGACGGCGCATCGCTCGGCGGCTCGGCGCTGGGTGGTGTTGGGCGAGTTAATCTCGGGGAAGTAGCGTCGCCGGCCCGCAATGGTCTCCACGTAGCCTTTCTTACGGCAGCTCTCCACCGTCTTGAACAGGAACTCGTTTACTCTGCCCATAGCTCGATTAGACACACGACGCACATGCACGCACGCACGCAGCACACACACTCGCCCGAGGGGTCGCACCCTTTGTAGGTCTGTTTGAATTTCTCCAGAAAGACTGCGGCCTCCTCGGGGCTGACTTCGAGTTGTTCGCTGAGCGAATGAGCGCCCATCCCGTAGAGAATGCCGTAGCACATGCCCTTGGCCTACACAGCACGCGCGCGTGTGTGTGTGTGCATGTGCGTGTGCGTGTGCGGTGGTGAGCGTGAGCGCACGGATGGAGAGAAGAAACGAATTAGATGGTGCGCGTACGTGGGTCCTCTCCTGTTTGGTCACGAGGGAGGGGTCCTTGCCCAGCCACTGCGACGCGATCATGATGAAGAGGTCGCCGCCAGCTTTCAGGGTGCTGATCAACAGCGCGTCCTTCGAGAAATGGGCCATCAATCTGTCACCACACGCACACGCGCACACAAGCGGATTCCATGTTTATCAGTCAGTGGCCTGCCTTGGGGGTCGCGTCACCAAGTACTGACGTCGGTCGAGGCGACGTCGTACCGCAACTCGAGCTGGGAGTAGTCGGCGGTGAGGAGCATGCAGCCCTTGGGCGCCAGGAAGGCATCGCGCAGGGTGATGGTCACCTCCTCGGTGCCTGCGCCGGTCGACATGAAGCACACCTTGTGCGGGATAGTCTGCAGGTTCGGGTTCTTGACCGCCAGGCGCCCCGTCGGCGACGCCGTCTGCATCCACGTGCCGTGGAGCCTGTCCATATCGAACCGTGCGTTGTAGCGGATGTACTTGGGCAGCACGTCGATGTACTTGGTGATCAGCGCCGTCAGCTTGCGGTGTTCAAGCACCACGTTGGGCAGCGGGTGCTGGTCCTTGACCGCCTTCAATATGTCCTTGCTACACCCGTATCTGATTATATATAGAAATAATGGGGTGTGATGGGGGGGAGGACGTCAAGCACACGGAGAAGCGCGGGGGGAGCTGCACTGGCGATGATGATACGATCGTACCGGACTTGACCGCCGCGCTTGATCTGGCGCTTGTTGCTGTTCTTGGAGTTGTTGTGGCCCAGGGTCTTGTCGCCTCCCTTGGTGAAGGCGGCCTGTTTGGGTCCGCCCGCCGGGTGCGGAATGCCCAGGTCGTCGAACAGAATGATCCCTAGAATCGGAAAACAGACCCGCTGAGGCTGAAGAAATGGAAGTGGGGGAGGGGTGGTAGCGTAGCGCGGTACCGGTCTCCATGGCGGAGGTGAGGGAGAACTCGCGGCCGGCGAGAGCGTAGGCCTCTTTCTCGAGCGAGCGGAGCTTGGCCTCCATGAGGTCCTTGTGCCGCTTGCACTCCTTGCCCACGAAGCCCACCCCCAGGTACTCCATCTTGGCCTGTCAAAGGAAGGGAAGGCGTCGATAAAAACTGAGCGCGCACACACGTACACACGGCGGCGCGGCGGACCATGACTGGAATGAGCGGCATCTCGAGGTCGCGGTAGGGCAGGAACAGGGAGTCGGCACGGAGCCGGGTCACCAGCTTCTTCATCAGGATCCACGATTGCACCGCCTAACCCTCGGGTGGGGTAAGTGACACCAGCTCGCAACGTTTGTAACACTTGAGTGAGCGCCGCGTACAGTTTTGCAGACGAGAAACTCAGGGGAGCCGGGCCGACCGTGGACCTTCATGTCTGGATTGAAGCGCGTGAGGAGCGTGTCCAGCGATACCTCGCACTAGGAAGGACCCGGGAGCCTTAGTTGTTTGTTGTACAAATTTCAATGCCCTCCCCCCAACAATTCACTACTGCAGGGAGCTACCTTGTCCTCCGGGTCGACCACCCAAGCCGCAATGCGCGGGTCGAACAGCTGCCCGTCCACTGTGTGCGAAAAACACGAAAAGGTGAGAATGGAAGGGCTACACCTGGGCGTTGGACTGCGTACCTCGGATTCCGGCTTCGAGGAGCAGCCGGAGGGCCTCGATCATGTCAAAGCAGATCACCTTTGACGTCTTCAGCTTCAGCACCTCGCGCATGGCCTCCCATCTGGACAACACCAGGCCCAACGTCAGTGCCCACAAATGGCCCCAGCTAAGATACCAACAAACTTCGAACCAAGTAAGACCTAAGTACCGGTTGTCGTAGCGCGTGTTATCGGCCCGGATCAGGGGCACATAATACACTATCGTTGACGACCAGCACAGCGCTATCGCCACCGCGCTCGTTCGCTTGTCCATCTTCGCCTGGCGTCACGCGTTTAGTGCGTGCGTGCGTGCGTGCGGTGCGTGCGTGCGTGCGTGCGTGCGTGCGTGCGTGCGTGCGTGCGTGCGTGCGTGCGTGCAGTGGTGCGGTGTGTGTGTACCGCTTTGGAGAAGGGTGATAGGGGCTGGAGGGCGAAGGCGAAGGAGGTGATCTTGCGCCACTGAGTGATGAGGCAGTCGAAGGTGATGCCCTTGATCACATCCCGCCCACCGTCCTGCGACTCGATCCGCTCCTTCTCGCTGTCGGACCGCAGCTCTCTGGTGGAGTCGTCGATCGTCGCTCCCTTTCCGCCGCCGCCGCCGCTGCCGTCGACATCGTCGTCCATGACCGGGATGAGTCGGTAGGGCAGCGGCTCCGCGTCGGCCTTGACCTCGTTGAGCTCATCGTAGAGCGTGATCCGTCGGCGCCGCTTCTTCTCCGCGCCTTGATCCTGGCCCTGTCCCTCGCTGCCCAGTTCCTCCTCAGAGGCCTCAGCGCTCTTTCGTCGACCTGTGGAGGGTCCATCATAAGCGCAACGTAACCAAACAAACCTCTGAAGCGAACGGGCAGGGAGCAGCAGCGTACCGCGAGAAGGCGTGATTCCTACGGAGAAGAGCGACGTCTGTTTCATTGCTTTGGTGGGTGAGGTTCGCTCACCTCTTGGTGCTGCGGCTGCAGCTGGCGCTGGTGCCGGCACGCCACTCGCCGCGCCTTGCTTGACCCCGGGCCTTGACTCTGCGTTTGCTGGTGCCCTCGCATTGGTAATGTTCTCCTTGCCCGGTGGAGCGCTCGGTCGTCGCTTCGCTGGGAGGCCTCTTGTTGGTGCCGACGTCGTGCTCGTCATCGTGGCCGAAGAGGTCGCCGCGAGCACTTGGCGCTCGGTTGCCGCGTGCTTGGCCGGCGATCGCTTGCGAGGAGGCTCGTTCCCCTCTTCCTGCTCCTGAGGCTCACCCTCCTCGGTCTCTCCGCTGTCATCAGCTCCTGCGGCGACCTTTCGCTTGCGGGAGAGCCACGGACTGGTCCGGGCCACCTTGACGCCGGTATCATCGACCTTGACCCGCTCATCCATGCTCTCATCGTCCGGCAGATCGATATCGACAACCAGCTCGGTCAGGCCGGTGGGCACATCCGCAACAACCTTCTTCTCCGGCGTCGTCTCGTTCGGGCGCGTGACCAATCGACTCGCCGGCCGGCCTGCGTCGATCATGGTCTTGCGCGGGCTTGTCGGCGGCCGAGGCGCATCGCCGATTTCCTCTGCCTCCGGGGGGACCTGCAGTGGCACCACGTCGGCCTGAACTTCTGGCCCGCCATTGAAGGACTTCTCCGGCGGAGAGAACGCGACCTTCTTCTTGGCCTTGCCCTTCGCTGGTCCTGGCCTTCGTCGGCTGCTGTATTGATTGGCCGATCAGACAGGCGCCTCCAGGTACCAGTGGATGTGGGTTAGATTGATATATGCGAAGAGTGTACTTGTGAAGCTTTGAGGGCGGCATGTCGTCTGGCGATTTGCTGGGTGATCGTGCATCACCGCTCTTGATGGGCGACTCCCCCTGGCCCAACGGCTTGATCGGTGATTTCTTGATCTGGAGATTGTCGCATGGTCAGCGAGGAGAGTTCACCCTTGAAGAGAACACGCTGCCTGGCAGCCCAGGAACAGTTGCGTACCTCATACTGAAAGTTAAGGCGATTCGGGTTGACCACCTGAGTGTTGGGCGAACCGGTGTTGATGCAACCAGCAAGGACCCGAGCCGACTTGTACAGGGTCATCGTTTGGTTGGCTGTACCATGGTCAGTAACACCTCTGTGGCTATAAATAAAGACCTAAGCTTACCCAACAGTTTCTGCGCTCCTGCGATCATCACCCTTGCGATACGTGCATCGACCTTTGAAGACTGCTTGCTCTTTTCCGCCGACTGTGGTTAAGGTTTGAGTTCTCAACTCGCCGGAGAGCCGAAGCCACTTCAAGTAAGGCTCGTACCTGGCTGGCCTGCTTTTTGCTGCGGAATGGAGTGGCGAGTCCGACGATGCGCGCAATCTCCTCGGTTGTAGCCTGCGCGATGGACGCCACGGTACGGTAGCCAGCGTTGTACAGTGCTCTGTAGAAGAAGCAGCACAAACTGATGAGCAATTGCAGACAACACGAAAGCTTTGTGGCGAGAGTTGTTACCTGGCGTTGAAGTTCTTCATCTCGGGAATCTGTACGAGGGGCAAGATGTCCATCTGTACGCCGAAATTGAGTCGATCGGTGAAGTGCGAGATCAGCAGTTCCATATCCCACCTGGTGGTGTAGGTTCGGTAGCCCACCGGCGGCATCGAGGAGTGAGTACAGCTTGCTGCGCGTTAGTGTTGTGGTGGGATGACGCACCAGCCAAGCTTTTGGCAAAAGGCGTGGACCATTCCTGCAAAGGTAGACGCAGTCTGCTGCAGGCTCTGCAAGCTTCCCCGTACCACGCCAAACCTATTCTTACATACGCCGCACTCATTCGTTTGTTTGATCTTCAAGGTCCCTTTTGGGGTGGAGGCCTGTGGCGTACTTGGCGGTCACCTCGCTGAAGGGAACTTCGTTGATCAGATCGTCGAGGATCAGCGCGGCGTAAAATCGTCGGTGGATGCGGATCACCTGCGCCAATGGTACACACACACACGTCAGCGAGACCACACCAACCGATAACCGTGCGGAGCGACGTTGTGCGTTACGTGGTCCATGGATTGATAAGCCGGCGGCGAGTGGGAAGCCTTGACCAGAAAGCGCTCCGTGACTCCGACCAAATCGGCCACCTTACGCACCGATGAGCTGAGCGATAGGTAGAGCTGCAAGAATCTGTGTGGGTCGCCACGACGTGGGTGTGTTGATGTTGAGCGCACGGTTTCAACCGTCAATTCAGGTTGGTTGGTCCACGCCCGACATGGGGATCCAACCTGTTCCAGTGCGGTTCGATGTTGTGGAAGACGGGGGTGACGTGGTAGACAAGGTGCAGCGGACAATCGAGCACAAAATTCTTGCGGCCGCGAGAGAGTTCATCAAACACGACCTAGAGGAGAAACGAGGCAACATCAGCGTAAGTGTACACTTGGAGGGTGGAGGGCATGCATGTAGCAGTGGTTAGGACGGACCAGGCCTTCCTCGGGTGACAGCGCCGAGGCGACACAGGCCTTGGCCAGCTTGGTCGGGCGGTACTTCTGGTCCCTGGCGCTCCACTCAATGAACTCGTTCTCCACCAGGAAACCGAGAGCGGTTTTGGACACCACATGCACTTCCTCGTAGGGTCTGTACTCGCGTAAACCAAGAATTCGAGGTCAGCACTCGGCGACATCCTGAGAAACGGGTGTACGACACGCAGGGACCTCTGAAAGGAAAAGAGAGTGCATCGAATGTAGCGGGCGATGTCGTGCACGGTTTCGACGACGCCGCTGCATATAACCTCAATCAAGGGCCTGTGCCAGAGGTGTGAAGAGAGTGAGCCAGGAATACCATCCAAGAACGCAAGCAATTACTAGCTAAACACACAAAGTACCGCATCATGCCCCTCCGCTCCTGTGTGAGGCAGCTCTCGAGAGGAGGCAGTGCACTCTGCACCAGCTCCGCCGCATGGCTTCGATCCTGAGGCCGCATGATCAAATAGGACTCACCTGGTGTGGCACACCGGCTTGCGTGAGGTCCTGATCCACACCAGCGTGGGGCACAAATTGAGTGGATGCAGGTACCGTGGTCGTCTATGCCCGTTCGCCCGGCTCGCCCCGCCATTTGCTTGTAGCGTGTGACATCGAGGCCGTCCATGCCGATCTTGGCCGACCGAAAGATGACCCGGCGCGCTGGCAAATTGACGCCAGCCGCGAGGGTGGAGGTTGCCATCAGCACACTCACCACCCCCTTCCTGAACGCTCCCTCGATTATCTCTCGCTCCTCGACCGTGAGCCCTGTATGACCACATGACGAGTCTCAGCCGTCATAGCTAGCAGCATTTGCAATTAATTCATTACCCAACAAGCACGAAACCTGTAAACATACCAGCATGATGATAGGCAACGCCGTCAGGAACTGATGCCTCGAGCGTGGGATCCATGCCGGCTGGTGTCTTGGCGAGCTGGGCCAACACCAGCGCTCGTTTCTTTCTGAGCTCGTCGCTGATGATATGTTCCTGGCGTTTCAGGTTTGTTAGTCTGCACAAAACGACGAGAGCGGCGAGGCCGAGGCGCACTCACCTTTCGACGGAGAAGCCTGGCCATCTGCTCGCAGCTCTTCTCGCATCCCTTGCGCGTGGGACAGAAGACCAGCGCGGAGTGGCCCGACGCGATCACCTCCGAGCAGAGCGCGCCGACCTGATCGGCGTCGTCCGGTGTGGGCGGTGGTAGACTTCGCACGAGGTCGAAGTTGGTGTCATACACCTTGTTCTCGATCTTGATGAACTCTTGCAACGGGACCGGCCGGAAATCGGTGACATACATGGCTGCATCTGTGGGCACCAGGAGACATAGACACGTCAGCCACGCACGCAACAGGACGCTGTGGGTGCGAGTCGGCGTACTCAGCCATCGTTGAAGGTCGATTGTGTTTGGAATGGTGGCTGACATGCCGACGATCTGCCACCCTTCGTCGGCTTTGGCGTAGAGCAGCTTGGTCACCATCAACTCGAGCAGGTAGCCTCGGTCCGTGTCGCCCATCATGTGCACCTGCACGCAAGAGCTCCGGGTGTAAGCTCGTCCGTACGCAGCAGGTGTCATCATTGTGATGGAAGTGATACGCGTACTTCATCAATGACAATGATACCGACTTCGTCCAGTTTGTCCTCTTCAAGCAGCCTGTTGAGCAAATTGTTTGCCTGTGTCCAAAGAAAGAGTGAGCAGATCAGTTGCTTTTGTGTGTGTTGGTTGGGTCGGTGGTGCGCAGCTACCTTCTCGATTGTGCAGACAGCGATGTCGATGTCCTCTTCGTCGTTGTCCAGGAAAGGACCACCCTTGACAATACGTAAAGCATCGAGTATGTGAGTAATGGGAGACTTGGTAGATCGGCACTCTATAGGATCATGTATACGAACCTTGTTGGCATAGAAGCCGTGGACGCAAATGTCCATCGACTTGAACATCTTGCTCAAGTAATCGGCCTTTTCCGACACCACGCTCACGAACGGGAGGATGAAGATGGCCTTTTTCTTGCGTTGGAGCAAGGTGCGTAGCATCAACACCTCAGACACTGTAACGTTGACGAATGGAGGCCCGCCGTAAGTACTCAAGCAGTAGTGGTAGCAGCAGCAGCAGCAGCAGCGGTCGTACCCATGGTCTTGCCGCCCGAGGTCGGAGCCGAATAGACGAGGTTGCGGCCGTCCATCACGCCCTCCTGGGACAGGCACTCCACTTGCCAGTCGTAGAGCCTGCCCACCCCGTGCTCTGCGTAGGTCTGACACCTGTTCTCCCGAGGAGAGGAGCCTTAGGGTGCGCCACGCTTTGCGGGTCTTGAGGTGTGCGTACACAGAGTCTGGGATGCCCCAATACCGCAGGTCGTGCGTGTCGGAGTTGTGTGGAGAGCCGCTGCTGCTGCTCCGCACGGGAAGGACTGGCAGGATGGACGAGGCTGTGGGCGAGCGGCTGGTGTCCAGCAGGTCAGCGCTGCTCCGATCGTCGCTGGGGTCGCCGCCGCTGCTCGGCGGCGTGACTTTCTTGTTGCGCGCTGACGGCTCAACGATGCCTCGGCGAGGGAACGCGGCCTCGAGCTGGCTGAACACCTCCTGCATGGGCACTTCGTCGATATTCTGGCTCGACGAGAGGCACTGGTCCAGCTGCATCGCGCGGGCGCCAACGTCCGCGTCGTTGTTGCGATGAAAGAACGACTGGGAGATGGCCGCGTACAGGTTGCTGCCCCCCATGGTAGGTGGTTGCTGGTGATGCAACTGTTGCTGCTGCTGCTGCTGGTAGCGGAGGTCGAGGGTCTCGTCCTGGACCTCGATCGTGGCGTCGAGTGATGTATCGGCCGAATCCAAGAGATCGAAGCTCTCGTCGCACGGGTTGGAAGTGTTGAGTTTGTTGTTGTCGCTGGCGTTCGCTCCCGCGTGCGCGATGGGCGAGGGAGGGGACGGTGACGACCTGAGAAGCGAAGGAAGCGTTTGTACGTGTGGTGGGTGCTGCGCTACATCGTCGAGCAGATGCACGACGTCGTCGAAGAATTGAGGGTTCTGGAAGCACTGGGTCAGTCCGGCACCGCCGACACCGCGCGGAGGCGTGATCTTGTTGGGTGGCGTGGGCTGTCTCGCTGCGCTCGGGCGGGAAGCGTCGGGCAAGGACGAGGATGAAGTCGATGAGGTGGCTGAGTAATGAACAGGGCGAGTAGAAGAAGAGAAGGAAGAGGAAGAGGAAGAAGAAGAGGAAGAACGAGGAACTGTGGCAGATGGAGGAGGAAGGGAGGTCGATGGCGACTTGTAGGGCGTTTGAGGGACGCGAAACGAGCGTCCAGCGACAGGGACGGATGAAGTGGAAGGCTGCGGGGCTGCGCCGCTCGGTCGAGGAGCCACCGGGCTTGCAGTCTTGTTCTCTACTGCCTCAAGCATGGCCAACATTTCCTATCCACAACATCAAGCAATTTCATCACCATTTACATCGATTTTGCGAATCATCTGAACGAACGTACCTCGAAGAATTCGGGCTCATAAGGACTTGTTGCAAGAAGAGGCTGAACTGGCAGCGCCCCCTTCTTGCCTTGATTCATTTGTTATTTACAAAGGGCGTCCTTCTTGTTGGATTGATTATCGTTGCTAATCGTGTGGTTCGCGAAATAGTTCTTGGAAAAGATTTCAAATCGACGTATCACAGCCACTGCGCCTTGGCCATCTTGTCGGGCAAGAAGGTGTCGCACAAGAAGGAGATCGATATCGAGGAAAGGGCTTGCATCTCGATCTTCTTGCCACCGGCTAGCATGCTCTTGAGCTGGTTCCTGGAAGGTGTCGTTGTCACGTTAGCCCAACGCTGTCTGTCACATGAGATGATCCTGTGAATCAAGGCCAAGCGCACCGCCAGGTAGGTTTGGCCTGCAGGGCGGGCATGCTCAGCATCGTCTCTCCCTTGCGCTTGTCTACGTCGGTCAAGTTGGCGAAACACGCTGCGGGGAGCTCCCACTTCTTCAAGTCTTCGTCGTGCACGCCCAGCCTGACTCGAAGCATCTATCAGTCACGGTCATGCACCTCGAAGACAAGTAGCGGTATAGTTGTTGTGTGGTCACCATAGCAGCTCGGGCGTCGCCAGGCTCTCGGCATCGTATGTCATGCGCTGTGAGGGGAAGAAGAACTGAGCACGCCGTTCGAAAAGGACGACTCCGCAGGGATGATCATCGACGTACCAGAGAACCGAATGCGTAGGTGCAGAGGATCTGCAGACCCCAGGGATCGTAATCACAGAGAGCGAGCACGACGAGCGACGGGAGCGTGTCCTTGAGCATGCGAACGAATCGACGAGCTGCCAGGTCGGGTACACCCTTACCCTGATCAGAGAGAGAGAGAGAGAGCGGTATGAGTTGAGATCATCGGGCGGCAAGCGAGGACGTACAGTTAGCAATGCGCAAGGCCCATACTTCGTCACAAAGCCATCATTGAGCACTATGGTTCACAATAACGTGAGCGGAAGCATTAACGTTAGAGAGGTGGCAGTACTTACAGCGCATGAACGTAGCGTGATCCTCGACTATAAGCAGGAACCGAGCATCCGTACGTAGGTCTTCAATAAAGCCAAGCAGAAGAAGAGTTGTAAGAGATAGTGTCATCCTTCTCGCCTATCCCTCGCGAGCAGCGCCGTACCTTCAATTCGGTTCGTGTCACCAGGAATCGGCTTGCCCTGAATCAGAAGCGAGAAGACAGTGAGCCCATGCGAACGTGTGCTCATGCATGAAGTGAGTTGGGTAAGCTGCATACGGTGTGGAGGTAGTGCATGCAATCGATGGTGTCGCCTTTCTCCTTCCAATTGACGTGGCCAGCAACCAGACTCTTCTCCGTCCCTACCTGTGGTGAAGTTGAGTAACCTATCACGTGAGAGAACTTGGGCAAGGCAGTACCACGTGAAGCGCTGTGCGCGGCACATGTAGCATGGAGGCGATGTTCTCGATGGCTCGATCAACGATGGCTTGTTTTTCAAACAGCGTCACGTCCATGTAGTAGATGTCTCTGCACGTTACGATCAGCCATGGAGATCAATCCATGCTGCCGAAAACCGACTCAACTCTAACCCTGACTGGCGCGTACCTCTTGGTTGCGTGCTTATTGCTGAGCAGTAGCTCGTGAACGACCTCCATGATGCGAAGCATGACAACTACCAGAGGGGGTTAGGAAGAAGAGAAGTCAAACCCGGGAGCACGTACCAAAGGACTTGAGGGTCTTGTTGGACCGAAGCGCCAGGGTGGTGAGGGAGGGCTCTGCGACAGGTCGGTGACACTTGGTGACGAAGTCGAACTCAATGCTCTTGTACGAATGATGCTCCTCGAAGGAGAGCTTGGCGTTGCGCCCAGCTACGATGTCGGCCAGTACTCGTTGTAGGACGGCTTCAAGCCGTTTGATGACGTCATCGCGTCTGAAGAGACCTGGTCAGCCGAGTAGCGACAACGAGAGGGAGAGGGCGTACGAGAAGGCAGCAACTGTAGGCACTACGCGAGCGTGAACGACTTGGCTCTGCGCGGCAGCTTGCAAAGCTGTGCGCCAACCAGGATCACTTGCTCCCTGGAGGGCAAGGTTTGTAGGTTTGTCGTGCAAATCAGATTGAATACTGGTGAATCTTACCTCCGTTGTGGTGACATCTTTATGATTGAGCTTGGCCCGCTTCGCATTCATGGCAGTGGAGTGGTTTTTGTAGTCTCATCATGACAGGATGAGTGGACCGCTTGATCAACGCAGGCAAAGCTTTAAATGCCAAAAAAAAAAATGAAATCAAAAGCGCGGGAAAAGCAAAGATTTTATTTGCCGCAAGCATGGAAGCTATGTGGAAGATTGCAGTGATTGGGACAGGAGGAGTGGGTGGCTACTTCGGCGGGCGTCTGGCACAGCTGCAGGATGAGTGCCAGGTGCATTTCGTGGTCCGTGGTGAGACGCTGCAGGTCCTCAAGCGTGACGGGCTCCGCGTGGACAGTCTCGTGGGAGATTTCCACATACCCCCGGACCGATGCAACGCCACAGGTTCTGCTCCCTCTTTTCTACTTCCTGATGAGGTGCTCTTTTCTCATGCAAACTTCGAATTGCGGCAAAGATGACTTGGCTTCGGTGGGGCCGGTGGACCTTGTCATCACGGCAGTGAAGGTGTGGCAGCTGGAAGAAGTAGCCCGAACTCTGCAGCCACTTTTGCACAGTGAGACTATAGTCGTAGGTCTCCCTGAGCTGTGGTGGACGCGCCACTTCTTATCACTTCTTAACACTCCATCCCTACTGTGCAGCTACCGCTGCAAAACGGAGTCGAGGCCGCGGACATCCTAGCCCGAGCAGTTGACAAGAAGCATGTGGTAGGTGGATTCTGCAAGATCATCAGCTACATTGTCAAGCACGGTCACATCCGCCACGACGTACATCCCTTATCCCTCCACTTTTGGCTCCTCTCTGGGTGTCTAGAGTAACACCATGCGTAGGCCGCCGACCCAACCGTCGCGTTTGGCGAAGTGTGGGCTTCGGAGACAGCTCCAGGTACGGTCTACAAGCAACATTGTTGACACATTGCTGATCCTGACCATCCGCGGCCATCGACGCAGGCACGCTTAACAGCATCAGTGACCGCATCACGAAGCTCAAGGACCTATTCGAGAAGGCCCAAGGTGTCAAGGTGGAACTCTTCGATGACATCCGCGTCGGCCTCTGGCACAAGTTCATGCTCATCTGCGCGGTGAGCGGCCTCGGAGCCATCACCAGAGCGCCTCTTGGCGGTATCTCGCTTACATTTTTTTCATACGCGTGCGTTGTGTGCGTGGGCGATGTGTATGGGTCCGTGGCTTGCTAACACTGTCCTTTGTCTTCAGTCTTTCTCGGGGTGGAGGAAACGCGAGACCTGTTCAGGCAGGTCCTGTTCGAGGTGGCCAAGCTGGCCCAAGCCCAGGGCATCGAGCTCACCGACGAGGCCGCCGAAAAGCTCTACACCTACTTCCTGGGACGCGCCGAAAGCGAGCGCAACGCCACGTCATCAATGCAGCGGTACCCCCTTACCATCCACCCACGATGTGCGTGTGCGTGTGTGCTCGTGTGCGCACACACCTTATCTTACCTCTCCGGCAAATCTGCTCTCCATCAGGGACATCATGCGCGGCCTGCCATCTGAGCTCGAGTGGCAAGTGGGCGCGGTGGTGCGAAAGGCCAAGGCCTTGGGCGTGCCAGCGCCCGCGTGCTCGCTCATCTACGCGGCGCTGCTGCCGCAGGAGCTGAAGGCCCGAGGCAAGCTGGCCTTCTCGATCGAGTGAGAGCCCACACGTAGCGCTGAACACTGTAATTACAACTCTCTTGTTGGACATGCAGATGGCCCATCACATGAGGAGACACTTCTCCTCTTCGCCGCCTTCGCCAGGTGAAGGAGAGGAAGAAGGCGAGGAGGCCGAAGACGAAGATGGCGGGAAGAGAGTGGAGGCGAAGTGGTCCAACGACGACGAGAGGTTGGCCAGCGAGGAGGTGATGGTCGATAGCGGACCACCGCCCGACGACGAAGACGAAGACGCCGCGGAGGTGGCAAACGCCGGAGCAAAGGCCGACGGGTCCAGTATCGAGGTCGAAGAAGACGACGAAGACGAAGAGGATGAAGGCGAGTGTGTGGTCGTGGCGATGAGCTGCACGAAGGCACTCTCGGCCTTGTCCGCCAGCTCGCGCTGCAGAAGCCCGGCGTCGACGCGCTGACAGAAGACCAGGCCGAAGCGAAGCAGCTGCGGCGACGGTCGGAGGAAGAGCACGGCGGTGAGTGCCGGGAGCGCCATCAGCTCGACCTGCTTAAGGGCCGGCAGCGAGAGGCGGAGCCGCGACACCCGCTCGCAGCTGCTCATGGCCAGCTTCTGGAGCGAGCCGTGGTCCAGGGTCAGCGGGCCGACCAGCTGTCCCAGGTTGAGCAGGTTGAGCGTGATCAGCCGCGGGCAGTCGGCCAGCATCGACGTCACCACCGCCCCGTCCACCGTGCAGAATTTTATGTCTACGAGCTGCAGCGCTGGACACTGCGCACCACACAACCACCACCGATTTCTTTTAGCAATCGCACACGCCACCGCACACGCCACCGCACACGCGTCAGCGTCAAGAGAGTGAGACCTGGATCTTGGGGCGGGTCATGGAGTCACAGGAGACGAGGTTGAGAACGAGGAGGTCGGGGAAGACGAATTGGGGCTGGTGAAGCGAGGCGCAGCTGAAGAGGGAGAGGTGGCGCAGGCGCGGCGAGTGGGCCACCAGCTGCGCGATGTGGTGGTCCCGCAGCATGTGGGTGTGCGAGAAGTGGAGCGTGTGGAGCGAGGCCAGGTTGAGCGCGTAGAGATGCAGGTCAGCGAAGCTGCTGTCGATCACCAGCCTTCGCAGACACGAATTGAACACCTCAATTGGCGCCTTGTGGCACAGCACCACACACACACACACACAGCACACACCACACACAGCACACAGCACACAGTATACGTCAAAAATGTGTATATGTCGGGTTCGGCGGTTGCAGCTCGTACCTCTTCTTTGATGTCCTCTTCGATTTTCTTGAGCTCGGCCTCCTCGCGGCTCACCGGCACGACGTTGTGGCAGCGGCTGTACTCCACGGTCTGCAGGCGCCCGCAGCGCTTGAGCACGTCGAGCACGCAGCCGAGCTCGAGGTTGGTCTTGTGGGCCTTGAGCACCCGCAGCTGGCGGAGCGAGCCGAGCTTGCGCGAGGCCGTAAGCTGCTTGCACTCGGTCACGTCGAGGCTGTGCAGCCGCGGGCAGTTGCGCAGGATGGCGTCGAGGTTGAAGTTGTCGATGTTGGACTCGCGCAGGTTGAGCGCGATCAGCTGCGGACAGTCGCAGTTGAGTATGTCGCGCAGCGTCGGGTAGGTGCCGCCGGTGATCTCCAGCTTGAGCAGGCTCGCCGACACGATCTTGAGGTCGCGCGTCGAGTAGTAGTCCTTGGGCAGCGACTGCAGCGTGAGGATCTTAAGCAGCGGACAGCGCCGCGCCAGGTCCTCCACGAACTCGAGGATCGCGTCGACCATCGGCGTGTTGTGACTCCCCAGCGGTTTGATGATTTCTTTACCAACCCAACCGGCCCGAAAGAGTTGCGTGAGTGCGCGTGTGCGTGTGCGTGAGTGCGTGTGCGTGCGCGTGTGCGCGACGTAGCACGAGAATCGGCGTACCGGCTTTCTGGAGGCTGGGCAGCTCCAGCCGAAGGTGGGCGTGATTGGTGCAGCTCTCAAGTCGGACGTATTCGAGCGCGGGGCACATGACCGTCACATCTCTGCCACAAGCAAGCCCATCAGTGATCAGGGCACGTCGAACTTCGAAGAATCGGTACAGTTGAAAAGGCTAGAGGAGCAAGCGAAGCAAGCGAAGCAGATCACGTACTTTTGGAAATAAGCGTTGACGAGTACGAGCGTTCGCAGGCTCGAACTCTACCATCATCGTGGCACGGGTGCCGTTAGAACGTTATAATGCAACGGTGGACAAGATTGGGCGGCAGGGCCAAACCTCCAATTCGGCAAAGTTGATGGGAGAGGAGGTGATGGAGAGGATGTTGAGGCTTGTGTGATGCTTCAGCTCCTCGAAGAAGTCCATGTCGAACGGGTAGGCGGTCACCGACAGCGAGAACAGATTGGGGCACCCCCGGAGGAGATTGCCACAGGCTGGGAACAGGCGGGTCGTTTGCGCCGTCCAAGATATGTGCGTCAGCTGTGTGTCGTGTACAGTCAATATAATCTTCAAACCGACCTGGTCACACACATCTGAGGGACCATACCCGAGGGCAGTCGAAGGTGATGATCGGCTTGGCTGGAAAACGCCATACGTCGTGGAGGAACATGCTCCGCAGGGTACGCGACACGATCGCGGTGCCCTCAAGCGTACATTGCGCCAACCGCAGCTCCTCGAGTTCAGGCAAGTCTGCACGAACTCATCGCCGTAAGACGATAAGGTGGCGGGCAGGGAGTGGGAGCACGATTGAGGCGCGTACCAGAGAGGTGATCGACGTCAAACACTGTACCATCCTGTCTGTGGGCTTGACATGCCAGGCTGCGCAAGCCCCTGAGAAAGAGGAGGAGGACATGTCAAAGTAAGTCACCCTATCACCGCATTGGCCGCACAGATACTGGTGGGGGGGGACGGTAGTAACCGATTGGCGTGGATGAGCGCGTAGATCATGTCCTTGTAGTCCGTGTCCCAATAGATGCCCAGCTCTCGAAGTTGCGTGAAGTCCAGTTTACTCCGATCTGTGCGATAGCCGTGGAAGTCTTGAGGCACATTTGTGTGCTTTCCGTCGTATCGTAGGCAGTGGGTGAGTACCTGAAGAGCCCGTGGGTGGGTAGACGACGTAGTCGTAGTGGAGTGAGAGAAGCGAGGGGCAATGCCGCTCGAGCGCTCGAAGGCCGCCCCACCGCACTTCGTTGCAGCCACGAATGTCTACCTTCACCAGCGATGTGCAAAGCCTGGTAGAACTGTTATCAGAAGAACTGAAAGACTCGAGTTATTTGCTCTTTGAATTGAAATCTGGTCGTACCTGGCAAGAGCGCATAGTGCTTCATCCTTGAGCTTGGTGGATCTCAAGTCAACGGCCAACAAGCACGGACACTCATGCCTGTGTTCACACAAGTCGCTTTTTTAGACTGGCACAAACCAACATGCCACAAGACGGGGTCAGGTCAGTACTTGATGGGATCCATTATGTTTGGATTGTTGCTCACGATCAGGGTCTCCAGTATACGGCTCTCCTTCGTGATGGCTTGAACTCTGCATGCACAAAGCAACCCGCTGTGAGGTTGTGAAGGAAAGGAGGGAAGAGATAACAGGCCAATGTGTGCGTACACTTCGTCGGTGATTTGTGTACAGTTGGACAAGTTGAGATGCAGCAGCGTGTAGGGATTAAACAGCTGTATGACCGTGCTCGCGGACACCCACTTCATCGAGGAGAAATCCACCTCGACAAAGGGACACGCTCTGTATGTGTGTGCGTGTGCGTGTGCGTAAGCATGTCACAAGCGTCACGATCCATCAAAGCAAGAAGAAGAAAGAAGAAGATCATAGGCTACCCTTTGCTGTTGGCGGTGAGGAAGAGCGAGAGGGTCATGTCGTTTATCTTTTGTGACCGACTCAGCTTCACAAACACTTGTTGCCTCACCGTCACCGGTAGTCGGTCTGTTGGCATTCAACGCATACCATAGGTGGGCGATGAGAGGCCCCACGCCCAGCACAGAAAGGACACCAGGCGAGGAGCCACGTACCTAGGCCCTCGAGTTGCTGAAAGCAGTCTGCCACGTAGTCCAAGCACAGATCTGCAAGACTGGGCACGCCTGGCTTGAACAGGAGGTGCTCACCTTCAGGCCACAACATCCGTCGCCTCCTCTCCTCTTCTTCCACGTCCAACACCTCCATCTTCCACCAGAGGCAGCAGCTATGAATGATCTTTCAACCTTCAGAGGTGCACCTGTTGCAACTGCCTGTGGACCAGACTCTGTTTCTTGGCCTGGAAGGAGGCTGCAAAGGCGAATCAACGAACGATTGGCGTACAAGATGCACACGTATGCGAACAGAAATTAAGAAAGAAAAAATATTTCTTGTTTCTGTTTCTCTTGTCGAACGAAAGTCGCAGGAGGTCGCTACAAGAAGGGACACCGAAGACGATGGCGTGGTACGTGGGCAGAGTGCTGGCGTGGCTGGGGCTGGCGGGCCTCGTGCTCGCGCTGGCACTGCAGCACGCGGCAGTGCACGAGTTCTTCTTTCGATCCGAGGTGGTGGAGGCCGACGAGGACGTGACCCTCTTCCCTACCATCGCTCGATTCGTCTACGACCCTTCCTCTCCGCCTTCCACTGCTTCTTCATCCTCCTCCTCTCGATCTCACCTCAAATCGAAGCTCTACAAAAAATCTGCAAACTCGGAAAAAATCGCCAACGACATGGTTGATCCTGCCGAGGGAGCTGTAGGGCAGACCGAAGCTGCTGCCGATCTTACCTCCAACTCCTATCTTGATGGTATCGTCATCTTGCTGCCAATTGCTGATCCCTCTATGTCGCTGATGCATGCGTGCCTGCATGCACTACAGAGTGCGAGCGTCTATTCGTGAGAGCGGGCATCCACGGCTGTATCTACGAAGAGGAAGCTGGCGACTACTTCAACTGGGCGCTGATGAAGCTGGCCGGCCTCCTGGCCCATCGCTACGACTACACCGACGCGCTCGAGAATCCGCTGTTCCGACACCGGCTGAGCCGCTTCCTGGTCGACAACGAGGGCAGCAAGCGCGTGACCGTCTACTTTCCGCTCACCAACGGCAGCTTCGCGAGGTACCCGCTGTCGAGGCTGTCCGCGACCAACGGCCACTTCGAGGACCAGATCGTGCTCGACGTCGGATGCGCCGGCTCCGAAGGCCAGCAACAAGATGATGGTCGCGGCGTGCCCGTTATCGAAGACTTTGATGGTACCACGCGTGTGCGTTGTGTGTGTCGTGCGTGTATCGTGCGTCGTGCGTGTGTCGTGCGTGTGTCGTGCGTGTGCGTGTGCAAAGGTATTAAATCGAAGTTATCATAGGACTCAAGCGGATAAGGTACTTTGTGCTCTCGCAGGACAACCGGACCTTCCACGGCCATTCCTTCCTTGTCGAGGAGGAGGTAAGAAGCACCATGTGATTTGTCACACGTTCCATGATTGTGTGTTTTGACATTGACCTGTGAATAGGGCATCAGCTTCATCTCCGACATCGATGACACAATCAAAGTGACCGGCGTGACCAAGTACTCACTCCATCATGACCTCGTGACACCCGTCGTGTCACACACGCAAGCCCCACACGCAACATCAACACTCGACTGACATCGGCTTCCGCTTCCAGTGGCAACGTGCTCTTTGAGAACACGATGCTCAACGAGTTTGCGTTCGTGAAGGGCATGAACCACCTCTACAACCACTGGAAGACCAAGTACACCCAATTGGGCCACCACGTGCAATTCCATTACGTGTCCGGTACGCGCGCGCGCTGCCCTTCTTGCCCGTCCCCCGCGCCACCACCCATTCACCCATTCCATAACTGGTGGTCGTAGGCGGGCCGTGGCAGTTCTATCCGGTGCTGCAGGAGTTTCTCCACAGCGCAGAGGCGTCCTTTCCCGAGGGCACATGTACGTGACGCGGGCCAAGAAAGGCAAAGTTCTTCGAGTGCGGCCGGCTCACATGATTGATGTGTGTTGCCTGATGTGTGCCACAGGGCACCTTAATCAAATCTTCCGCGACCTGGCAAGCTTCATGACCTTCATTCGATCGCCGCTCATCTTCAAGGTCGAGGTCATCAAGCCGCTCATTGCGTCCTTCCCGCACCGCAAGTTCGTCCTTGTGGGCGACGACGGTCAGCAGGATCCCGGTACCGGCCGCACATTCACGCACAACTGCATAGGAACAACACGACTCTTGCCTCACCACCAAGGCTTGCTGGGGTGCGCGTACTCTATGCAGAGGTCTATGCTGAGATCGCCCAGGAGTTCCCTGATCAGGTGCTGCACATCTTCATTCACCACGTCAACGGAACCAACGAGGTACTCCTCTTCGTGTCACTTTCTTTTTGATGAGAAGAAGGCCTCACCATCACGCAATCGCCTTCTTGGTTGGCGCACGCCCTCCCGCTAGGCCGACGGGGTGACGTCGTACAGCGTGGCCGAACCAGGGCTGCAGAGATGTCAGAAGGCGTTTGCCCACTTGCCCGCAAACAAGTGGACCCTCTTCTCCGACGCCCAGCTCGACACACTCGACGACCAGGAGTTTGCCTTGTGAGCAAGGAGACAGACACACGCCGGCCTGGTTTGTTTTGTTTTTATTTATTTATTTATGAAACGTACGATGATGACCACTACACCACCATCAGGAGGAGAAGGATGTGACCTAGGCGTAGAAGTGGCGCTGCGATCTGGTCAGTCTGAGGCGGGCTTCCAGCTGGCCGGTGGCCACGCTGTCCATCACCTCACGAAGCGAACCTGACCATGCATCATCATCATCAGCACAAGGGCCTTGAGCGATCGGCGAGTGTGAGCTCTTGCAAGAGACGGTGGTGGCCGTACCAAACGGGCGGCCGAGGATGTAGACTTGAGGAATGTCTTCGTCACCACGCACGTACGAACCCTTGTGCTTGATGAGGCCCTCCTTCAGCAGCGGATACTTGTTCAGGTCAAACGTCTTGAACAGAGCGTCTGCACGATCACACACACGCACACCACACACACACACACACACACACGCACACACACACAGAGAACGTCACTATCTTGCACGATGGCAAGTGCCATTCGAAGAGGGCAAATGGGTACGATCGCGCTGCAACTGCTTGATGACGGCGTAGCCCTGGCCGTCCGCCGGGGCGTGCTCGTCGCCATACATGAAGACGACGCACTTGTACTTCTTCATGCCCAGCAGCTGCGCGCATGAAGCAGCGTGCACGCCACAAGGTTATCGATCAGTACGAAAGACTTGGTTGTCACAAGGAAGGAGAATTTACCGAGCTGATGTGCTCATCGATGGCATTGCCGGATTCGAAGGCCTTGAGGGCGGCATCGATCTTGGCCTGATCTTCCTTCTCGATGCGCTCGAGAAACTCGGCAAGGGATTCCTGCTTGACCTCTTCTTCCTGCTGAGTAATCTCGCTCTCCTTCTCTGCGGCAGCGGCCTCCGGGGCGGTCTCCACTGCAGCGGCGGGCGACTCAGCCTCGGTCGAATAGAGATGGCGGCGAGAAGAGGAAATAGAAGAAATGAAGGAAGGGGCAGAGGAGGATGTAGAGATGAGAGGGGCCGATCTCCGATTTGAGGCAGTGACGATTCGTCCCGCGAACGAGGACCTCGCAGATGCAAGGAGGAAAGAATACTGTGCACTTCGCCGCGTCGCGCTCGACATCATTCAATGGCTGCTTCCGGCGATTTTTGTTTCAATTGAATGAATTCAAAATAAAATAAATAAAACAAAAATAAATGAAAGAAAAATACTTTTTCTTTATTTCTTGTGGGCTTGTCCGCTTAGAACTTGTTCTGGAGGAGCTCGTTGATGACACACTTACCGTAGACCTTGAAGGTCTGGGCGAGGGTGTAGAAGTCGAGGGTGCTGGAGAAGGTGTCAGCCAGACCGAACGGAAGCATGAGCGGGATCCAGCCGCGGGCATACTCGAGCGCCCAGCACCTGCATTCGCGTTCATCACAAAGACACAAACAAGCCACCATCCTTAGTCGCAGCTCGGAACTATCATCAACGATGACAGTCGTAGTGTCAATGTGAATGTTGGTGTGCGTTGTTCAGATTAGGGTTGTTTTCAGTTTGGTTGGTTGGTGGTATGCGTGAGCGAGATGTTGGCGCAGTTTAAAACTTCGGTCAAACGCTATAAGTATCGACCGGAGCAGTTATCAACGCCAGAAGAGGCTACTGTGGCGTGCATTAGTCAACACGGCTTGCCACGGCAAGAGGCGAGCCGGCTGCTTGACACGCGGAGTAATTTGAACGGAAGAGCGAACGCGGCCAAAAGAGAAAACGAAAACGCCGGGCTATTGTGGGAACCGACGGAGGCAGTGTTGTGTTGTGTTGTGCTGTGTTGGATGATCCAAAAGAGGATGGAAGATGGAACGTACTTGTCGGGCATGCGGTACTGCTGGGCGAAGCCGCGGGGCAGGTGGTGCATGTGGCCGGGAGTGTACACCTGTGAATAATAATAATAATAAATATCAATATTAAATAAATGTTTACAATTTACGGGAGCAAAGTCAGATGGCGAGCAAGTGGCAGATGCCGCACCTCCTTCTCGAAGGCGCCGGGGTAGAAGGCCCACTGCTCACCCTCGAGGATGATGAAGTAGTCATCGGCAAGGAATCGGCCAGTGTGACCTTCAGTGCCCACGGGGGTACCGAAAATGATCACATACTGAATAAAATAACAATTTAGATTGAAAATCGCAAGCAAAATTTGATGTAATCAAGTAATTACGAGCGAATTGAGCAAGATCGGGGATTAAATTGAATGTACCTCAGTGAGGGAAGCATGGATGAGGTACATGGCGCCCATGGCTCCACCGGCATTGTTGAAGACCCATTCCTGGACCTTGTTGACGTGGCCGGGGTAGTGCTTGTCGAGGGCCTTCACAATGTGATCGATGGTCTTGGCAGTCGAGGTGTAGTTCTTGGCAATGGCCGACTGGGCCACCTCCTGCAGCACCTTGGGCTCGAAGATGTAGCCGTGGTGCTTGATGCTGTCCAGGTAGTAGAAGGCCACCAGCAGGACCACCAGCGCGAGCGAACGCTTCCAGGGAAAGCCCATCTTCTAATCGAGATCTGGTGCAGAAAGCAAACAACAAAGAGGCGCGAAAGACAGGCTTTGTTTTTCTTTGTTGGTTGGTGGTGGTGAGTTGTGAGTGGTCCATAATTAGGATGAACAGCCAATCAAACACCACCGAGAAGACACAAGACAGGATTGGACGCGGTACAGGGAATTCAGCGGCCGCTGGCACGAAGTCCAGGGACGTCACCAGCAGCCACGCCTGGTGGTCATGCGCAAGGCGTCATCAGCAAGTGTCATCGCCACCCAGCGCGGCCTCAATCAGATCTGGATAGGTCAACAGCGAAGAGCGGCGTAGAGATTGATGACTTTGTTGTTTGGAAATCCTTGCTTTACAACCAAAGGGCAGGCCGGTGTTTCACGGGGCCATCACGGCCTCCAGCTTCTGCATCACCAGGTCCACCAAGTCGGGGAAGCGGTAGGTCATGAAGTGGCCCCTGTTCTTGTAGAAGAGGTACTCCGTGCCCAGCTTCTGCACGCACGATCGATGGTCGGTAGGTCGTGTGTGTGTGTGTGTGTGCGCGCGCGCGTGTGTGTGGTCGTGGCCATGCGGTACCTCGTGCACAAAGTCCATCTCCTCCTTGGGGATGAACGGATCATCGGCGCTTCCGTACTGGACGATCCAGTCGGCGTTGGCCTTGATCCGCTCCCACTGCCACTCGCCCGTGTAGTACCCGCTCTCTCGCTCGTTCTCATCGCCCAGATCCGTGTGGCACGCCGACACCAGCACTGCGCCCCTCACCCGCTGCTCCTCCAGGAGCCTGCTCGCACGGCACGCCGTAAGATTTACACTTATTTTATTTTATTTTATTTTTTAAATACCAATAAAATAATGCTATTTATAATTTGCAATGCGCTGCCCTTGAAATAAACAAATAAATAAATAAATAAATGTGAATAAATAAATGGGCAGTACCGCAAGATTGCTTCGGCGCCAGAGCTGTGGCCGATGAGGATGGTGTTCTCGTCACAGCCGAGCTCCTGCTTGATGAAGGGCAGCCACACGCCGCGTCGGGCGACGTAGGGGTCTGGCATGTCCTCCAGCACCACACCAATCGATTCGCCCCACCCCTGCTTCTGCTTCAGCCGGTGCCTCAGCTCCGTCGCCACCGTGTGGTACCAGTTGGCCTGGCGCACGTCGTCGCATCCATTGCCCGGCAGGATGATCACCTTGCTCACTCTCATTGCCACCTTGTCTAGCAGAAAATATTGAAATATTAAAAAATAGGAAAAAATTACTTTGTTCGGAGCTTGTAGTACAGCCCAGGCACAACTCGAAGGAGGAGGATCGTGGAGTCGAGTCTCACTGCCCTGTGCACTGGCCGGGCTGGGTTGGGTCAACGTCCACGTCGGCTCCCTGCAGGCGTACACCGGGATTGAAGTTGTGGAACTCGCCTTTGGAGTGCAGTGTGCGGCGCGTCTGGAAGGGTTCGTGATCGTGCCTGCGATCATCATCTTGATGAGTCCAACAGAAACCCCTCTGCGCCACACGCAATCGTTGGAACGACGAGAAATTGCCCCGGATCAGGTGCTCCTTGGCTCGCTCGCAAGGGACAAGCGATAGGCCTGGGCTTCTTCCAGGCCAGACAGTTCGGTAAGCATGCGGTCGACGAGCGCCACTCCGGCCGGCGGGCGCTGCTCCACCGTAAACTGGTAGGGAACGCTCTGCCATTTTCTGCGGCATATGACACGCGCACACCGCAGCAGGAGGGGGGGAGGCAAAAGGTAGTAAGTCGTGAGGGTCTTTGCATGGGTGCTGGCCGGCGGTGTACCGAAGCTCTGCAAAGATGTTCGCACACATCCGCCACCGCGAAAACGGTACGGACTCGGGATCGGGCAAGCGGGCCGTCGAGCTTTCATGAATGAACGTCATGTCCGTGAGGATCATGCCTGGTACAGCGCACAACGCACAACGCAGAGCTGTAAATGCAAACACGCGACCGAGAGGCACTTACAGCAAGATCAAATAGCACGCACGCGCGCGTACGGTACCTGCGTAGGGTATACAGGGCTGTTCGGCTTGCTCCATTGTCCTACGGTAACGCTGAAAGCCCCTGGCAGGGCTCATCAACTCATCCAGTTCATCGTACGCAGCGCGAGTTGCCGCATCCGCCCGCACCACCTGTTTGCGTGAGGTGTGTGCGGTGTGTGCGGTGAGTCCATTGGCTTGCGCCGGTCAGGGCGAGGGTCAGTACCTCCCACGTTTGTTTGAGACGGACGACGGAGCTAGTATTGAGGCCCGCCAGCACGTTCAGCAACCCGTTGAAGTTGTTGAGCTTTCGCAGTTCCTGGATGTCGGAGGAGCACGTGAGTGTTGTGTGGTGGAGAGTCGGGGGACTCGGGAAATGGGAGAGTGCGCACGTGCCTGAGCCACTCCGATCCAGTGCCGCACGACCGCAGCCCGTTCTTGAGGACTGGAGTCTGGTTGCACGATGCTGCCTACCACCACCCTGACAAGCTGCACTCCGGTGAATGCACACTCGCCAAAAGGGCTAACCTCGACATGTATTTCATCAAAGGGCGCTCGCACCTGGTTGAATTCAGCGATCATACGGGCAACTGTCGGTGCCTTTCCGTTCGAGTTCGAAAAAGCGCCTGGCGGTGAGTCCAAACGTATGTCGTTAGTAGTGACTACCAGGGAAGAGCTGGGGGGGACTCGATTACTACCTGGCTCAAAGAGCTCGCTGATGGCGATGGAGGAGAACAGAGACCAGTTGCGTGCGGTCAACTCCGATGCTACATGCTCGGGCGGGGTGCTCAAGAACTGGTACACCACGTGAGCGTGACGATCTCCGCGGGGTGACGAGAGGTCGACGAGCGTCTCTGTTGCCTTGTCTTCTGGAGTCGAGCCGGGCCTGTTCACCTCCGGGCACTCCAAGCGCTGCTGCTGATGCACGAGCTGCTTGGTGACTGACACCAGCAGCTCCAGATCCGAGGCGCGCACAAAGCCCAGCAAAGCGGCCGACGATGGTGATGCCAGATGGGCACACATGAGATCAAGCGCGTCGCCGGTCCGGGTGATGTGCGGACGTAACAGCACCCATCGTGCAAGCGTATTGGCCAGTCTGTGGGAAGGCGAGGTGGAGCGATTAGCGGAGCTGACGATGGGTGAGGGTGCAGCGGGCGTGCCTGGAAGAGTGCAGTGTGCGCCGCCAGACGATCCACCAGTCGACAGACGGTGCTTCTGAGGGCAGTGCAGCTTTGCTGCCGTACCACAAACGAGCTCATGTGAGGTGGCAGGGGTTGATGGAGGGATGGCGTAGGAGGGCGAGTGGTACACAATGGCGTGCAGCAGCTGCTCATCAGTGAATTGAGTGATGTAGTTGTACAGCACTACATCCTCCGACCGCCACGACTCTGCATGGTCTAAGCAAGAGTGGTGGCGCGTGGTGACATCGGTGGGGATGCGTGTTAGTCGTGTCTCGCATCAGGGTTGGGGTGGTGAGTGCACCTGTGGCGTTGTGGAAGAGGTACTGCCAGATGTCAGTCAGGTTGCCGCTGCGCAGGTGGAACGCCTCATTCACCTCATTGAAGGTGAGGCTGGCGCTAGGAGGAGCCTGGCCCACCCCCTGCTCGCTCAGGCAGCCGCACACCCTCCTCTCCACCTCTCGGCGGTACTCGACCGGACCTCTGATGGCCTGTCTGCACCGGCACAACGATAAGATTGAAAGAAGAAGAAGAAGAACAGTAAAACGCAGGATGACGGTACGGCCAAGCACGCTGGAGGGCGAGGGAGCGCCAAAGGCGGGTCGAAGCCTGAGGGCCAGCAACGAGGTCGTAGGAGGCGCGACACACAGACGCAACCGCGCACAGGTCGTGCGCGGTGTCTAGCCACAAAAACACCCCCTCCCAAACTTCAATGGGCAACAACGCGGCAAAGTACTGCGTGCTGTTGCAAGTCCTCTCCATCTACAAAAATGAGAGATTAAATTAGGGGCAAAGAAGGAAAAGAGGAAAATTAAATCTTAAAATTGGGCAAAAAATAGGTCGTCGACGGCAGGATTTGAACCTGCGCGGGGAGACCCCAGTAGATTTCTAGTCTACCGCCTTAACCACTCGGCCACGTCGTCTTTGCTGCTGTCGACAATCCCGAAGACCCGCAATCCTCGGCTTTGCTTTTGGCGCGACCCTTTCGTTTGCTTCTCGCCCAACTCCAACGCAGCTTCAACACGAACAAAACGGCGCTCGTGGTGGCAAGCCCCGACCTCATGAACCCGAAGTTGGCCTGTGGCTGGCCGAGCAGGGAGCTCACTCCATAAACGCACAGGAACTGCCACTCTTCAAGATTAAGGCGCGCTTCTCCCATTTGGTTCTATGTTTGAATTGTTCGAAATGAATAACCATCTCTACATAGAAGATGAAAAACGTGAGCAAGATTGTGATCGTGCCGGGCAACCACGTGGCAGACGTGAAGAAGTCTATTTGGTACTACTGGTGCCAGCAGCATCTGCTCAAGGGCCTGAATGTTCGTCGGCTGGGCATCCCCGTCATACTGGAGGACATGCCCGACCCCGACGCTGCCCACCGCGACGTATGGCTGCCCTTCATCAAGCAGGAGCTGCGCTGCGACGAGAACACCATCCTCATCGGCCACAGCTCTGGCGCTGAAGCAGCCATGAGGTACTGCCCCAATTCATTCTTGTTGTGTCGTGTTGTGCAATCACCAACGTGGTGTGGGCTGCAGGTTGATGGAGGAACAACGGGTACGGGGCGCGGTGCTGGTGTCGGCGTGCCACACAGACCTGGGCAGTCCTGAGGAGAAGGAGAGCGGGTACTACACGGGCGAGTGGCAGTGGGAGCGGATCAAGGCCAACGCCGACTGGATCGTCCAGTTTGGCAGTACCGACGACCCATATCTTCCCCAGAAGGAGATGGACTACGTTCATGAGGTATGACTCTCTCATTTACTGCTTTCCCTTCTCTTAGCTGACACTCTCATCAAGAAACTGGGGACAGAGTACCACATGTATAGCGACAAGGGCCACTTTCTCCTCGGCGAGTTTCCCGAGCTGGTGGACGTCGTTTTGCAGAAGACGGACATGCTGCATCATGGCCCCCAGGATCAGACGCACGGCCTTCCCAAATAAAGATGTCCTTACATGCACTGGTGTCAAGTTGGGTGGCTGATCTCTACCTTGTTCGATGCTTAGCAGAGAGTAGAGCCGGTGGAGCGCAAGAGTTGGTTGGCAACTGCAAGCCACGTTCCCTCGATTGGCGTGTATGTGCATCCCACCACCGGTACGCATCCCCACCTCCTCTGGAGGGGACATAGTGAAGACGACGTGGCCGAGTGGTTAAGGCGGTAGACTAGAAATCTACTGGGGTCTCCCCGCGCAGGTTCAAATCCTGCCGTCGTCGACCTCTCATTTTAGCTTTTCACACCCTTGAGGGCCCTCCAGCTGTTCCCTCTCCAACATCTGCCTCCACTCTTGTTGTGCACTGGGAGTTGTTGGATAAACAATCTTGGAAAAAAGTGTCAGTGGTGCATATTGAGGGGGGCTGTAAAGAGGCAAATGTGAAGCAGGAGAGGGTCAAGTTAGAGGCATCTAGATCTCCATGTGTTAGCTTGAATATCAGTCAACAAGTAGGTGATGTGCATTGCATTCTTTATTTAGGGACAAGTAGGCTGTGGAAATGTGTTTTTTTGATCAGTTCCAACCATCATGGTGCAGCTGACTTCAGCCCCAAACAACCATCCTTTGGTCATGCCAAGTCCAAGGATTACCATAATGCTTGTTTCAAGTGACATTGATTAGTTGCATTTTTGGTCACTCTGTACAGAAATCTTCTATTTATGGCCATGCATCTCCTGGTCCCTGTCTGGCTGTGATGACAACTATAGTGGACAAAATGTGGACAAGCCCTGGTGTGGGACACCTTCTTTTGTCATCAGAGCAAGTTAAGGAGAAAACAGATCATCTGATATCTTTATGCACCCTACACAACAACAACATTCTTGGTCATACCTGCACACAGGGGTATGTCACCACAACCTCTTTGGAGATCCCTGTACATCAATTGGGCACGTTGTGCCTGTTTGTCACCTGGCTTCCAGTGTCTAGACATTTCTGCTAGATGGTTTATTCTCAAAAAAAATGGGCAATACTTGAAATCAGCAGCGCTAAGGGTGTACTGCTGATGTGGAGGAGGCTGGCATACAACAGTAACCACAACCTTCAGTAGTTGCTGGGCTGGTGCTGGAGGTGCGCGTGGTGCTGGTGCTTGTGGTGGTGTGGCTCGTAGATTGGCAACTCGGTGGTGTGCTGGACAATGTAGTAGTTCGTGTGCCGCCTCCTGTTCCTGCTGAGATAGCAGCACAGCACGACGCAGCTGCTTACGCCCACCAGGGAAGCAAAGACAGCAAACACCAGCAGCCCGATCATTTGCTTCGACAGCTCTGTGGTGGGGCAGGTGTGATACACATGAGCCAGGTCCACGTCAGCACATAAATAGGCGCGCGCATGGTGACAATAAGTGGGGTGTATGTACGGCAAGTGGAGGCATTGCACTGCAGGCCAAGAACATCGCACGAGCAGTCGTACTGCGCGCGTGCGAGGGAGAAAGAGTCCACACGAGCGTTGTCGTTATGGATGTGTTGCTCTTGCACTCACTCACGAGGCAGCAGCAAGAAGACATGGCGATGGGGAAGGAGAAGGGTAGGTATGTATGTACACTGCAGGCAAAGTTGTCGGTCACGCCGGCGACGCACAGGCAGTAGTCGGTGGCCGTGATAGAGCCGTACTTGAGGAGGCATGCCAGATTGCGGGCTGGGTCCTCCGCCGCCGCCATTACATCCTCGGCACCTTCGCCCAACCCATACAAGCATTACTCACCATCCTTCAAGGTAGAAGCTTCACCCCCCCAAAGCCTTGATAAAAGAAAGCCAAACCTGAGGTCGGGCTGGCGCACAGAGAAACGGCAAGAAGCAGCAAGAGGGAGCTCAAAGACCACGCCCGCACCATGCTCACGGTTCTTGAAGGAGCTTTTTTATGGGAAAGTTGTGCGGGCAATAAATAAGTTGGTGTGGCAACCAAACCAAAGGAAGGTCGATGTCAACCGCTAAAATGAGAGGTCGACGACGGCAGGATTTGAACCTGCGCGGGGAGACCCCAGTAGATTTCTAGTCTACCGCCTTAACCACTCGGCCACGTCGTCTTCAGTGCCTATGCACCGACTAGTGGGGATGCCTACACGTCGGCAGACCAAAGTCGTGGTCCCCACTCGCTTGCACCATCTCTTATCTTAGTGCCAATTGGCTGCCGGCCGGGCTGTGTGCTCAGGGTGAGCACCTATCAGTGACATCACCACAACAATATCTTGTTGGTGCCTCCAAACCGTTAACTTGCTAGTTTACAAGTTGACGCTCTTTGCGCTAGCCTGCTGGACCTTGGCCTCAAGCAAGTTGGCCAAGTGCGGAGCCACCACGCACTCCAGATCGCGCAGGCGTGCCTCATCGGAAGTGTCCGCGTGCGCAAGTCCGCGAATTGTGCGGAAGCACGCCGCGGAGCCGCAAGCACAAGCGAACGGGGCGGCCATGGCCTCCTCCGTCGACAGGTAGTTGAAGGTGAGCTCCTCGTCCGCACCGATATTCTTGAGCGCCACCAGCGTGAAGTCGACCTCCGTGGCCGCGCCGTCGTCGGAGTCACGGGCCGTGGTGACTGAGAGTAGCCGCACGTTGGGCGCGCACGAGTGGTTGAGAAAGGCCCAGGTCCAGCCCTCGCTGTTGACGTGGACGTCGGAGCCCATCTGGAGGCTGCCCCGGGAGGCGGCCTTGCCGTTCGCGATGGCGTGCGAGCGGGCGACGACTCGGTAGACCACCTCCCCGGCGGGGATGACGACTCCGGAGTCGTCACCGGAGGCAGAGGCGGCGTAGAGTCCGAAGCCGACGTCCTGCTGCGGGTGGCGGCGCTTCTCCACGAGCGCATGCTCCCACGCCACGCTGTCACCCCACTTTCTCGCCACCAGACGCGACTCCTTGTGCTCCATCACTCTTCCAAGTACTGCGCTGCTCGAGCAGGGAGCGCAGAAAAACCCAACAATAACGGAAACAAAGAAAACGAAAACGAAAACGAAAACGACAGAAAGCGAAAATGGTATAAAAAAAAATATTCTCTGTCCGACTCAGGGGGACAGGCGGTAAGCGGCGGTGTTGACGCGTTTCTGTTGGATGTGGCACTCGAGCACCCACTCTGGACGCGCGATCACGAGGCCCGGATGCTCCTGCATACGCGCGCCGCACAAGATTAGCCACAGCTATTTCCTGATGACCGCGAGTGCGGTGGGTCGCAAGGCGGAACCTTGAGGGCGCGCTCAAAGTCCTTCCCCCAGTCGTCGGTGGTGACCACGTGCGTGACGTCTTCGTACAGGTAGGGCTGGCATAGCAGCGGGACGTCGAGTTGAGATATTAGCGCTTTATATAGTGCCACAAATGTGCATGCACTGAATAGGCTCGCAGCAAAGGGCAGGCACACATACCGACACTCTTCCCTTGTAGGCCACAATGTATCGTTGCAGCAGCCTGCGCATGTCGTCGTCGAACGACTGGTGGCAGAGAGATAATTAGGGACGCACGTAATTAGGGATATTTGCTCTTCAATCTAATACGCACCTTGCCGTGAAAGAACACGTTGACCCCATCGAGGAAGTCCGGCAAAGGGCGCACGGCAACTGGTTCGCCACGAAGTAAAGCACTCGGGCGGGTGGTGAGGCCACGCACGCAAACGGTCAAGAATGAGCGGGGAGGATGGGGCCGTACACAGCTTGCCCAGCACTTCGCTGTCCTTGGCTTTGGCTGTCGTCGGCTCGGGCTTCTGCTTCTTGGCCAGCGGCTGCGATGCCTTCGTCGTCGCCGCCGCCGCCGCGCCCTTCTTCGCCAGCAACTTGTCTTCGGTGAAGGGCGGCGCGTCCACATCGCTCAGCGGCTCGGTGCCGCTCGACTCTTCCTCCTTGCTTACTTCCCGCTTCCGCTTTCCCACCGACCACGACGACGACTTGGCTTCCATCATTGTTGTGGCGGCGACTATGGGGAGCGTGGGCAGGAGATCCACTTCGTCCATCTCCTCCGTGCCACTGTCCTCGTCCTCCTCTTTCCCGGCCTGCTTGGTCGCCGCCGTTGCCGACGCGGCTGGCGGAGTCGGCTTCTCCAGCTTCTTCGTGGGCTCGGCGTACTCGGGGATGGGCAGTGTGGCGTTGAGGTCGTCCCCCTCCTCTTCCATTTCCTCGGTGTCGCCCTCCTCGTCGCCTTCGACGCGGCGCGCCTCGCTCTTCTTGGCACTGTAGGCGTGGTCCATGGCCAGCGTGGGCAGATCGTACCCTTCGTCCTCCTCCTCCTCCTCGTTTTTGTCTTCGGGATCGCTCTTTCGCTCCTGCCGCTTGTTTGCTGAGTCGGCTGTGTCGCTTTCGCTCTTTGCCTTGGGCGGGCCTTTCGTCTGCTTGGCCTGCTGGTATTCGAAGATGGGCAGGGTGGGCAGCAAGTCCAACTCGTCGATCTCCTCCGTACCCTCTTCTTCCTCCTCCGCGTCGCCTTTGCCTTTGCCCTTGCCCTTGCCTTTATCGACTTTGGCTTTGTACGTCGGTACGTCGTCGTCGTAGTCTCGGGCAATAGGCAACGTGGGGAGCATGTCGTCATCGTCGTCGCCTCCCTCGTGCTCGGCTTCGGTCGGCAGCGCGATGGGGAGCGTGGGTCCGAGGTCTAGCTCGTCCATTTCCTCCGTGTCGCTGTCGTCTTCCTTGGCCTCCGGCGCTGGCGGGCGATTCTTCGCCTTCCTTCGGTCCAGCAGCCCCTCCTCCTCTTCCTCTTCCATCGGCGCGCCGCCGCCGGCCGTGTGGCCCTGTTTCTCGACTTCCTCCTCTTCGTCTTCTTTCACTTCATGAGCCAGAAATGTGTGGACAGACAAGTGATTAGAAGAAGAGTGATAGCAGCAATGGGACTGTAAGAGTTGCACGCAGTGGACAGCATCGTACCTTTCTCAAAGGTGTACTTGGTCAGAGGGAGCCGCTTCTTCTGCGCAAAGCTGTGCACGATCTGTGGACACACACATGTATGATCAGTGATTGCGTGTTGTTGCAACCAAAAGACAATTGGGCATCGAGCACTTACCCACTCGGGCTTTACGATGATCCCACCCTTGCCTGCACGTGACCCGATGAGAAAGCAGCAAATAATAATCGTAAACATGAAAGACCTTCAAAAGGAGCCAATGCGCACCCTTCACCTCGCGATACTTGGGGGTGTCCTGGAATGCGCAGATCAGATGCGTAGCGCGGTTGTCCCAGTTTTGCTGGTACTTGGCGCCCATTTTCGTGGCCTGTGGGACACCTCGCAAGAGTCAGAGCGTGTGCGGTGTCAGCTGCAGTGGGGGCGAGTGTTACCTTGTCACGAATGTCGGCTGAACCCAGCAAATTGCGGAGAGAAACGTAAGGTCAGTGCGCGCCGAGTGTAGAGCGGTCAGTTGCAGTGGAAACACCAAGACACAGCGGAGGGTCGAGCATACCGCGCTGAGGATTCTGGATGCCCGATATCACAAACGTAACGCCAGCCTAGACCGAGAGAGCGATTGCGTAAGAGAACTGTGGCCACGACTGACCTCGGTGAGCGCGGTACGAACCAAGAGTTTGTTGAGCGGCACGCTTTCGTCAGCCTTCTTCTCTTCCTTGGCCTTCTCGTTACTGGTGGGCTTAGGAAGCGGAGGTGCGATCTTGGTTGCCGCGCTGGTGGGCTTGCTAGACGAGGCCGACGTCGTGGTGCTGGGAGTAGTAGTTGCGGTGGTAGGCTTTGGCGGAGCACTCAAACCGACGCTCGGCTTCTACGCTCGCACCACGATCACAACAGCACATACATCGATGAGCGAGATAACCCGAGAAATGCGACTTACTCGCTGGGTAGTACCAGCAGGTGAGACACATCGGTGGTGGGGTTGATGATCACGAAGGACAGACCGAGCGGACCGACATTCCAGGGCTGCGTGCAGATGATCTATGCGAGACACACACACACACACACACACACACACACACACACACACACACACACACCGAGTGAGCGACGATCCGGAGGGCTCGAGGGAGAGAGGAATGGAGCCAACCTTCACCCGGTCCCACGTCTGCTTGGCCACATTGCGCTCGAACTTGTCCGCAAACGAATAGCCGCTGTAGCTGTGGTGCATACAGACGAAGAGAGCGTTCAAAGCTAGCCTTGGAGGCTCATTCGTTGCCGCCTATGTGTTTGTGTAGCGTACCGGTTTGCGCCCGACTTGCTCTCGCTCATGGTACAGAGTGGCTTGATGGGTTGCAGGACCTGATAGTCGATCGGACGCGAGGTGCTCTTGCCCACCAGTATCTCCACAAACGCTGCCCCCGCATTGCCTGCCTCACCGAGTCCAGTCAGAAAGATCAATAAAGAAGAATAAATCAATAACATCAAAAAGTCAGGAAGTGTAAAATCAAATGTGGCCACGGCATAAGAGTACCGATGACGATCCGTTGAATCTGAACGGGTGTGGCGAGGGCAAGCTCGAGGGCAGCCTTTTTCTCGGGGGCCTGTGTTTGCCAGTAGGTGGTCGCCGTCGGGCTCTTCACCGCTGTCGCCGGGTGCGATTCTGAGTCCTGCGACGTGCACGACAGAATAGTGTACGCCTCTCCCCCATCGCCTGTATCCATTTCCATTCCTTTTGGCTTCGATTTTCTGCAATGATCAAACAAGCAAAAGATATTTATTTACGCCTTTAATTCCTCGAACGCGTAGAATTCGTTTTTGGTTTTTATGGCGCATTGCCCCACGTCTTGCCCTTGTGTCGTGTCTACCTCGCCTCACGCATTGAACGTTTGATGAGTGGTGATGAAAAGACATTTAGAAGATAGTAAGTTAAACAACAAAGTGGGAGGGGGCTCTCGCTGGCCTCAATCTGGTCTGCCTGGTGGTGGTTTCCCTCAGTAGTGGCCGTAGCCGCCATCGCACTCGGGCTTGCACTTGCGGTACTCGGGGCAGTACTCGCCGGCCTTGGCGTACTGGCCGTTCTCGTCGGGGTAGTAGCCCTTGCCGTCGGCGTAGAACACGCCGCAGTCGCGCTCGACCGGGTAGCAGCCGTGGGCGTCGCGGTAGTACCACTGGTGGCCGATCTTGCGCGGGCAGCAGCCCTTGCCATCCTTCCACTGGCCGCCCGGGCACTTGTTGTCCTTGTCGTGGTCGTCGTCGCACGGCTTCTCGGTCGTGGTCTTACGGCACTCCTCGGTGGTGGTCGTGTGCTTCTTGGTCGACGTGGTCTCCCTCCTGGTCGAAGTGGTCTCCTTCCTGGTTGAGGTGGTCTCCTTGGGGCACTCCTCAGTGGTCGAAGTGGTGTGGTGCTTCTTGGTCGACGTGGTCTCCTTCCTGGTCGAGGTAGTCTCCTTGGGGCACTCCTCTGTCGAGGTGGTGTGGTGCTTCTTGGTCGACGTGGTGTAGTGCTTCTTGGTGGTGGTAGTCTCCTTGGGGCACTCCTCCGTGGTCGACGTGGTGTAGTGCTTCTTGGTGGTGGTGGTCTCCTTGGGGCACTCCTCCGTGGTGGTGGTGTGCTTCTTGGTCGTGGTAGTCTCCTTGGGGCACTCCTCGGTGGAAGTAGTGTAGTGCTTCTTGGTCGACGTGGTCTCCTTGGGGCACTCCTCCGTGGTGGTCGTGTGCTTCTTGGTCGAGGTGGAGTGCTTACGGGTAGAGGTGGTCTCCTTGGGGCACTCCTCGGTTGTGGTGGTGTGCCTCTTGGTCGAGGTGGTCTCCTTGGGGCACTCCTCAGTCGTGGTGGTGTGCTTCTTGGTCGTGGTGGTCTCCTTGGGGCAATCCTCGGTTGTGGTGGTGTGCTTCTTGGTCGTGGTGGTCTCCTTGGGGCACTCCTCGGTGGTCGTGGTGGTGCGCTTGGGGGTGGTGGTGCGCCTCTCGGTGGTGGTGGTCTCCCTCCTGGTTGAGGTGGTCTCCTTGGGGCACTCCTCAGTCGTCGTGCTCTTCTCGTGGTGCTCGGGGCGGATGCAGCGCTCGTGGCACTTGCGCTCCTTCGGGCACTCCTCACCGTCCTTCGCGTAATTGCCCTTCTCGTCCGGGTAGTACCTAATGCACGACGTCAGCCCCTCGGGTTAGTTCGTGTTGCGCTGTGACGTGTGCGGTGCACCCATGCGCAGGTGTGCGGCGTACCCATGACCGTCAGCGTAGTAGACGCCACAGCCGACGTCCTTGGGGTAGCACTTGCTGCCATCGCGGTAGTAGGCCTTGCCCTTGATGATCGCCGGGCAGCAGCCCTTGCGGTCGGGGTAGTAGCCGCCCTTGCACGGCCCCTTGCTGTCGTGCTTCTTCTTGTCGTCGGCCATGGCGGTGGCCACGAGGACGAGGCCCAAGGCCAGCACAAGGAATAGCTTGGTTGCTGGTGTCATCGTCTTCGTCTTCGTCTTCTTCACACTTGGGCGGCTGAGCTGTTGGCTGATGGCAGTGTGAAAAGGAGGCGAGCGATGATGAAGTGATTAAAACAGAAACCAAGGCCGTCCTTTTGTAGTCGCAACCATCCAATCCCGCGCTGCACACCGGCGCGCTCAAACAGGGTCTCTTCTGCATAAAGCCGCCCGCACCCAGTTAGAGCCCAATGGAGGCCAGGAATTTTCCCTCTGGGGGAAGCTGTGGGGGTGGGCAGTACTTCTTTTTACCGGGCGGGGGAGTCGAGTCACCACGACTTTGGTGACCGGAGGGTGGGCAGCCAACAGGCTCAGCAGACAGAAAAGCTGAAGAAGGTAGCAATGGACCTTAAGACTGGCGGGTGGTTGGTTGGTCAGGCAAGAGGGTGTGCGAGGCGGCCGCCTGACTGGTGGCCGTCAATCTACCTGCGGCCTCGCAAACGCACCACACGACGTAGTAACGAGAGCTCCCCCCCCCGGAAGAACGACAACTTGGATGGAATACATTGCCGTCCAGAACTGACCAGGCTGACACGAACTAAAGAGAGAGAGAGAGAGAGAGAGGCGAACGTCCACGCGAGCGTTACAGGTCGTCATGGTCGTGGCCATCAGCATGCCAGTCGCCAGTATCCTGGAAGGCACTGCCAGAAATAGGTGAGCCCAAGCGTGTGCGCGTGCTACGGTGCGTGTGCGGGTTATGCGTTCGTGCGTGTGCGGTGCGTGCTGAGTTGACGTACGTGGCGTTGTCCTCGACAAACGCAACGAAATCATCAAAGTGGCGAGTGAGCCCCTTGTACTCAATCGGGTTGCTCTTGTTACCGGCCGGGAATAGGAAGATGGTGGGGTATCCCTGCGCGTGCATACAAAGGCCCAAGCCCATGATCAGCTACGTGGCCTATGTTGCCTACCCCAAAAAGCGCTGAACATACCCCAGCCCTTGTGTGTGTGTGTGTGTGTGTGTGTGTGTGTGTGTGTCGTGTGTCGTGTGTGTGTGTGTGTGTGTGTGTGTGTGTGTGTGTGTGTGTGTGTGTGTGTGTGTGTGTGTAATGCGTGCGCGTAACGCTTACCGCTACAACAACGGCTGGATTGTCGTTGGCCGAAGCATCGATCTTGGCCACAACAATGTCGGGGTCCTGGGCGAAGTGCTGACCCACCTTCTCCCACGTGGGCGCCATTTGCTTGCAGTGGCCACACCCTATGACCAACACACACACACACACAGTCATATTCTTACTCGCGCATGCACAACGGTTGGCGAAGGAGACGTACAGGGAGCGTAGAATTCGATGAGGACGTCCTTGTCGTTGTTGAGGACGAGCTCCTCGAAGGTGTCACCCACCACGACGAGCACATCGCCAGAGTTGTCTTCAGGCGGCCTCTCCGAGGTGTAGTGCGGTCGCAGAGTGCGGTCGGCGATGCCTGGCGCACGTCACCACAAAGCGAGCGCGCGTTAGGGTAAGTAAGAGCCAAGAGCAAATAAGAAGACGAAGACACAGTGGGAAGAAGAGGGTAAATAGAATACCCGAGAGCAAAGCTTCGACGTTTTCGCGGTTCAGATCCTTGGACTCGTCGAAGGGCCAGCTCTTGGTAGTTTCAGCATCGACGGCCACTGATTATGGCGCACCACCACGCGGAGTAAGTGCGCTGTGCCCTCCGAGAATGGCACATCATAGAGACGATGTGGCGTTACCAATGGTCGGGATAATGTCGCCGCTCGCGCCCAAGGTGGGAAGGCGCGAGTGGAAGTCCTTGCTGTGCGTGTGTGTGGAGAGGAAAACGTGAGCGCGGATTCGACCAATTTGTTGAGTGCCGGATCGACGCAGCGGCCACAACAGACACGGGGCGGGTGGGGGCGGGGCGGGGTGTACCCAGCGTAGAGGAAGCTGAAGCGGTGGATGTTCTCCTTGGCAACTTCGGTGAACCAATCCAGGGTGTTCTGGACGCCTTCGCCCTCCATGTCAACAAAGAGAATGATGATGGGCACCTTCCTGCTCATCACTCTGTCCCAGGCCTCCGGTCCGTTGTTCTAGGGCAGCCAGCGCAACAGCGACACCCGGGGTTAGCAATGAAGCCCGCAATACCCGCCACGTCAGCGGGCATGTTGAGGGAGCACGGTACCACGTAGGGGAATCCGTAAGCGAGAACAGCGCCCAGGATGGAGGCCGGCGTGGGGTTGCGCAGCACGTGCGGTTCATCCGGCGCGAAGCTCCTGTACACCTTGACGGTGTCCACCTGCTCACCGAGCCTGGGTGCCCATGAAACCGCCAGCAGTTGTTGAATCCGGAAGTGAGCCTATGCGTTGCACGCCAGTTGCAAGTCACCCACCCAACCAACCCACGTACTTGACGATGAGCTCGGGGTCGGAAACCTCGCCAAAGGCGAAGCCCTCGACGACGGCCTGGTTGGCCGTGTCCCGGACGCCGAGCAGCGCTGCGTGACGTAAGCGGGAACGCGCAGATGAGCTGGAACTGTGGTGATCGAAGAGAGAGAGAGAGAGAGAGCCCCTCCAGGGTATACGTACCATCGGAATTGGGTTCAGCGTAGACGATCAGCGAGGTCGGGTGGGCGGCCATGAAGTCGTTCACCTCCTCGACTGTGTTGAGGGCGACAGTAATCGGCACGCTCTTCTTCTTAATGAACGCCACCAACTCGGCCGCGGTCCTGCCGAGCTCATAGTCCTGAAGGTACTTGCCGTGACTGGATGGACAGAACAGAGGACAAGAGAAGTGAGTCGCAACCTCGTTTGGCTGACCGATAGAAGAAGAAGAAGAAAGGACACTGCTGAGAGAGCCGAGAGCTGTTCGGGTACCGGAAGAACTTCATGGTGGGATAGCCGCGCACGTCGAAGCGACGACCGAGCACCTCCTCCACGGTACAGTCGACCTTGGCCACAAGCACTCCCGGCTGGCCGCTGGAGGCGCGCTAAGCGTGTCAGGATTGGCCCACGCCAAACACGCGAGGCATGCCTTGTGACACGCACACCGCACACACCGCACACACGAGAGAGAGAGAGGAGTACGCAAGCTGGCGAGCAGCGTCTTCCAACTCGGGCGCCAGCTTCTTGCAGTGGCCGCACCACGGCGCGTAGAACTCAATGAAGGCATAGGGGTACTTCTGCAGGGCCTCGTCGAACGACTTCGCCGTCAGCGCCACCACCGCCTCGGCCTTCTTAGCATCGGCTGCCGACACTTCAGCTTCTTTGGCGGCCACCTCCTCCTTGAGCTCTTGCTGGCCCTGCACCCGCTGGAGCTCCTCCTTAGGCTTCTCGGCTTCCCTGAGGCGGCGATCCCTGAGATCCTTCAACTGCTGAATGATGTCGACGGTGGTCTGGCGCCCGGTGAGGACAGCCTCGTCTTCGTTGTTCAAGATCTCCATGAACTCGTCGTCGTCGGGGGAGAACGAGGCGAAAAGAGCCTCTTCGGCTTCTTCCTCGGGCGTGAGCGGTACATCTTCAAGATCGAGTTCGTCGCTGTCCGCATAGAAGTCAAAGAGGTCGGCCTTGGGGGCGCCAAGGACGTGCGAGGCCAACACCAGCCCGATAACGAGGCACGCCCAGAACAGCAACACGCAGCTCTTGACCATTCTCTCGCACGATTACAGCCTCAGATCTATGCAAACAACAGATTAATCTCACCCGCACTGCCGATGATAAAAATCAAATTATAATTACAATCATTCCATGCGCCAGCTCCTTGCGAAAGGTGACACTGACGTGTGCTGCTCCCTTTGGGGGGAGGACGTGCATACCCGCAACTAGAGTGTAAATCTGGAGATGCCGAACGCTCGCTGAGGATTACAGCTCCTTTTTCGCTCCCAAAACGCGCCTTGTCAAGTGGTGGAGTGAATTCAAAAAAAAGCAAGGTGTGCTATCACGGATTATCGTCAGCGCTGACGTCAGCGTCTGGAAGGCGTGACGAGGTTACATCACGAGTGGCGGGTGGAGTTGGGAAGGTGGTCGAGGCTTGGAGATGGTCTACTGAGACCCAAAAAAAGTTTAATAAATAGGGGAACAAAAGGAGATGCTGTGTACATCACATGCGTGGGCGCACTGCACGCAGAAGGGGGGGGGGATAGGGTAGGATGGGGGGGGGTGAGATCGACGCCAGCTCTCTAGAACTTCTGGAGTCGGTCGAGTATCTCTTCGAAGCTCGGCCGGACGTCGGGGTCCTCCGCCCAGCAATCGGCAGTCAAGCGAGCCCAGTGGTGCGGCGTATCACTGGGGAGGTCTGTGTGTGCGTGCGCGCAGAGGCCCGGCGTCAGCGTCACAGGCCCACTTCCATCGTACTGCAGGCACCAGCACACATGCGGGAGGGGCTCGGACCTGGTCGGAGGCCCTGGGTGCCGACTTGAAAGACCACCTGGAAGTGGGGGATGCCCTCGTGCGGTGTCATGCGCGTCACGCATTCCCACAAAACGATGCCGAAGGAATACTGCGTGTGTTGTGTGAGAGAGAGTTGCGACACCACGCCAAAGACCACCGCCGGTCAGGTCACACAGCGACACGAGAACGGCAGACGGCACCGGCGAGTGCGCAAGCGAAGACAGGCACGTACCACATCGCACTTTTCCGTGTATTTTTCGCCTCTGAGCACTTCAGGTGCAGTCTGGAAGGAGGTGTGGAGACACAGCGAGTGAGCACAAACTGAGCGATCAAAGGGGGTAGATGGGGGTTTCGGCTCGAGAAAGGAGGGAAAGGAACGAACCCACGACGGCGTGCCGCAGGAGGTCATGGTGTCCATAGCCGTCAGCATGCGAGAGAGTCCGAAGTCGCTCACCTTGCATCGCCAGTGCTCGCCCACTAATAAGTTATGCTGCAACCCGCACCCCAACAACCATTGAGTCAATTTGAATACCCGCATGTGGGCCGTGTTGTGTATGTGTGTGTGTCAGCATGTACCGATTTGAGATCACGATGCACGATGACGGGTTGGGATTTGTGGAGGTAGGTCATCCCGCGCGCGGCATCGAGAAGGATCTGGCGCCGGAGGTCCCACGACAGGTCTATGGACTTGTCGTGCAAGATCTGGTACAACGAACTGCACAGCAAGAAAAAAAAGAAATAGAGAGAGAGAGATCAGTTGTGGTGATGAAGATAATGTGATCATAATCCAATGTGAGAGAACAGTTGACGGCGATGTATATGTACCCCTTCGCCATGAACTCCATCACGATCATGACCTCGGGATGAGTAAACGACGCAAAGAGCTGGATCACGTTCGGGTGCCGGAGAGTTCTGGAGGAGGACGAAGAAACAAGGCCAAGGGGTCAGCGCAAGGGCCATGAAAGAACCTTTGGAAGTGAGTGGAGAGCGGGAGTAGGATGGGTGCGGCACTTCATGAGCTGCGTCTCCTGGATGAAGCCCTCCAAAAAGGTCTTTTGCTGCTCCTTGTCCTCGAGCTGTTCAAAATAGTAGGGCAGCTTCTTCACCGCCACCTCCGTGCCTCGCCAAATCCCCTTGAACACCTGCGTTTTGTGGCCCAGTTGTGGCAGCACCCAGCGGAGATGAGGTCCGAGGCTATACCAGTGGTGGGGGGTTGTAGAGAGAAAACGAACCTCGCCATAACTGCCCTTGCCCACGCGCTCAGCCAGGACGATCTCGCCGTAGTCCATCTGTTTGACCAGGCCGTCCTGCGATGACTTCTTGCCCCGAGAACGCTTGCCGGAGGACTCCTTGCGGTGCTGGCCCGACGCACGCAGCTTGCCTCGGTGCGAGATTTTGAGAAGCGCCTTTCGCTCTGAGACACGAAAACGGGGACAGGTGTGAGTTGTGTGCGCGTGCGCGTGCGGTGGTACGGTGGTGCGTGTGCGGTGCGTGAAGAGAGCTACCTGCACTGCCCATATCACCACCGGCCGGAATACCAAGCAGTCGCCTGGTATCCTCTCCCACTTCATTGATGTCGATACTCGTGTAGATAGCTGCGAGAGAAAGAAAGCAGGAAATGGGGAGTGGAAAGAGAGGAAATTAGCCACAGTGTGGGCAGGTCGAAAGGGGGGGAATGCGTACAGCCAGGGCGCCCGGTGTACTCATAGTCGCCGTACTCGCTCTCTGTCTCGGTGTCGACCACTGGTCCGAGGCAGTCGCAGCAGCCGGTCTTCCTTTCATCGTAGTCTGTGCAGATACAAAGGGCGAAGCTTCCCGCATTCAGCAAGGTCGCGCGGCTGGCAGGAAGGTGATGCGAAAGGTGTGTACCTTGGATCGAGCCATAGCGCCTGCGCCGACGTATGCGCTTCACAGTCACGTACGTGATCCAGATGACGATCGACGCACAGCAAAAGAAGCTACTCGTCCCGATGAGCACTGATCAGCACCAGCACAACATGGAATGGTATAGCGATTATTAGAATCGTTCACAGCCCAAAGGAAGACGCATCAACGAGGCGGTGTACCAAAGCCCCAAATGGGCATCTTGAAGGGCTTGTCATCGTCGCCTCCACCACCGCCTCCAGTACTTGTGCTGGTGTTGGCTGAAGCCGGAAACGGAGGTTTGTGATTGTGAGGGTTAGGGTAGGTTGGTGGGCCGACTGAGTAGGAGTGTGAAGGGCTGCGTACAAGTCGTGATGATGGTCGTGATGGGCAGGTGAGCGGGGATGGTCTCCACGAAGATGTCGATCGAATACAAGCACAGAAGACCAGACAACACGCGGACGTTGATGGTGTTCTGCAGCCCAATACAGAGCGCCGCATGCGAGCGTTGTCAGCGTTCGAAAAGGCCCGACTGACAGTGGCGTGCATAGCGTGTGTGGCGTACATTGACTTCATAGTTCCACGACGTTGGCCAGATCTCGAATTCGGTGCCGACCACGGTCACGCTGGTCATGCACCCATCGCACAACTTGCAGAACTCGCAATCGATACACGCCGCATAGTCGAGCGGCTCCTGCGTGATCGCGGCAGACTGCACACAGCACACAGAACACAACGCAAGCAGCACACAGCGTACACCGGGCATGAGCGTTGTTTGGTGTTTGGTTGTTTTTTTGTTCATGAGGAGCGAGTGCACGTTGGACGAACCTCGACAAGGATGTTGAGAATGGTGGGTGGCGCGCTGTCCCTTGACACGGGACAGCGAAATCGTCCGTGCATGGTCAGGTTGACCTGCGTGACGACGCGCGATGGATCCACCCCGACGAAGAAGTGCTTCGTGCCGTTGCTCCAGTCGCCTGGTCACACCACAAAAGAGGATGCGCCAAGGTGAACTCGTCTACTTCAACAAACAACGCGCCTGATCCCGCCTACGTGCGCGTGCGTGCATGGAAAGGAATGAGCAGCTGTGTGTACCTGGAGAGGCAGGTGGTGGGTGGCTCTCCATGTTGCAGGCGTAGTCGGGCGCGAGGAAGGTGGCGTGGGGCGCGATGCTCGAACAGTTGGCACAACTCACTCCACCGTTGTTGCCGCCATGCCAGTAGACGGTGGTGTTGTAGATCTTTACCAACGGATTCTCTGAAACCATTCACACGAACGTCAGGGTTGGAGCCAGTTCCTGGGAGGATGGGAGGATGGGGCACTCACGTTTGGCCCGCTCGGCTTCGAAGTTGGGCGCGGCGGCACCACCTTCGCCAGGCCCCATCGAAGAATCCTCCAGCCGATTTAATTCTTCGCCCGTCATCGTTGCACTCTCCATTTTGAGCCCAGCAGCCGCGCATTGTGGAATCGTGAAGACGTGGTATGTGAAGATGATGAAAATGGAGGCCAGCAACGTTGCACGATGCAGTCCACATCGCCCCCGATACCTCGTGGATTCGCCTCCTTCCATCTCTAATCGTCGCCCCCAAGGGTGATTGACCTCGCGAATGTAGGCGACCTCTGCCCCCCAGTCAACAATTCAATGGGGCTCCGTCCCGTGCGGCCAACCGATTCATTAAATCACTCCACCAGATCGTTCCAGTTACCTGTGTGAGGCCTCCCGCTATTGGTTGGTGGCCGGATTTAACCCGACACACCCAGGAAAGAGAGGAGGACGATCTCTTCTCTTCTTGTTGTTGGAATCTCAATGTGGGCGGACAGGCGTGGAGCCAACGTTCAAGTTGAAGCTTCAGCAAACCTGTTCATTGCCGTGTTGTTGCACTGTTGTATATTTTACAATTTTCGGCCCTGGGCGTTGGCACAAAGGGCGTGCATTCCCTCATCAGGTGAAGTCTCGCCGGTCGCGAAGGACCTGCACTGCGCTGTACATGGGCGAGGAAGGTGGCGGCGGAGAGACCGGCGTGATGATGCTCGTGCCAAAGTTGTAGAAGTTGAGCGAGCTGATGCCCGGCGCGTCGCCATCGCCGCCGGCGCCAGAGGGGAAGCTCAGCGAGGACGGAGGAGGCGAGGGCATGGGCGACGACAGGAGGCCCGCCAGCAGGTCGCGCAGCTCCGCTCGCTCGTTGTCCTCCGTGCGGCGCCCACCGGCGTTGTGCGCGCCCTGGTGGTGGTGCTGAGCTCCTTCGGCGCCCGATAGGAACGAGGGCGACGGCGAGTAGAGCCCTTGGATCTGGAAGAGCGCCGGGGGCGTCGACGGGACAAAGCCGTAGCCGTCAGGCATGTGGGGGCCCGTGTTCTCGCCTGAGGCAGTGCCCTCGGGCTCGGTGCCGTCGTCGTCCGGTGCGCGCTTCCTCTTTCCCGCGGCAGCAGCTGCAACGGCGGCGGCGGAGAAGGCGGCGGACATCGAGAGCGATTGACGGAGCGGCGAGGCGGGCATCAGCGCCGACGCAGAGTCCGGGCCAAAGCCGTGCGGGAAGGGAAACGGGAAGCCGGGGAAGTTGCATGCGGGGAAGCCCGTCGGTAAGCCGGCAGAGTGGCGCGAGGCGGTGAATTCGTTGAGCAGCGTCTGCAGCGCGACCTTCCGCACCTCCACGAACACGTTCTCCTCGGACACGCTGTCCACCACCATCACGCCCCACTTCGGCTGCGCGTGGCAAGAGTACGAGAGAATGGAAAAAGTGTGAGACAGTGCTGCCACGTACGTGGGCGTAGGGTAATCAAATGAGATGAAAGCGGTGCCGGCGTACGTGAGCAGTTTCGTTGAAGAACATCTGATGCCGCCCGTGCAGCTTGATCACCGTTCCGTCGCGCTTGATGGCGTAGGGCGAAAAGGTGGTGATCGAAGAAAAGCCATTCGGGCGGGCTTCGGCCAGCGAGGCCATGATGTTGGCCCGATTGTCCTCCGACGGCATCGAGAACTTGGTAACCGGACACGCTAGGATTTCGCTCTGAAGAGAAGCGATAAGCGAGGGAGGAAGTTAGGCCTGGCCTTGATGTATCTGCGTCTCCTCTATCTCACACGCCAGTCGATTGAGAATGGTGGAAACGTACCAACGGATAACGCAGGAGTTCGCAGAAGGCGTCGTTGACGTAGATGTAAATCGGAGGCAAGAATTTGTGTGCGAGAGCTTCGGGAGGGCTCACGAACAGCACTATCGCGATGGGCTTGCTGAGGGAAGAGTGAGTCAATCAAACCACACCACCGGGCGGATGAGAAAGAGAAGCTGAACGAAAAGAACGCGTACGTACGTGAACTCGTCTATGACGAACGGCGCGTCGGGAGAGTAGAGGCCCTCGTAGCTCTTCAGCAGCGGAAAGTAGTCGAGAATCTCGGCCCGCGTGCGAGGCATGCTGCGGGGCAGCGGGAAAGGGATGGCCGGAATGTGCGGGTGGGCAGTGAGCTTGGGCAGCGAAGCTTGTTCGGGCGACGACACCGATGATGACGACGGTGGGGAGGTGCCGCCACCACCATCCGACGATGACTGCGAGGCGCGAGCCGCGACGAGTGGAATGAGCAGCTCGACGCGTTCCTTGAGCTGCCTGTGGTGGTCTTCGAACATCTTCTGTCGCTTGTTGACCGCCTTGAGCTCCTTTTGCACGCCCTTCAGGCTGTCCTTGAGATCCCGCACCTGGCCCACGAGGATGCCCAGGAGGCTCTCGATGTCGGCACCGGTGCCGCCTTTGGGCTGCTCGTGCGACGCGGGCGAAGAGTTCGACGGAGACGAGGAGGAGCCCTCAGCCGCCGCCAACAACGACGGATTCTCCTTCTGCTTTTTCTTCTTCGTCGTCTCGCTTCGGCCGTCGGTGCGGGCGCTGGTGGTCGGCTCCGGGCCTGGTGGTGCTGACGAAGAAAGAAACGGCGGCTGGTGGCTGGGCTTGGGCTGTACCGGAAACGGAGGGAACGGAGGATCGGCCATCCCTACATAGTTTGCAACGCGTGAGTCAGAATCGGGGACGACACAAGGAAGAAGAAGGGGAGACCTACCTTGGGGGAAGGGGGACGGGAAGGGCGGAGGAGACTGGGGTCGCCCGACGCCGCTCAGAGGGAAGGGAGGGAAGGGGAAGGGGAACGATTGCGGCGACGGCGGGAAGGTGCTGTTGGCACCACCGAGCACCGGTGCGGGAAAGGAGCCCGGGTGCGGGAAAGAAAAGGTGCTCGTTGCGTGCGGTTGTTGCTGATGTTGAGCATTGGAAGGAGGAGCTTGTGATGAAGAGGATGATGAAGAAGAGGAAGAAGCGGAAGCGGGAGCGAACCCGGCGGGGTATGGCATGCCGGGCTGAGGATAGGGAGGACGGTGCTGAGGCGGTGGTGCCTGAGCCTGCGGCGGGTATTGGAATAGGTGGTGAGGTAGTTGCTGAGGATGATGCGAGTGTGGCTGTTGTGGCTGCGGCTGCGGCTGCGGCTGCGGCTGAAAGGCGCCGTGGCCAGCGGTGGCCTCTGTCTCGCCCTCCTCGTGGGTTCTGTTCTTGCGGGGACGGCCACGCCTGCGCCGCTCGGGGTCCACGCACTGCGCCGCCTTCCCCGAGCTCGTGCACCGCTTACACGGCCGGCTCCTGGTGCAGGCAAAAAGAAAGAGGGTGAGATAGGGCAAGCCAAAGGGGATCAAGGTAGACGCATCGCGAACATGGGTGCAGAATTAATCAACCAACAAATGCGAAGGAGAGCCCGGGGGGGGGGTACGAGTCGCAGGCTAGGTGGCTGAGTCGGCAAGGCAAGCACGCCCGATCCACGGGCTGCTTCGTTGGCGCACCTCCCTCTGCGAGCCCTTCTCTCTTCTCCGCGGCGTTCATGCCGTCTGTGTCTTTTTCCTGTCGCCTCCCTGCGGGCGATGAAGTCCAGTTGTTGCCCTCCCCGTCTCCCGCATGCTGCATCGTCTCCCTGGTTGGAGATGATTTGGCGGACCGTTGCTGTTTCGCGGCAGAAGCGAACTAACGCCTTTGAACAATTGCCCGAAGCCCGAGGTCCACCTCCGAGAGTAGCCGCAACAGCGCAGCCCCACAACTGCTGACCACAGGCATTGAAAGCTGCCCCTTGCACCAAGTGCAGAGGCCTGCCCGCTGCCTGGCGCAAGGCGGAGGTGTAATGCTTACGGCCAGGCCGCTGGTGCGTGACCATCGTGCAGCAAAGGTGCACAGGGCTCCTGCAATTCTTGGGGCAGCGTCGTGTCACGAGCGAGGTGACGTCACGCCGAAGGCCAAAGAGGACCGGCACGGCCTTTCTTTGTTTCACTGCCGCTTCCGTACCGCACACAAGGCACACCACTCCCCACCACTTCAAGTTATACTGCGGTGTATGTTCGTCGAGCTCCTCGCTCGCGTTAGATGATCACCATTTTCTTTCGCTGGGAGCTTCATTTCGCCATTTTCACCGTTCATCACATTCATCACATCGCATCTTCCCTCGCTTCGGCGAGCGCAACATGGCGCACACTGACATCCCGTCTCAACTATACTATGATGGCCGACGGCATCCACTACTCGCACGATCACCGCCCCACTTGACCGCATCAGATGAACGCCAAGTTCCTGTTCGCGGCTTTCTGCCTTCTGGGCTTCGTCGCCTCGATGCAGGCGTCCAATGTCGCCGACCTCACCGATGATTCCTTCGCCGAGTTCATCGCCAACAATGAGTTTGTCCTTGCCGAGTTCTACGCCCCCTGGTGCGGCCACTGCAAGCAGCTTGCCCCTGAGTACGCTCTCCCGCTTTGGCTCCAGCATTGATTGGAATTTTCGATTGACGATTTTGATGTCGACTGAATAAATGCTGGCTCGGTGCGTAGGTATGAGAAGGCTGCCGATCAGCTCCTCGAAGCCGGAAGCCCGGTCAAGCTCGCCAAGGTCGATTGTACCGTCCAGCAGCAGATCGCTCAGCAGTTTGAGATCCAGGGTTACCCCACTCTGAAGTGGTTCAGGAACGGCAAGGCCACCGAGTACCAGGGTCCTCGTGACGCCTCTGGTATGAGTGCCTCTTCACCTTTAGCGGCATTGCGACCACATGCCTTAGTTGAACTCACCACGCACTACACCACGCTGTGCAGGCATCGTCGCTTGGGTGAACAAGAAGAGCGGTCCCCCCACTCACACCCTCACCGACAAGGCTCAGCTCGACGCTCACATTGCCGCTGGCACCGTCGTCGTCGGTTTCTTCGAGAAGGACTCTGACGGTACCTTGACGCACTCTCCTGTTCAGTTACCCATATGAAAGGCTAACTCGTCCCCGCTACCGCCACAGCGCACAAGGCCTTCGTCGCCGCTGCCCAGAGCCCCCAGGCTGATTCCTTCACTTTCGTCGATGTCGTCTCCGAGGACCTCATCAAGGAGTACGTCCGTCCTCCACTGAACAACCCTTACAGCCACGAGCACTTACCTTGTATTCGGAAACGCAGGGCTGGTGAGAAGGTCGGTACCGTGAAGCTCTACAGGAGCTTCGACGAGCCTCTTGCCCTCGAGGGTGAGGTCACCGAGCAGGCCGTCGTCTCCCTCGTCACCGGCCACGGATTCCCCTATTTCGTACGTCCACCTGGTCCTCTTTCTCCGCACTTGACTTGATCTGACGGGTGAGCACATGGCACATGTGGTCGACAGGAGCCGGCCCCCGTCGCGTGGGCTCGCCTCATTGGCCGCGGCCTCGAGTATATCCTCCTGATCGTCGCTGATGTCACCGAGGAGGACGTGTGGAACCCCATCAACACCTTTGCCACCAAGCTGGCCAAGCAGTACGCCGACAAGGTTGGCTTCGTCTACCTTACGTACGCTATCCCACCCCGCTGTTTCCGTTCGTTCACTCTGTGTTGTGGTCGGGCAAGTGGTTCAATGATGAGAAACATAGTTTCCGACTGTCAGTGAGGAACACCAAATCGAGCTTTTTAAATCTGATCTACCGCTGCCAACTACCGCGCAATCCCTTATATGTGTTTGGCTTTGGGCGTTGCTGATTTGTTTTTACTTTTCCAGCAAGGAGTTCTTCCCCCGCGTCACCCAGTTCGGTCTGAGCGGCAAGCACTTCCCCGCTGCCCGTACGAGCCCCTCGCCACTACCGGGTTTTTTTAAGCTGGCGCGTAAATCGGCTGACTTTGCTCACCCTCTTCGTTGCAGTGGTCATGGCTCCTCACCGCGAGAAGACGTTCCTCCTCGACGAGCAGACCCCCATCACCGAGGAGGCTCTCAAGAACTTCGTCGATGGCGTGCTCGATGGCACCATCGCCCCTAGCTTCAAGGTGTTTAATCCCTCCACGTTGCAGATGCTTGATTGTTGGGATCGCTCCGCCGCCTGCTTAACCCTACTTACTGTGTCCTGTTCACATCGGCTTAGTCGGATGAGGCTCCCGCGTCCAACGATGGCCCCGTCACCATCCTCGTAGGCAATACCTTCGAGGACTTGGTCATCAACAACGACAAGGACGTCCTGGTCGAGTTCTATGCCCCCTGTACGTATCTCCCATATTATTATTATTATTTGGCCCTGGTGTGGCTCGTCCCGTATCTGACCCTGTTGCGTATTTAAAGGGTGCGGCCACTGCAAGAGCCTCGAGCCGATCTACGAGGAGCTTGGTGAGCGTTTCGCGGACAATGACAAGATCGTCATCGCCAAGATGGACTCCACCACCAACGACAACGACCACGTCGCCGTCAAGGGATTCCCCACGATCGTCTTCTTCCCCGCTGGCAGCAAGGTTAGCCCTCTCCCTTCTCTCCCCACCGCCCTTTGTCTGGGCCACCTCGACCTTAGATTGGGAGAATTAATTCTGATGTTGCAACAACAGGACAAGCCCGTGACCTATGAGGGTCCCAGGACCGTTGAGGGCTTCGTCTCCTTCCTGAACCAGCATGCCACGTAAGCTTACTTATCTCTTCCCTTGTGTTCAAGCATCACCACCTCGCCGCTCACTGTCAATGTCTTTTGCCACTACAGCAACCTGCAGGGTTCGCCCCTCGCCGTCGAGGATCCTGAGCACGATGAGCTGTAAGCTCTCACTCTCCTTCTCCACACGCTTGCTCTCTCCATCGCAACGGTCGCAATGAAAAAAGCACACAACACGGTGTTTGCCGCACCAAGGCGCCTGCGAGTGTGCGCAAGGAAATAAACTGCCACAGTACCACACCCACTTTGTGCCTGCTCGCTGCAAGATGGAACAACACAACAAAAGTACTGGATGGAAGATCACCACCATCTACGCGTCGGCAGATGGTGAAAGCCACTTTGGAGAGAAGTCGATCGTGCGCCCTTGCCTCTCGCCTCGTCAGCATCTGGTGATATGCTTGAAGCAAAAATCTCTAATCTCAAATTAACATAATCAGAATGTGGAATCAACGGCCGAGATTGGCAGCTTGTCCGAATTGCTGAAGGTGAAGGGTGCCCGATTTCGCACCACACCAGCTACCTATAACTACGATTGGCACACCGCGCCCTGTCGGCAGGTACGTAAGCTTGTTCATGATCACGGGCCAAGCACCGGTATTCCACAGATCCTGAGCATTTTTCCACGCGTAGTTGATCGTAAATTTGAATGCAAGCGTCGACGTTGAAGTGAGCGACGGCGAAAGGAAGCGCCTGGGTGCGGGTGAAGTGTTCCTCGTAGAGGATACGTGGGGCAAGGGCCACAAATCCCGAGCAGTCGATGAGCAGCTGCGCTTCTCTCTCTTCCTCCCGCTCGAGGTACTGGCTGCGTGTTGCACATCTTTTCCGTGGTGTTCAACGCCCCTTGGCCCCGCCAACCGTAACTTAACGCCCTGCCCGCACAGGACGGCGAGCTGGCCTAAGCCGCGTCTCCTCCACCTTCTACTCCATCAATCAAGAGACTAGTATGCGGGTTTGGGCCGGGGTAACGTGACCACCCACGTGATCCTCTCCAGTGTTTCTTGGACTCCTTTTTTGGGGTGAGAAAATTGACGGGTTGAAAGTGGAAACAGGATTCGATCCCGCAGGGACTGTCGTGATACTTCCATTCTTCAAATTTCGTGTAATGCCCAATGAGGTGAGTGCCAACACCAAAAATTGGAAACACGGCAGCGAAAAATGCTGCGGGACGAACTCGTGCGCATGGAAATTTGCGCGGGAAGGTCGCCACCAGGAAAGAGAACGCAACCAAAATGGCAGGGGGGCTGGGGTGGCCAACCAATCCAGACCGAATTGGATCGAAGAAACGTAAGCAAGCAGATGAAGCGTCCTCGGGTGAGCCCATCGATGGATAGGCGACCCCATCCATCCAACTCGCCTTCATCCCCTAATTTTGCATCTTCTCTGCTCTATTCTTCGCCCCCCTCGACACCCACCTCGTCGATCACTCCTCCGACTTCTTCTTCTGCGGATGCTTCGGGGTCAGACTCGAGTCCGACCCAGCCGCAGTGCCCCATTTGCTTCAGTTACTACTCTAGAGACGCTCTTCCATCGCACGTTGGCGAACATTTCGTCGATTCGCCCTCGCAGCCTCAGCGAAAGAAACACAAAACATCGGAGAAGTCGACCATGCGAAATGATAGCCGCATCAACAGCCCCGGCACCAACAAGGCGGCCCAGGGCGGAGATGGCAGCTTTATTGGATGGAGCTCGCCATCTAAACCCATGAAATGCCCGCTGCCCGATTGCACCTGCGTCATTCGACCGGACGAATGGGAAGAGCATCTGCAGCTGCATGAGATCGAAAGCGCCCTGGTATGCCTGATCCTCCTTTTTTCCCTCTTCTCGATCCACATTTCTCTGTGCAATTTCGAGTTCGCTTTCTCACTACATCTTCCATCACATCGATTGCGGCGCAACCTCACGCAGCGGCAGGGCGAGAAGGAACGACACGACAAGCGCGAGGCGAACGACTTTGACCTCTTGCAGCGATACAATGGTGGGCTCCTCGAAGAGGCCGAGATGTACTCGCCCGTGGATTCGCCCTCTCTTTCCGCCCCCTCTCCGACGCAGTCATCCTCGGTGCAAAAAGGAGCCTACGTGAAGCAGTACATACGCAGTCTCGAACGGTACTACTTGTGCCCCTCTTTTTACTTTTCTCCTCATCTCAGTTGGCTCATCGTCTTGCTCTCTCTTTCTTTCTCTTCCCACGCACTCCAGAGACTGTGGTGCGCACCGTCTGTCGCTCGTGGAAGCCTTCAAGAAGAAGGACAAGCTCATGCAGCTCATGCAAGGACCCGACACAGAGACGTTGACCCCTGGTACCGTTTCTCGACAACGTGTTGCACCTGCATTCCGCCTTGATCAGCAGCGCCTCGGCCAGTTTCTCACCCTTTTGTGCCTTGGCTCCATCGGTGCAGACGTCATACCCGCCTTGAAGGCCTGCTACCAAGGTCGGGGCATGTATGGAATCGGCAAGGTCATGATCTGCTCTGCTGCATCTCACTACGCCTACGGCCGGGGGGACGACGGCTGGGGCTGCGGCTATCGTACGCACCTCTCTCGCTCAGTGCTGGCTTAAAGACATTCCCAACACCCTAGCAGCACCCAAGTTCTCATTTTTGCTCTTCATGTGTGTCACGACCGCACGTGCAGGCAACATCCAAATGATGTGCTCCGGCCTCATGAGCAACGAAGTCTACAAGGCCGTGCTGTTCGAGGGCAAGGGGCACATACCAAGCATACCGGTCATCCAGGCCTTCATCGAACAGGCCTGGGCCAGGGGCTACGACGAAGAGGGCGCCAAGCAGCTCGGCTTTTCGCTTTCGGGCGGAAAGAAATGGATTGGTACTTGGCCCACCTTCTTTGGATTCAGCCGACGGACCTCCTGACAACCCAACTCGATGGACTGTCATACTCACCACCTCCCCCTCTCTGTGGTGCAGGATCCATGGAGTGTGCGGCGCTTCTGCGATCGTTCGGGATCGATTGCACGGTCGTCGACTTCTTCCGAGCCACCGGTCCCGATGGCACTCACCCAGAACTGCTCAACTGGGTCTGGAACTACTTCTCCGCCTACTACTCTTCCCCATCATCGCCGCCTTGTCCCGACAAGTCCAACCACACCAACACAACACTCGACTCATTCTTCCTACAGCCGTCCTCCTCCTCCTCCTCCTCTTCCAGCAGCGCGCCCCCCTCTCTCTACTCCACATCCACGATTCCCTCGGGAGCGCATGCGCGGCCTGAACGAAACACTCGATTACTCTCCGACGTGGCCAAGAATCTGGAGTCGTCACAACGCACCCACATGGGCCGCCGACCCTCGGGCGGGTCGTCCTCGTCCTCCCCGTCTCTCTACTCCTCCACGTTCGTCCCGCCGATCTTCCTCCAGCACGAGGGTCACTCGCGAACCATCGTGGGGATCGAAAAGCGCAAAAACGGCACCCTGCACCTCCTCATTCTTGGTACGCCTTCGCCACTCCGTTTTTTGACACACACACACACACACACACCACACACACACACACAACACGCTCTTGGGCTAACAGATTACGACATCACATGATCAGATCCGGTGCACACGGGCCAAAAGGTGACTACGACGCTTGCCGCCCGACAGCGGCGCATCTTTCGACACTCGATCAATGGCCTCAAGCATCGCCAGTACCAGCTGGTCGCCGTGGAGGCCGCCCACGCGTGCCGCCTCATGTCGCTGCAGGAGATGGAGGAGAGCAAGATCCTGCGGACCGTGCGCATCCCCTCCTCCCACTCCAACAGCTAACAGCCAGGCGCGTCTCTTCGCTCGGAGGAGCAGGAGAAGCGAAACAAAACAAAAACAAAAACAATGGGAGAGGAAGGAAGTGTGATCCTTGTGATCATGTCTTAACGCCCACCTGTACATTTTGTCAAACAAACAAAAGCATGCAAACAAATAAATAATCAAACTTCAAGTCGCGCACTTTTATTATCCTTTTTTAAAGCTTATTATTTAGCGCCAATAAAAATAATAATAAAAAGAACGGCAATCGCCGACAGAAGACGAAAAGGAGGAAGGCGAGCGAGCGGGACAGTCGCAATGGAGAAGCTGCACGGCATAGAAGTGGCGAAGGAGGGCGAGTTCTATGGGAAGCTGGTGGCCGAGGCCAAGGCGTTGATCGACGGGGAGGACGACCTCATCGCCAACGCGGCCAACGTAGCTTCCCTTGTCTTCCACGCCCTCAACGAGAGACGCCCTAACGCCGTCAACTGGGTACTTGGCACTGCACAATCTTCAGATCTATAATTTCCCAATTTAAAGTAGAGAAGATGAATTGCTAAGCACTCATGTGGGTTGTATGGGGCACAGGTGGGGTTCTACTTCGTGCGGGGGACACCACCGATCCTTGTGCTGGGTCCCTTCCAGGGTATGTCACAAACAACTATCTTCACTTCCTACCTCGCGTGTGCGTGTGGTGGAATGTGTTGTGTTGTGTTGTGCTCAATGTGTTTTATGGACTGTACACACCAGGCAAGATTGCATGCTTGCGGATCCCCAAAGGGAGGGGCGTGTGTGGTGGTGCCTGGGAAAAGCGGGAGACTCTACTAGTCAAGGTATGACCTCCTCATCCTCTGGTTTGGTGTGGGCATAACAATTCACTTCTCTATCTGTTGTGTCTGCAGGATGTGCATGCATTCCCTGGACACATTGCATGTGACTCTGCCTCCAATTCTGAGATTGTGGTGCCAATCATTTCACCCATCACCAATGTACAATGCAACCCAGCAAGCTCTTGCTATTTCCACTTGCTGACCCTCTCCCCTTTCTTTCCATTGCTAGGAGGTAGTTGGTGTATTTGACATTGACAGCCCAACTGTGAATGGGCTGAATGAAGAGGATGCAGCTGGCCTTGAGGCTATTGCCAATGTCCTGGCAAAGGAAGGCAAGTGGGTGCAGCTCAACTACTGATGCCTTTGCTTTGAGCTTTGCAATACAGCCCAATTACCACCATGCATCACCATGCAGTGGGCCTTGAAGAATGGAGGTAGGAAAGAGAAAGGAAAAAGATGAGGCAGGGTGGTTAAAAAGATGTGCATCCGCCGGGAATTGAACCCGGGTCTCCCGCGTGGCAGGCGGAAATCTTGCCACTGGACCACGGATGCTTGTCATGTGTATCTTTTCGCTTTACGCAGGCCTACGTCCAAGCTGTTGTAATGGCTGGACCAACACTTGGTGGTTTGGTAAATGGGATTTTTAGGCCATGGTATGTGAGTGGATGGTTATGTTGGTCTTGATCCCACAGTGCAATATGACCCTTTGCATTGATTGCCATGGTGGAAGAGTCCCAAACTGCAAAAGGTACCTGCTACTTCCACCACTTCATAAGGCATGTGGCAAACAAATTAAACAAGCCAGTAGTAACCATCTGACACAGAGATGGTTGTCTCTGCCAGCATGCAAACTATGTGCCATTTGTTCCAACCAATCATTTTCATGGGTGCTTTGCCAACAGCTAAAATGAAAGGTCGACGACGGCAGGATTTGAACCTGCGCGGGGAGACCCCAGTAGATTTCTAGTCTACCGCCTTAACCACTCGGCCACGTCGTCTTCGCTGTGCTAATTCGGCTCACAGGACCGCTGACGCGACGCGAGGCCTGCGAGAAAAGGTATGCCCAGTAAGAAGATAATGATTGATTTCTTGAGTGCTTGCCCTCTGCCGGGTTTGAACCAGCGACCTCACGATCTTCAGTCGTGCGCTCTACCAGCTGAGCTAAGAGGGCAGTTGATAAAAAAAGAGAGCAATTTTTATGATACAAATTTCACACTTGCCTCCCCGAAGTGCCCGCCTTTCTTGCGCCTCGCTTTCCCTCTTCACTCGCTTCAGACCACTAGCCTGAGTCTCCCCCGGACAGAAATGACCTTCTTCTCCAAGGAATGATTAACCAAAGAGGTTGTGGTGCTGGGCGTCCATGCGGAAGCCTGGTGCGGTGTGCTGGCGTCCCGTTATCTTGCGCTCCCAGAAGTTGCCGATAAGTGCCGTGGCGTTCTCCTGCAAAGCGTACAAAGCCGGGCACCACAAGCGGAACTCGTCAGGCAGGTAGTTGCACCTGGAAGAGAGAGGCCTAAGTTCTACCTGTGACGCGGTGAGGTCGGCTTCTTCAGCATCGCCCAGGAGGTTGATGCCGCTGGCGTCGATGGCGTAGGGATAGGAGCGCACGGGAGCCAGCGGAGACTTGGCGACCGTAAGGCAACGCTTTTCCAGGCCTTCGGCTTGGACCACGCCGCCTTCGTCCAAAAGCAGGCCCATATCCTTGAACTCGAGTACGATGCGAGTGTTGACGGCGTGCGCCCACACGTAACCCAGCGCAGCCGTCACGTAGAGCGACTTATCTGCTACAGTGATTGGTACGTTCATCATGAGTCACGCAAAGAGAAAGGGGGGTCAACGTAGGAGGTACCGGCGCCAAAATGAGGCCTGTCGAACTCGTAGTAGGGGCGCTGTGAAGTAGTCGTCACTTGGTTGGAGACCAGGACAGGGATATTGAAGTTCTCGGCCAGGCGCTTGAGCGTGGAGGCCTGGGCGGCGAGCTGGGCCTGCCGCCGCATCACGCCTCCGTCGTCGAAGTCCTGCGTGTGATTTGACAAAAAAGCTGAGCGGCTGAGGCTGTGGTACGAAAGCGTAAGCCGCTGCGTGTTGGGGCACACACCTTTCGGGCCACCGAGGCGATGGAATCGACGACGATCAGCTTGACGTTGTTCTCGATGATCGTTTCCTCGAGGCTGTCCAACCTGAGCAGCAAGAAACAACAGTTCAGCAAAGTTATGGAGGAAAGAAGCGGGCATGCTACCTGCTCATGAGGTCGGTTGTGCTATCGACTCTGTACACGGTGACCCTTTGCGTGAATGGCTGTAGAAGACTGTGCACGTTGCCAGCTTCGGCGTAGCGTGGGTATCGCTTGGTGAGGATCTCCACGAGCCTACAGGTGAGCGAAAAGATCAGTCCACCATGTGGGTGAGGTCGAAGTAATGAGAGCTAAGAAAGTGAGGCGACCGTGAGTGTACCGTTTGGGGCTGAATGCGGCTTCAGTATCTATGTAGACCACGCACCCGCCGAGGCCGCCCTCCTCCACGGGCAGGCAGGCCTGGACCGCCATCTGGTGGCAGAACTGCGTCTTCCCAACTCCTGCCGGTCCGACCACCTGCAGCGCATGTCGCGCGGGTCAGCCGAAAAGCGTGTGGGGTGCGGCTGGGGTTGTGGACATGGGAGGAGGGGTACCTCGGTGATGGAAGAGGGTGGGAGGCCACCATGCAGCGCAGAGTCAAGGGCGGGAAGCGTGGTGTGTAGAGCTCCTGACTTTCGATCCACTAAATCAAGAGCCTGCCCAAGTAGGCCACGCACGAGTTGGGCGACTTACACGTGCGGGGTGAATGGGACAGGGCCAGTGGGAGGGCATACCGAAGCACACGAAGGGGAGACGGCGCGACAGACGTTGCTGATTAAATCTCTGACGACGAATTGCGGCAAATCGAGGGCTTGGATCAAGTCAAGCTCATTTCGCATGAGGAGGTCCTGATACACCCGCCAGATTGTCATTCAGAATCCAAAATGAAAACGGCCGCAGCAAACAAACCTGCGGTGTGAAGATGTTGTGCTTTTCTAATCGATTCACAAGGTCATCGTTGTCTCTTACGATCCTTCGAAGCCGTCGTGTTGCCATCTCGCTTTAATTTTAACAATAACTCAAAAAAACTGAATTCTTGTAAAAGAAAACGACTGAAAGGTGAAAATTTGAAAAATGTGACAACGTGCTTTTGGTGGAGAATGGACAACGAAGAAAAAGAAGAAATTGATAGTGACAACGACAGCACAAGACCAGGCTGTGCAACATGGCTCATGTGGGTGCAGTGCTCTGGGGGACAGCAAATGTGATCCAGGGTGCTGGCAGAGGAATGCCAGAGATGTTCGTTCCACCCTTTAACCCTTTTTCAATACCCCCCCTGTGTCAGTCCTCTCTTTCTTATGACCAGTTTTCACCAGGCTCGACCTCTCACTCGCTCGGCAGCTTGATGGCTTGTGGTACAACGCCGGCGGCCGAGACAACATCAGGCTCCACTCCCTCCCGCCCAATCGTCTCTGTTTTGAGGGACACGATGGGTGGCTTGACATACGCCAGCGCGGTGCTCTGGCGCCCCTGCTCGATTCTTCTGGAGGCTCGCGGATAGACCTGGCTGTGCTCGACCTGCGACAGTCCGCCCATCGCACACCGAACGTACCCGGTCAGCTCTCGATCGTTGTATCCGGCAATGACGCACCAGGTACGGGTGGATGATGGCCATCAGATAATGCTAGCATGTGTGAAACTTGTCCACGATGGCGCAGAGGTATCGCTCGCTGTGAACGGCCAAGTCTATCGGAAGCATGACGAGTTCTCACTGAGCACCCGGCCCGACCCGCCGCAGCCCGCTCTGCAGCGGCTGCTGGGTACCCCTACCTTGCGCGATGAATAGGTTGCAAGCGCCGTTGATCCTTCTCTGGTGCGCTGTTGTTGGCAGGTCATTATGGCGACGAATCGAGTCCGTTGGTCGTGTTCGAGAGACATGGACAGCTGCACGCGCTCCTCGAATGGGCGTACTACTACCCGCTGCTCGACCTTGACGCTGGTCAACTACCGCACTCCTCGCGACCGGAGCATTCCTTTGCATTCCCAAGCTCGCCCACGTGCCGCTATGCAGGACAACAGTGTTGAGGAGCGCACGTGACGAAAGCACGTGTTCCTCAAGTGATCGAACGCCGAGGAAGTCGCGACGAAAACCACCATCTACATCACAATGTGTGTCCGTTGAGAAATGTAACTCCGGACACACCTCACCAATAAATGGGCCACGGAGACAACAACTCAGTTGTCTCTCGTCTCTCTCTCACCACACAAGCACGCTCTGCTCAACAGGTTATGGGCCTTCGCTCATAGAATGGCGCACGAAGGAGGACACCAATACATGCTGAAGACAGCAGCCGATTATGCTGTCTGGAGGGATGAGCTGTCTGCTGTCCTGCAAGCGAAGGGGCTATGGGACTTAGCCTTTGGACAACCTACCACTCCAGTCCAGCTACAAGGAGAGACCGCCGTGCAGTTCACACTCCATACGAATGAGTATGCCCAGTGGACGATGCAGACTGCTGGCCTGATTCAACTCAGCCTCAGAAGGCACTTCCACTTGACAGTCAAGCAGCACAAGAACGACCTGAAGAGGATGATGGAGGTCCTTGATGAGCAGTTCAAGCCCAAGGCCAACACCAGCAAGCTAGACATGCTGATGCAACTGACGAACATCAAGTGCAATTGTGATGAAGACCTGGACTCCTACTTTGGCCACATTGACTCACTGGCTGGGGAGCTGGAAGCCAACAGCCTGAAGCTCCCCAAGATCTTCATCCTCATGGTCACACTCAACAGCTTGCCTTCCAACTACAACCCAGTCCAAACAGTCATCAATAGCAACAACGACATCACCATCGTCAAGGCCCAGAAGATGCTGCACAATCAAGAGGCACTGCTGCACACACGGGGAGACCACATAGAATCAGCCAACTACATGGCGAAGCAGCGCAGGCGTGGAAAGGGGCAGCCTCATGGATACAACCATTCCAGCCACAAGGAGAAGAAGAGGAAGCCAATCCAGAACAAGGAGCTCAAGTGCTACCAGTGTGGTGAGATTGGGCACATCTGTCCCAACTGCCCAAACTGTAATCACCACAGCAAGAACAATTGTGCCAACATTGCCATGTCCAACACCAACAATGACAAAACTGTCCTGGCCACTGTGGAGCAGCGCAAGGCGACAACCAGCAAGGAGCACACCTGGTACCTTGACTCAGGTGCCACATGTCATGTCACCTGCAATCAGGACTGGCTCCACAACTACGTTGACCTCACCAGCAAATCCCACAACCTGATCCTCAGCAACAACTTCAAGTGCCATATTCATGGCTATGGCACACTTCACACCACCACTCATGTGGATGGGGGCAAGCGCAAGGTCACATTCCAGAAAGTCCTCTACACGCTGGAGCTAGCCAAGAATCTACTCTCAACAGCACACATCACCAGCAAGGGCTGCCAACTCACCATCAACACACAGGGCTGCCAAGTCAACAACCACCAAGGCTGAACGATCCTATGCGCCAAGGCCTGAGGCAACATGCTGATCATACCCATCAAGCCCTACTTGCCCTCGCACCAGGTCAACACCATCCATCAGCTCCTGACCCTCAATGAGCTTCACCACCATTTCAGCCACACCAGGGAGAAGCAACTTCATGCCACCCTCAAGGCCCTCAACATCAAAGCTGCAGACTCCCCACTCCATGCCTGCCTCATCTGCAAGAAGGGCAAGCAGACCCACAAGCCAATCCAGTCAGGGCCTGCACCTCAAGCCACCGCACCACTCAAGCACGTGCATTCCAACGTCTGTGGCCCCTTCCCCATTCCCACACATGAAGGCAAGCGCTTCTTTGTCAGCTTCATCGATGACTACAGCAGGTATGCTGTGATCTACCTGCTGCCCAATAAAAGCAAGGTGCTCACCTCGTTTAAGCATTATCTCACCACCACGCCTGACAGGAAGAGGTGCTGGAAGCTGTGATTGGACCAAGGTGGTGAGTACACTGGATTGGAGTTCCAGAGGTTCCTGCACAAGCAAGGCATCATCCACAAGAAGGTAGCCCTGCACACGCCAGAACACAATGGAGTAGCCAAGCAATTCAACCGCACCATCATCAACATGGTGCAGTGCATGCTCTTCAACAGTGGCCTGCCCAAGAGCTTCTGGGGCGAAGCACTCACAACAGTGGTCATGATCAACAATCAGCTCTCCACCATCACCAACCAAGGCCACCTGCTGATGTTGACCTGGAATGACAACCAACGCCTTATGCTATGTGAGATACACTGGTTTGGATGCCCAGTCTTGATGCTGACACCCTCTGGCAACTGAGACAAGCTTGAGTTGTGTGTGTGCAAGGGAATCTACCTTGGACCTGCATGGAATGACTCAACTCATCATTGTGTCCTTGTCAATGGCTGAGTACTGGAGTCCAGAGAGGTCACCTTTGATGATGACCTCCCTGCTGCGTCACCTGAAGAGCCAAGTGTTGATGATCTACTTGAGATCCCAGGGCTGCATGTGGAGAACAGGGCACCCCATGAGGAGATGAGCCAGTGTGAAGACCAGGAGTTGGATGACGACCTTGATGCAGGTGACATGGATGACATGCCCACGCAAGGACGCTCCCTTTCCCAACTCCACACACAGCTAGCACAAGACAACACTCCTACCCCACCTGCAGACAAGGAAGAAGAAACAATCCACATGACTGACATGGCCAATGAGGTGGAGCTGATGAACGATGACACAGAATGTGAGAAGAGCAATGACATGACAACCTGTCAGCCTCCTGTCTGGCGACTTGCAAAATGACATGGCACAACCAGAACCCAAGTGATGACCATCTTGGCCAGCACCCTGTTGACCAGTGACACAACAACCCACGAACTTGGCTTTAAGTGACTGTGAGGCTGGCCTACGCTGAAGAAACTGCCGCCATGCAAGAGATGGCTGAGCCAACTGCTGACTGATGGCATGTACCTTGTGCTAGTAGTCATTGAAGATGAGCTAGTGCATGTGCAGATCCCCAACAGCTACTGAGAAGCTATCCAGTCACCTGAAGCTGACCAGTGGCTCAAGGCCATGATGGAGGAGATAGAAGTGCTCACCCACAACTGTGTCTTCAAGCTGGAGCCACTGCCTGTGGGAAGAAAGGCCATTGGGGCATGTTGGCTATTCAAGATCAAGCGCCTCGCCAATGGCATGATTGACCGCTTCAAGGCCCAATGGGTGGGCAAGGGGTACTTGCAACAACCTGGAATTGATTTTGATGAAACCTTCTCCCCTGTCATGTGCATTGAGAATCTACAACTTCTGCTGGCCATTGCAACTGCGCTTGACCTTGAGATCCATCAGATGGATGTGGACACCACATTTCTCAATGCTGAGCTAACTGAGGAGGTGTACATTGAACAACCAGAAGGCTTTGTCAACCCCAACAAGCTGCACCATGTGTGCAGACTGCTAAAGAGCCTTTATGGCTTAAAGCAGGCTCTGCATGAGTGGAACTGCACCCTTGACGCTCACCTTTGTGACAATGACTTCAAGCCAACAGTTGCTGACCTGTGCATCTATGTCTGTCAATGGGAAGACCATCAACTAGTTGTGATTGCCGTCTACGTTGACGATTGTATGATCATTGCTCCCAAGCACCTCCTTGATGAGACCAAGAATGTGCTATGAGGATGCTTCAAGATGAAGGACCTGGGCGAAGCTGAATCTGTCCTTGGCATCAAGATTCACTGAGACCAAAAGCAAGGGACACTCTACATCTGCCAACCGGCCAAGATCCTTGAGCTCCTCCATGACTACCACCTGCACGACTTGAATCCCATCACAACACCAATGGAGCCCAGACTCAACCTGCTGAAGCTAGATTGCATGGCCAATGAAGACAGGAGCCTGCCTTACCACTCGGTGGTAGGCAGACTATGCTACCTGGCCCATTCGACTTGGCCCAACATCGCCTTCACCGTCAACATACTGAGTCAACACCTCACGGCCTACTCCAAGGCACACTGGAGTGCGGCCAAACACCTGCTACGGTACCTACGAGGTACAATCCACTACGCAATCAAGTTCAACCGCTCAATTCTTGAAGACAGCGTGGACAGATCTGACTACAGCGCCAGCAGACTCATTCCCCAAGTCTACTGCGACACTGACTGGGGGGGAGATGTCAACACTCAGCGTTTGATGACTGGAATCGTCTGCACCCTACTCGGTGCACTGATCCACTGGTCTTTGAAATCGCAACGCTGCATTGCGCTGTCCACCTGTGAAGCGGAGTACAACGCACTGACGGAGGCAGCCAAGCAGTCAGTCTATCTTCATGACATCTGCGACGACCTCGGCCTCACATCAAGCAGACCAACGATCATCTACAACAACAACCAGGCGGCGCTCAAGATCGCCAACTCCAACCCCAGCAAGCACCACCCACGATCAAAGCACTACGCAGTCAAGCTCATGTATCTTCAAGAGTTGATCGCCAACGGACATGTCGAGCTACACCACCACCCCTCTCAAGACATGCCCGCCAACGCGCTCACCAAAGCCTCCAGACGAACACGCATCATCAAGCAGCTGAAGCTACTTGGCATGTTCAATTCCCTGGTTTCGATCAAGGGGCGTGTTGAGGAGCGCACATGACGAAAGCACGTGTTCCTCAAGTGATCGAACGCCGAGGAAGTCGTGACGAAAACCACCATCTACATCACAATGTGTGTCCGTTGAGAAATGTAACTCCAGACACACCTCACCAATAAATGGGCCACGGAGACAACAACTCAGTTGTCTCTCATCTCTCTCTCACCACACAAGCACGCTCTGCTCAACAAACAGCTTACGTTCAAGTGGAGCCACGGAGAGTGCAGATCTGTGTCGGTCACCCTCAACAACGATCGCACCCTGCCGCGCATCAAGGTCTCCGTGGAAGAGGGCGGCAGCCTCCCGCTCCTGTCAGCCGATACGCTCAAGTATCCCTCGACGAGCTACGCCAACGAGCGATGGACTCGCAGCCGCCGTCAGCCTGCGTCACGGACACCGGAGACCAGACACGTGTGGAACTCGTCGACCTGCGCACGCTGAGCCCCTCCCTGCGCTTCGACATACGCTATGCCACGACCAACAACTTCATGGGCGCCGCCTTCTATACCACGCCCGGCGCGTTCCTGCAGAGGCCTGCGGCCGAGGTGCGCGCCTACCCACCCTACCCCTGCCCTCAGCCCGCTAGCCCGGCGCCAGTCTCATCGGTATGTAGGCGCTGGTGCGAGTGCACGACAAGCTGCAGGAGCTGGGCTATGGGCTGTTGGTCCACGATGCCTACAGGCCCTGGCATGTGACCAAGATGTTCTGGGACGCCACACCGCCAGAGAAAAGAATCTACGTTGCCGATCCCGACAAAGGCTCTGAGCACAACCGGTACACAACACGACACGCGCACACGCACCACCGCGTGGCTTTCTCTCAACGCATCTCACCGTACGGGCGCGAGAACAGTGGGTGCGCTGTGGACTTGACGCTGTACTCGCGGGCCACGGGCGACGTGGCCGAGATGATCGGCGGCTACGACGAGTTCTCCCAACGGTCGCACGTCAACTACCCCGGAGGCACCTCCCTGCAAAGGTACTCACCGACAGCATTCTACTGTTGGTGCCCGTTACGCTCATTTTTGTCGGTCTGTGCGTGGAGCGCAGATGGCTTCGCAAGCTGTTGCGGGATGCCATGGAGAGCGAGGGCTTCGCGGTCTACGAGTACGAGTGGTGGCACTTCGACTACCGCGACGTCCTGCGCTATCCCGTCCTCAACTTTTCCTTGGAGGACTTGTGTCGCAGTCGGCCAGACCGCCAGCCAATGGGTGTTTTTGGGTAATCTCATTTTTAGTTTGTACCAAACGCACAAAGCCCAAAAACAGCTTCCGGCTGAGTTTCTTCTTCGTTGCGCATCTGCGTGCAGAACTTAGATGAAAAAGTCAGGCCCTGGGGAAGCTCCACCATCATCCATAGCACCGACAATGGCGCAAGGCCCATCAAAATCAACCTTCCTCCTCCTGTTTCTGTTCGTCTTCATCGAAATCTTGGGATTTTCGATCATTTTGCCACTGTTCCCGTACCTGGTCCACGAGTACGAGGCCTCGCCCGTCCTCATCGGCTGCGTCATGGCTGCCAACGCCCTCGCCCAGTTCGTGGGCGCCCCTTTTCTAGGCCGCCTCTCCGATCTTTACGGTACGCATCCAAATACATATTAATATTAATAATATTAATACGTGATTAGCCAGTACTGTTAACAGCAAGAAATGTTTATGTTAACATAAGAATTATTAATTATTTCATTTAAATACATTGATTTTGACGCTTGCATTTGTAGGGCGGAGGCCCGTGCTGCTGGTGTGCATCGCATCGACGCTGGGCTCCTTCCTGCTGCTGGCCTTCGCGCAGAGCATGACGGCTGTCTTCCTGTCGCGCGTGCTCGACGGAATTCTCGGCGGCAACATTGCGCTGGCGCAGGCCTACATCACTGGTAAGTGGAGTCTGCCTCCTCGTTTCCGTTGTGCGTGACCGGTCGCTCATGTGTGCGGTTACTTCTTCTTCTCGAAGATGTGACGGGCGAGGGCGAGCGCACTCGAAGTCTCGGGCTTGTGGGCGCGGCGTTCGGGCTGGGCTTCATAGTCGGGCCTGCTCTCGGTGGCACCCTCGTCGGGTGGCATCCGCGCTACCCGGCCCTTGCCGCTGCACTCCTCTCCTTCATCAACCTCATCGGTGCCTCTAATGCCCCTCGTGCACGTCACCAGTCGCACTCTCTCACTTCAGTCATTGCTCACCACGCACAATGCACGCATCGCAGGCGCATACTTCCTGCTCACAGAGTCACTCACGGCTGAAAAGATGAAGGCCGCCCAGGACACACGCAAGCAGAGCCCCTCCGTACTCTCTCATTCCCCTTTTCTGCTCTCACCGTTTCTTCTCTTGACGTTTCTCATCTTTCTGTGCTTGTTAATGTTGGAATGCTCGCCAGACTTCTCTCCTTCTTTCATTCTCGGCGGAGCTGGGTACCCTTTGGAAGTGCTTCCGAAGGCCGCAGCTCGGCCTCCTCCTGGGCTTCAAGTTCGCCTACAACCTCGTCTTCACCATGTTCGAAAGCACCTTCTCCCTCTACAACAAGAATCGATTCGGTCTCAGTACGCGGCCGCTCCATCCTCGCTTCGCGTGAGTTCGTCTCAGGTTTCTGAGCTCTGAATGCTTCTTCGTTCTTTTTGGCAGCTGCGCGACAGTCGAGCTACGTTCTGTGCTTCGTGGCGCTCTTGTTCGCGATGCTGCAGGGCGGCGGCATCACACGACTGACGCGACGGATATCGGAAGCCCGCTTGATCGTGGCCTCCTTCTTCGTGCTCTCGTTCTCGCTCTTCTTCTGGGCGCTCGCCTCCTCAATCCCGCTCCTTCTCCTGGCTCTCGTTCCCTTCTCCCTCTCCTCGGGTGCCCTCAACACCCTCATCAACTCTCTCATCACCAAACACGTCAAGAGCCACGAAATCGGAGGTACGTACCACTGTCCGACACGCACACACGCACCACCGCACACGCACTAACTCGTTCTGTTCCAGGAGCGCTTGGAATCACGTCTTCCGTGGGCAGCCTCACTCGGGTAGGTCTTGCCGTTAGCTCGTGCGTGTGCGTGCATGACTAACTTCTTCTTCTTTGTTCTTTGTTCATCATGAAGGTGATCGCTCCCGTGGTGGGCAGTCAGCTCCTGCAGACGTGGGCGGAGGCGGCGCCCGGGCTGGTGGCCGCTGCGTTCCTGCTGGTCGTGGCCCTCTACGCGCGGGCGCGCCTCCCCGCCATCGCCACCGTACCCTCACCACCACCAACAAATCACGCTGACACGACGGCCAAAGCGAAGAAGGCCACGTAGAGACGACACCATGATGTTCACAAAAAATGGATTCACTTGCATATCCTGACCGCGCTCTTACTTCTTCTTGGCATCCTCCTCATCTTCGTTGTCCTCCTCGTCGTCCTCGTCCTCATCCTCATCCTCGTCGTCGGTGTCGTCGTCGTCGTCCTCTTCGTCGTCCTCCTCGTCGCCATCGTCCGCAAGAGCCGAGCCGTCGCTCTTGCCAACGTAGACCTCATCGGGAAGCGAAACAATGATCACGTCGCCTGCCTCCAGGTAGGGCGGAACTCTAACGGTCCGGCCATTGTCCAGCACCGCCTTCTTGTACCTTCGGACCACACAGAGTGAGACACAGTGCGCTTCTAGAAGTTGGCGAGTGGCCGCAACTTACCCGGCAGTGGCCGATTGGGTTGAATCCGCCTCCTTCACCGTCACCACGGCCTTGCCCGGCAGCTTGACGGTGACCGCCTCGCCATTGTGGACAGAAAGCCTGGCCACTGACGTACCGGCTGTTGTGGTGCGTACGCCGAAGGAACAAGATCGGATCAGGTGAAAAAGAAAGTAAATAGGATACGCCGAGGTGGACTGCGTACGCTTCAGATAGGCCTCGGCGGGTCCCACCATCTCCTTCTTCACAGAGACCTCTTCGCCGGTCTCCGCGTTGGTGAAGAGAAGCTTCTTGCCCTCGCTGCGTGAGAAGATACACTTGTGCACGTCGAGGATGATGGCTAGCGTTGCGCAAGAACGGAGAGTGAGCGAATGATAGGCTGGAGGTAGAAGCAAGCGACTGTACTTTCGACTCGGTCTTCAACACGGAAGCGTTCGCTCTTCTTCGTGCCTGCAGCCAGGTCTCGCAGCTCCATCTAATAAAAGAAAGGTAAAATCATGCTACACTCAATGTTACGAAAAGCACGTACGTTGATGTGCGCTCTCCTTTGGGCAGTCTTGCGTGATTGCGAGGTTTCCGTCACTTCCCACAGCTTGCCTGAACGCACAGCAATCAATCGCCATAATCTGCAATGGTTAACTGGCCCAGGTCAGGCGTACCCAAGTGCTCAATCACCCAACCCTTTTTGATGTCGGAAATCGGAGCCTTGTAGTTGCGCCGATGCTGGACGGAAGATGGCAGCTGCACACTAGATTGCAGCGACACCACGTGGCGTGGATGGGAAAACAGAGAGGAAGATGCGGCGGATGCCCGCAGGCCTCCTGCATGAAGGAATCGGACACTTCCTGCCGTGCTTTGCTGAAGATGCCGCCTCATCTTTGCGTTCGAAGGCCGAACTGACAATCTACGCTCCGGAAGGAAGGAAACAAGCGGAGAAAGTCGTTTCTCGTCAGCAAGGGCGGGAAAGGAATCGACAGGAGACACATCTATTTATTCTCGAGCGGAGGAGGCCAGGGCTGCATCCATCACCAATTCACCACTGGCACTCGAGTGCTCTTCACTACACACATAGAATTGGACAAAATGAGCATCCACAACATCGTTTCGATCTCTTTCTGCATTTGCGCCCTGGTCCTCCTGCTGAATGGTGCCCGAGCCCAGAACGGCGTTGTGACGGATGTGGTGGATGCCAACCGCGGGCGAACGGCGATTTTCGCCCTCTACGCCGGCGACACGGTGGTAAAGAATGATGGACAGTACGCCCTCTGCTCTGCCAACGGAGTCGTGTGGCACGATTTGGAAGGCGACGGCATGATCAACGAGGACCTCAACTCCCATGGTCTGGGCGGCATCAACGTGCAGCTCTACTGGGTGAACGGCACCGTTGCCGACGTCACCACCACGAAGAAGGACGGCAGCTACACCTTCAAGGTTGAGCCAGGTACGACAGATTGCTTCAATCTACATTGAATTTGGCAAGAAAGTGACCCCTGACGTTTACTCTTTCAAGGCTCGTACTACGTCAAGGCGGCCTGCCCTAAGGACTACAGACACAGCAAGCTCTACGCCACGTCGGCCACGAAGGTCCACCCTGTCACGCAAGTCTCTGAGTCCTTCGACGTGTCCATCGACCGTGCTACCACCGGCATCAACGCTGGCTGCTACAAGCCAGCTCTCGTCGAGGGAGTCGTCTTCAGCGACAAGAACACCAACTCGGTTCAAGACACCAGTACGTTGCTCGAGCGATGCATACCCCATACTCTCTCACTGCCGTCATCTTGACCTGCGCCATCTAACTGTCACCTTCTGCACACAACAGGCGAGGGTGGTGTGGCGGATGTAGCGGTGGAACTGACCAAGAGCACGGACACCACGTTCCGCCTCAAGATCAGGACCGATGCCGATGGCAAGTTCCGATTCCCCGATCTCGAGCCGTCTGACTACGCGCTCTACATCATCTACGACGCCAAGTACTACAACAGCCCCATCTCTGCCATGAAGGAGTCCACCTCCGAGGAGGGAGGCAAGATCAAGCACCGCTCGGTGACCTTGCGCGTCGCGGACCAGCCCTCGACCAAGGATGGCAGGAAACAGCTGGTCGTCTCACCTCTGCAGCTCTCGTCGGGCGATCGCGCGACGATCAAGCAGGGCCTCTACACGCTGGCCAAGGTCGAGGGCGTCGTCTTCCGGGACGAGAACGCCAACGGCATCTGGGACGGACGCGAAAAGACGCTGGCCTCCGTCAAGGTGACTCTGTACCGAGTCGGCGAGTCAGGTGATGTTGCCGTCAGCCAGATGAAGTCGGATGAGGTACTGTACTCTAACACTCTTCCTCCTTATACCTGTACCATCATGTTGGTTAATCGCTCAATCATGCTTTCGTCCATCAGGTCGGTCGTTACAGCTTCACCGAGTTGCAGCCGGGCCAGTACTACGTCGTGTTCGACACGTCGTCGCCCGAGTACAAGCACAGCTCGAAGAAGTAAGAGGGTATTTATGGTTTGCAAGAAGAGAAAAGAACGGTGAAAATGGCTTCATTCTTTGCGCGAAGATTCTTGTGCGAGATGGACAGATTTGAGGGAAGCTTTGCACAAGTGACGACGAGCGATTGACGCGATCTTACCGTTAGAGAAACGCACCATACACGGAGGCTCTCCTTCACAGCTGCTCAGGGAGCACGAAAACGATCGAGTTGAGCGATTAACATTTGGCGCCAACTGGAACGCAGGCAAACGAAACGCAGGCAACCTCGTTTTTACGGGGCTTGCTCTGCTCTCCTTCTTCTGCCGCGAGACGTGGAACAGGACGCAGAAGATGGGCAAGGAATTCGAGGGTCTCGTCCAGCACATCTCAGTATTGGAAGCCGCGCAGCGGGAGCAAGAGGCGAAGCTTGCTGCCGAGATCGTGAATCACAACAACACCAAGGCCGAGCTGCAAAAAGGTATGCCCCTACCCGCTGCTTCACTCAGCTAGGGTCACAAACTCATCCAGACGCGCTAGTCACCAGGCAAGAAGACCGATGGAAGCAAAAGGTCACGGAGCTTCAGATCACCTTCGCCTCAGTCAAGGCGGGGCTGAGTGGAGAGGAACGGTGCAACCAGCAGGTGAAAGACGAGGTGCGGCGCCTTAAGCAAGAGAACAACAAGATCCGCGAGGCCATCAAGAAGGACATCGACTGCATGAGGCATGAGAGGTACGCCTTGATGCATTTACCACACACCCCTGCATGAGGTAAGTAACCTTCTTTCGTGTAGAGGCACATTTCTCAAGATGATTGAGGCGGCCAACGATGAACTGCGCACTCTCCACGCTACAAACAAAGGCGCTCCTAGGCCAGTCTCTATCCCGAGCATGGCTGCTCCTGGTTCTGCGTTCCGGCCTTCCGGTACGTTGCCTTCTACCCTCGCGATGCCAAACGCCCTCATGAGCAAGCACATAACTCTTCGTGTAGCTGCTAATCTCACGGGTGGGTTTCACAGCTTTGAGGGAGCGAGTAGAGCAGCTCGAAAAAGCTGTTGCCCAAGCCGCCGACGAGAAGGCGGAGCTTACTCTCTCGCTCGAAGCGGCAGTCGCCGAGCTTCAGCCAACCCCAGAGGACAATCCACTCCCGGTACAAACGCCACTTGCTCTATCGGAATTCGTGGTCGGCTAACGACGCTTCTGCACTGCCCTGTAGGGTTTAGTGGTCGACGTACGTGGTCCCATTACTGGTCTGACGATGGACGCTATGGACGAAGAAGTGAAGCTGCTGAAGGCCAAATCAGACGGGTGCGTACGGCTCATCGAAAAGCACAAAGCGCTTCACAACACGACTCTCGGCGAGTATCAAGAGCTCGACAAGTACGTACGCTGTTCGTGTGAGTGGTATGAGCTCTTTCAATAATCACTTCTGACCGGTACATCTTGAGCCTAGGTACATCTCGAGCCTTACGACTTCGCTCGAAGAGCTTCAGAGCTATTGCGCCAACCTTGAGAGCTCTCGTCAGACCTGTAACCACTGCAACTCTTCCTTCACTGGTGAAAAGGAGCCCCATGAAGAAAACCTGCACGCCAACGGTGCGGATGCGATGGACACAGAGAATCCCGTGGTGCCCCGGATCTGAGCATAGAGAGGTACTATTCCGTAACCACAAACGGCTGTGGTGGTGTTCGTGCGAGCCAGACAAGTCGCATCGTGTAGAATGCTTGCTCAATGCTTGAAGCTATTCGTCGCGCGTCCCACAGCCTGCTCGTCACTGACCTCTTACTCTCCGCCAGCCTCCTTCGCAGATCGTCCATCCGGAGCACGGTTCTGTTGTTGGCCACCCACTGTAACGTGATTCAAGCATTAGCCCCAATACAACTCCGAGCTTAGATCAGCAGTCACTTACCGTGGAGGCAAGGTCTTCGCTTGCAGGCCATGCGGTGAGATCCTCTCTGGTCGACCGTACGAGCCGCGCAGCAGTGGCCACGTACTTCGTCTTGCTCTGCGCTATCAGCTCCGGCAGGCCCAAGGTCTTGAGAAAGCTGGTACCCACCATTTCTGAGAACGACCTGCCTTGCAGTGCCAGCACAGGTACTTCGTGGTAGAGCGTCTCGACCAGGCTGAGCACATCAGTGCCGAAGGGGAAGGTATCGAGGTAGAGGTCGACGAAGCTAAGGATGTGGCGCGTATCCGTCATTGACGTCAGCTGCCAAGGTACGCCGTTGATCGTCGTGAAGATGAGTCGCTTCGGATCTATTCCTCGTGCTGACATGTACTTCTTCATGTTCTGGTTTCTCTCGTTGGTCGCGCCGCTCGGCAGTAGGAGGACCGTGTTCTGCGTGACGTTGAGTATCTGCATCCAGGTCGCGAAGACCTGCCGATCGACCTTGTACGGTTCGGCAAAGTTGAAGAAGATGAAGGTACCATCCTCCTTGGGAGGAAGGCCGAGGGCCTTGCGGTCGGGCAGTTGGAGCTCGAATGGGATGCTGATAGGGACGGCGGGCAGTGACGGGAACGCATGCGCAGGAGATCTTTCGGCCGATGCGAGCGATGGAAAGGGCGTGGCCGCGTCAAGAGCCTTCTCGACCATTGCCCGTATCGTTCTGGCCTCGGCGGCCGATGAAGGAGGCGGATAGTACCCGTAGAAGGAAGGTAGCAGGTACACCGGCTGCTCGGTGAAGTACTGAGTCTCGTTCTCGTGAAGCATGCTGTTCTCACAGAGCAGGTATTGGACGCTCTCCTTGTCACCGAAGGTGGCGAGGTATCCACCCAGAGGCCAGTGCACCTGAAGACAAGGTGAGCTCTTGTCCAAAAATTGTACCGCTGAAGCATGACGACGCTAACCTACCTGGATTGGAGCTGGCTTCAAGACGAGCACTTCGGCGCGATACGACAGGTGGCCGCCGATATCGACGAGAACCGACACCTCATCGTCGTGGATCTTCTTCGCCACTACCAGAGGCGATACTTGTCGGAAGACGATGAATTGATGGCACGTCTCGTTCATCATCTCCTCCCAGTCCAGTTCCTCCGCCGTCAAGTCCTCCCGAGCTCGCGGCACCACCTCTCCATTCACCAATTTTCCCGTCATCTTCGGCAGGAGGCAGTAACAATTAACCTCGATCTTCCTCCTTCCGGCCAGCTCTCCCCCAGTTAAATGGAGCGCTACAAGTTGGGCTTAATCAGAGGAAGCAAGGTACCGGTCGTGATGTAGCAGAATGCCCAGCAGCAGATGCACCGTCTTCTCATCAGAAAAGTCAGCGAGGTACCCCACCCTGATTGGTTCGTCGCCTTTGGCCTCCGTCACGTTACCTGTGTGGGAGTGGGCACGTTCAGGATTGCTTGGCAGCAGGCGACACCCTCGCCGCATCGACTATCGGTGCGCACCAATCTCATGAGCAAAGTTCCAGTCTCCTCCTCGCGTGTTACGCTGGATTCCAGCATAGCGCTCCAGCCGCAGAGCGTGCGCTTCGCTCACGGCTTTTTTCTCTTCGGCGGTGAAGTTGAAGAGGAGTGGAACTGACGGGGGTATCTCGGCTGCATTGCAGATGAGACGAGTAAGCTAAGAGCAAGTAAGCAAGTGAGAGGCGATGAGCTACTATACCCAACTCCTCGGCACAGGTGTGCGGCAATGCTTCCTTCAGTGCTGTAGTCGTATTCTTTTCGTGTGTCCAGGTGCTGGCTTTGCGAAGGGTCAGCATGAGAGCGCTCAAGCCCTTGGCGCTAGTCGGGCGCAGCCTGCATGCCCACAGAGCACCGGTCAGTAGCGTCACCTTACCCACCACAAAGGCAAGTGTGCGTCTCTCTTACATGAGTGCGTGCTGCAGGTGTTTCGTAGCTTCACTCAGTTGGCTCAGTTGCTCAAGCACCACTCCTGGCAAAGAGGATGAGAGAGTGAGGTCTGGTTCAGTGGGGCAGCTGCTCACGCGCACGGTACGCACCCAGGTTGAGCCATGCCTCAAACATGGTCGGACGAAGTATGAGCGTGTTGTAGAATGCCGTTACTGCCTCACCGTAGATCCCCAGCTCCAGGAGCACGACCCCGAGGTTGTAGTGGGCTTCCACGTGGGTCGGAACGAGTTGGGCCGCTTTGGAGTAGCTGCCTACAGCCTCTATCAGACGACCCTACACCGGGCCAACGAACAACACCAGGTGAGTACCCTCCTCCTCCTCCTTCTTGATCACGAGTCGCTTCGCTTTGAATGCTTGTTACCTGGAGTTGATAGGCCAAGGCTTGATTGTAGAGGCTCGCCGGATGTAGCGGGTTGATGCCAAGTACTTTCTTATAATAGTAGTGCGCCTCCTCCACTTGGCCTTGTTTCTGCAACAGGTTGCCTGCAGCACGGGGACAACGATCAATCGAGCGCCTCTGAGCGATGGGCTCAGCTTCTTCTCAGGCCAGGGCTCATGCTTCTTCGTACCGAGACCATTGAGCGCCGTGAGGTGCGTTGGCATGCTCGAAACAGCGTGCTGATAGCTCGCCAACGCCTCCTCCTCTCGTCCAAGCATCTCTTGGGCGAACCTGCGCCGCACACCACGAGAGTGGAGGTACACCGGTACATCAATCCCTGCCCTGCTCCTTCTTTGCCGTCTCTCACTCTTCTTCTTCGTTGGTTGTGGTGCACACGATACCCCAGGTTGTAGAGAACGTCCGCCTTCAAGGTTGACGTTGCGTGTTCGAGCGCTACCATGTACTCATCCACCGCCAGCGTCCACTCTTTCTTATGCACGTAGGCCAACCCTGTAGCTCGCATATGGTAAGCCATCTGCGCGCGCTTGTGTCGGTGTGTGCGGGCGCGCGGTGCGTGCGAATAGGTACCTAAGTGGTTGCGATACAGGGCGTTGTAGGGGGCCATGGTCGTGGCAGAGGTAAGGTACTTGATCGCCAGCTCTCCCTGGCGCTTCTGCAGGTGGCACACGCCGGCCAGGTAGGCCGCCTTGTGGTCCATCGAGTCCACCGAGAGGGTGTCCAGCGCCAGCGCCAGCGCTTCGTCGTACCTGCCTCGCGATAGAAGGTCGCTGGCGCTGGCCAGCCTGGATTCGATCTCCTCGCCCACCAGGTCGCGATGCTCCTCGGCCTGGCGCGGGTCGACGGCGGACATGTGGTACGCCGCCTCCTTCTTCTTCACCTTGCGCCGCGCTTGTTTGCTGGAGGTCCCATCTGCTCGGGCCATCTCGCTCATGACGAGGCTCATCTTGTGGACCCAGAGGGAGAAGAAGGGAAGGTTACTACATCAACTGCAGATGTTGAACTCTCCAGCTCTCGAGATGTACCACGAGAAAGACGGCAAAAGCGAGCTTCCACCTCCTGCCCGAGATCATGGTGCGCTTCTTTCAAGTGTGTCCCCCAGAGCGGCTGCGGAGGGAGATGACCACTTGTTTGTGACGCAGGTCGCAGTGAGCAAGAATTCCCTAATTTGGGAAGTCAAGAAAAAACATGGGAAAATTACATTTTCCCTATCTTTTTGCGAGTTCCACTTCTCGGCAACAAAGTTGTCACCAACGAAGATGGGCAGCCACAGGTACGTGACCACCCCTCAAGGTGCCGTGAACCAGCACATTGTGACCCTCTTCTCAAGTCTTCCTTGTTGGTGCCAACTTTTACTGGGTGGCCCACTTTCTCAATGCTGACGTCGCTGGTGGGGGTGCGTCACCAGTTCACGGCCGCGGCATGAGTTGGCAGAGGATCTATTCGCGGAGCACTCCGCAAGTGGCATGGGTGCGCTGAGCTTCATGTCGGCCGACCTGTTCGCCTACCTCCTCAACTTCCTTGAAATGGAAGACGCATGTCGTCTGGGCAGCCTCAACCGCTTCTTCCAAGTACGTCGCGCACCATCACCTCACCTGGCCGCCGCAACATGGTGGCCTCACCGTTTTGCTTCCCAGGCTCTACTGAGTCCCAGGGGCTACGCCTGGCGGCAGTTCTACATCAGGTCTGCGTACTACGACCACGAGAAGTTCCTGGAGATGGACAAGAGCAACGACAGCAACTGGAAGTCGCTGTGCGCGAGCAATCATCGAGTAAGGCCTCAGCCACAACGGCTCGACAATGCACCTCTTCTATGTTATGGTGATACACTGAACTTATATTACTTTGTGCTGCAGATGGGATGGCAGCTAGACACATCGCCCCTACGCTGCGGCGAGGCGTTCATGCTGCAAAAGGATTTGCTGGGCTGCGTCGTGGACAAAACTTACAAGGGGCCCGTGCTGGTTCAGCGGGTGGTCACCAAACGGGGCGTGTGGCGCGGGAGACACCTCTTCTCGGTCAAGGTCGAAGGTTACAGCCCAGGTGCGCCATCTCTCTCTCTCTCTCTCTCTTCCTGAAAGTCGTACACAGACGAAACAAACAACACGCACGCACGCACACACACACACGATGCAGGCAGCACATCGTTTGGGGTGTGCCAAGGGCGACATGTTCCGCCGCATGGGTACATCTCGGCGGTGGGCATCTTTGCGGGCGACGGCACTCTCGACACCATCAAGGAGGTCGACATCGTCACGCCCCCCGACATCAGGATCAAGTCCAGAATCAGAACTCAGGACACCGTCACAATCGACCTAGATCTGGATCAGCGCGAGGTTGGCCTTCTTCTTCTTCTCCTTCTTAACTTCCTCATTCCGTGATGTTCATCCTCCTCTTTGTTGTCGTTCGCAGGTGACCTTCTACGTCAACGGGCACAAGTGGGTGATGTTGGTTGGCGTGGCGAACGATGGAGAAGGCAGCAGCAAGGCGCCGTGGTTCTTCTACATCTCCATCAAGAACTACGCCGTGCCGGCTCACATTCCAAACTCGAAAACTGAGCAGGTGTACCGCATCGTGCCCCACCCTCCTCTGCGCACCACCGAGTACTCTTTGGCCCCTTCATCGTCATCCTCCGCTAAAGAGTAATTCGAAGAACAAATAATAAATATTTCTTTTTCGTAGACCACTCCAAGAGATGGAGGTGAGTGGTGCCCAGAAGCAAAAATCGTGGGCTGGACCGGCGCAGTTGTGCTTTCTCTTCCAGGTGCAGGCCTCCAACCTTTGATCAGCGAGACCTGCCGACCTACGTTTTTAACCTCTTTTATCTTTAATCGATGAATTTGTAGGATGGGGGCACGAGCCTCTTTCAGGGCCACTTCATCGACTTAGGCAGCCGTCAATGCTTCGGGGTCACTGCCACTGGTACCCTCCAATCTTTCTTTCTTCCCGTTCAGTCGTTAGAGTTGAATCATGATGCACTCGCGCGCGTGTAGAAACGGAGGTGCCGGCTGCCGAGGCGCAGTGCTGTTGCTGTCAGGGCGACGATGCTCCGACGTGGTATCGTCTCGCCATCATCGACTTCAAGGTACCCGACCTGCTACGCGTTCGCGACGAGCGATACGCACAGCAACGTACAAACTCAATGTCTCGAAGACGGGGCGGGAGTTCACAGAGGTGGTGAGCAAGCGCGGTGGCGACTACGCGCTCATCCACGGCCAGCGCACCAAGTTCATCACCGACTCGCTTCTGACCGACGAGGTTTGTGCTGCTCTCCAGGGTCAATTCAACCGTATGGTGGCACTCACACTCGATGTGCGTGTCGTGCGGCATCGTGCGGTGTTGTGGGGGGGGGGAGCGCGAGTAGAAGGCGGTGGCGTTCGTGCAGAGGAATGGACGGTTCGGGGTGTCGCTGGAGGGGCTGGACGAGTCGGCCGTGCTGGTGTGCATCGGCCAATTCGAGATGCACTCCATCCCCGCCTTCTCCTCTTCCTCGGACGACGAGCTGCTCGAAGAGGAGAAGCCAGAGCCACCAGAGGCCAGCGGACACCACCACCATCATCCGCACCACCACCATGACGTGCAGTCTCACGAGCGATGTTGCGGCCTAGCTGGTGCTGATGACGCAGTGGCCGACGGCCAAGTGGCGACGCTTAACACGGTGAAGGAAGAAGAGACCACCATCGAACACAGCAAGCCACCAGTCCCGGCCAGCAGCGACACGAGCCAGTCTGGCTTGTCGTCGGGCGGCTGGCTGCGACGCGGACGGCGGCCAGAACCAACCGAGCAGTAAAAAGAGTAAATAAAATCAAAAGGAGCAAAAAAAAAGAGCGAAATGGGCTGACAGGCTATTCAGGAGAAATTTGGACTAAAGACTTGCTGGGCGGGGGTCCGGTGCTTGATCGATCTCCATCTTGTGGTTGTTTAGATCCGCAAGCACCAGGAAAGAGTAGGAACGCGATTTTTTTTAAAAATGGGGTAGGCCACGCTACGTAACTCATTTTAATTGCATGTGATTTATGCTGATGCCACGAGCTCTCTCCGATGCAGGCGATCATTCAGCTTTGCACTTATTGCGGGTGCCCTCTTCGCAGTGGTCATAATCATCAACATCATTGCCTCGACCAACCTCAAGGGCATGGACGACGGTACCTCTACACGCCATTAGGATTATAATTCAATTAATCTTTTTTAAATTAATGAATAGTAAAAGACTGACGTGGTCTGTGGGCAGACCATCACATGGGGCCTGGCGGGACGGTGAAGAACGTGGTGCTGTTCGTGGGGTCGGGCCTGGGCCCGGCCGGCGTGACCCTCACGCGCAGCTTCCAGGAGGTCCTTCGCAAGGGCGACGCCTCCGTCCCCACCACCCTCGCCTTCGAGCCCTACCTCACCGCCACCCTCCGCACCCGTGCCTACAGCAGGTATCCTCCCCACCGCGTGTGTCGCGCGTGTCATGTGTGCGTGTGCGGTGGCGCGTGCGGTCGTGCGTGTGTGGTGGTGGCTCACGCTCTGTCGCGGCTACAGCGCGACGACGGACGCGGCTGCTGCGGCGAGCGCGCTGGCGACGGGCAAGAAGACCGATAATGGCATGGCGGCCGTCGACCCCGAGTCCAAGGCCAAGGTGGCGTCCATCCTCGAAAAGCGCCCGTCAGGCCGGCCTCAAGACCGGTAACGAGCCCTCCGCTCTGTGCTCTCTCTTCTGTTGATTCGTAAGCAGCGGCTGATCAGAGACAACCACAGGATTCATTACGACGGACGAGCTGGCCGGCCCGGTGGCTGCCGCTTTCACGAGTCACATGGAGCACGCCAACATGCCGGCCATGGTTGCCGGCCAGCAGCTCACCTCCAAGATCGACCGTTCGCTCTTCTCTCTTTCGCTCTTTTCTTTTCTTTTTCGCTCTTTTTTTTTGCACAATCTTACTTTTTTTTTGCGTTGTTTTCCTGGGGCTGTGCAGTGCTGATGGGCGGAGGCCGCACGTACTACGCCGACAAGACCAAGGACTGGACCGACGCCTCCTACGCCACCCCCACCAACGCCGCCGGTACCTCTTTTCTCAAGACATTGACGACACAGTGCAAGAGGCGCCGCTTACCTTCGTTTGGGGTGGTTGTTGTTTTTGTTTGTCGCGACGCCAGAACTGGAGAAGGTGGCGAAGCTGCCGGTGTTGGGTCTGTTCGCCGACAAGAAGATGGACTTTGCGATCGACCAGAAGAGCGGCGACAAGAAGCAGCCCACGCTCCTCCAGATGACCAAGAAGGCCCTCGACCTTCTTCACAACGACAAGGGCTTCTTCCTTGTCGTCGAAGGTACAACAAATGTTGCGTGCGTGTGCGGTGGTGTGTGCGTGCGTGTGCGGTAGTGCGTGTGCGGTAGTGCGTGTGCGACTGACTCACGGAGGTGTGGTGCTGCAGCTGGCAGGATCGACGAGTGCGCGTACGCACACGATGCGGCGTGCTTGGCGCACGAGGTGCTGGCCCTGCAGGAGAGCTTCGACGCCGTGGCTGACCTCCTCATCAAGACTAAGGACACCGCCTGCCTCATCGCCTCTGACCGCGATTCCGGTTCGGCGCTTTGGCTCTCTCACTTTATAGCGATCATGCCCACTAACCACACATACAACACACAACACACAAGGCGGGCTGATTCTGAGCAGCTGGGATCCCTCCGTGCTCAAGCCGACCACCACCTCCGTGGAGGCCATCGTGCAAAAGATGGGCACCATGTCCGAAGGCTCCGTCGACGAGAAGGCCAAGACGCAAGTCAAGGCCGCCACCGGCCTCGATCTCACCGCCGCCGAGGTGCGGCGGTCACCACCACCCCGTGGGTTGCGTGGGTTAGGGAAGCGTGCTTACTTGTTGTGGTGTGCGATGATGCGGTGACAGCTCAACCAAATCAAGGCCAGCGACCAGGCCCAGCTCGGCAGCACGATCGGAAGCGTCATTTCCGCCCGAGCCGGCATCTCGTGGAGCACCACCAGCGACACTGGTACCACCTCTCGACGCGTCGTGCGCGTGTCGTGTGGTCTCACCGCGGGCGCTTGGTGGCGGGGGGCACAGGGGTCGACGTCAACCTGTACGTGTGCGGAGACGCGACCACGGACGTTCCGCGAGGAAACGTGGACAACACGGCGGTCGGCGTGTACCTCATGAAGAAGGTCCCCTCCGCCACTGGCGCCACCACGACCACCACCACCGGCGGTGGCATGGACATGGGCGGCCATGGCGGCCATCACCACTAAGCGATACCCCCCCCCCTTCCCCTCTTTCTCTTTGGTCTTACTTTTTGTGAGTTTCTTTTATTTATGACCAACACGGCACCACCCACTTCATCCGCGCGCGATGGCTGCTTCTCTTCTTCGCTTTCTCTCTTTTTCTTCTTCGCTTTCTCTCCTTTCGCATCAGTACGCCTGTGGCGAGCTCGGGCGGTTGAGTGGGGCCTCCTCGGGCTGCTGCTTGGCGGTGGCGATGGCGACGCCGAAGATGCCCAGGGGCAGGATCGTGTGGCGGTCCACCATCTTCTCCTCCCACCGCCACACCGCCCTCGCGATCTCGTAAGCGCGCCCCTCCGAGTCGACCACGCTGGCGGGCACGCCGGCTTCGTTGTTGTCGTTCCTGTTCTTGTTGGTGTTGCTGTTGAGCGCGTTGAGGCGGCGGTCGATGTGGTTGGCGATGAAGCGAAAGAGGACGGGCTGGCGCTGCACGTCGACGCGGCCGAACACGCGCTCGATCGCGGCCACCATCTCGCGGCCCAGGTGCAGGCGCTCGATGCCCTCCATCCCGTGGTGGCTCCACTTGAACTGCCGCGCCCACCTCTCCAACACGTCCCTCTCCTCCTCCTCCTTTTCCTTTATGCTCTTCTTCTCCGTTTTGTTCTTCTTCATCTTCTGCTCCTCCTTCTTTTCTTCACGTTCGTGTTGATGGGTTGGTGGTGACGGTGACGTTGCGGTGGCGAGATGAGACCGGCGGCGAGTAGCGAGTCGTGTAGGGCGTAGTACCACTCGGCGGTGGGCCGGTCGATGTCCTCTCGCCCGAACTCCTCGATGATCAGCAGACCCGACGGGACGCCGGCCCGGTCGTCGGCCCGACGCAGGAGCTGGTCCCGCACCAGCCGCAGCACTCCCTCCAGGTCTTCGCCGATGTGGTGCAGCGACCGTGTGAACAGCACCACATCGAACGTGCCTCGCTCCTCCTTCGCCTGCCCGTGTGTCGTGTGTGTCGTGTGTGAGGTGCGTGTCGTGTGGCGGCGCACGCAAACAAACCTGCGCGAGCTCTTCGAGGCTGCACTGCCGGGCGTCGGTGACGCCTCTGCTGCGGGTGGCGGCGATGGCGTCGGGCGAGGGGTCGATGGCCACGACGCGGTGGCCGGCCTCCTGCATGCGGTGCGCCAGCTCGCCCAGCCCGCACCCCACCTCCACTATCTTCAGCCCGCGGCGCCCGCGAAAGTGCTTGGCCAGGATGGGCTCCTGCTGCGCCCACGACACCTCCGCCGCAAAGTCACCTCCCGTGGACATAACTTCTACTCTCTTCTGGCTTCTGGCTTCTGGTCTGGTGTGGTGTTAACTGTTAAAGGTCAGTCACAATTGCGAGCTTTATGTGTGGCACGAGCTGGGTCTGTGTCAACGCGAGAGGTTGGTGCACATTCAACAGCCAACAGCCAGCACTGGAAAACTCAGTCGAACCAATGGGAATGACGGCCGAAAAGAGAAGGAATGTTTGGAATGGCTAAGGAGCAGGAAAGGACAGGGTGGGCTAGCATGCCATTGGTCCTAACCATATTAGGGTAAGACTACCAAGCGGCACAGTCACAGACCAGAGCAAGAGTTGATCAACTCACAAGTGAGAACCAAACAAACAATCTTATCTGTGGAGAAAGAGAGCAGATCCAGAAGATTAAAAATGAGCGCCAACATTGAGAACTTCAAGGACTCGGCGAAGCTGACCTGCATCACCTGCCACGCTTTCAACAGGGATCGCACCCGTACGGTTCCCCCCATGACAGTGATTGATTTTTGTTCGTGGCCCTGATCGATCGGTGACCTCCCCAGTCATTGCCATCTGCCCCAACAACAACGAGGTCCATATCTACCAGAAGCAAGGCGCCGAGTGGGTCAAGAACGCTGTGCTGGTCGAGGTGCCTTCACCCCCTCCACTGTTGTATTGAAGCCAATCTTTTTGTTTTTAGTTGTTGTCTGCCGTTGTAGCACTGAACTGGTTTCACTGCTGCAGCACGATCAAGCGGTGACGGGCATCGACTGGGGCCACAAGGAGAACAGAATCGTGACCTGCTCGCAGGATCGTAACGCCTACGTGTGGTCGCTCGGCGCTGATGGCAAGTGGAAGCCCACCCTGGTGCTCCTCCGCATCACCCGCGCCGCCACCCACGTCAAGTGGAGCCCCAATGGTAACCCCCCTAGCAACCGCGCTGGTCTATCGCACACGCACACGCAAACGCACACATGCAAACGAAGCCGGATGTGTGCTGCAGAGGAAAAGTTCGCTGTGGCGACTGGAGCCAAATGCGTGTCGGTGTGCTACTTCGAGGAGGCCAACGACTGGTGGGTGTCGAAGCACATCAAGCTCCACAAGTCGACGGTGCTGAACGTCGCCTGGCACCCGAACAACATCTTCCTGGCCACCGCCGCGTCGGACTTCAAGGCCCGCATCTTCTCCGCCTTCATCAAGGGCGTGGACAAGAGGCCCGAGAACACGCCGTTCGGCGACAAGCTCCCCTTCGGCGAGATGCTGGCCGAGTACTCGTGCGGCGGTTGGGTGCACGGTGTGTCGTGGTCGCCCTCGGGCGAGTGGCTCAGCTTCGTGAGCCACGACTCGGCGATTTCGTTCGTCAACATCTCCACCGGCAGGGAGGCCGTGCCCCAGCGCCTCTCCCTCAGCGGTCTGCCCTACCGCGTGCTCGCCTTCCTCAACCCCACCGACATCATTGCCGCCGGCTATGACTGCAACCCGGCGCTGTTCCGCCTCAGCGGCCAGACCTGGTACTTTTCACCATCACCAACATACCTTCATCGGCACCTTGACAGTGCTTACCAATGCCATGGCTTCACAGGGCGTTCGTGAAGAACGTGGATGAGAGCTCAGCGGCTGCACGAGCTGCTCCTGGCGCGGCTCAGTCGGCCATGAACATGTGGCAGAAGAAGGCTGACCTGGGCACCACCAGCAACGAGACTCAGCTGGAGACCAAGCACCAGAACGCCATCTCTGGCCTCACCGCTCTCGCCCCCAACCAGTTCTCCACCACCGCTGTCGATGGCAAGCTCATCATCTGGACCGTCAGGGCCTAAGGACAAGATGTTCTTCTTGTTCATCATCTTGTCGGCATGAGGGTGTCAAGACCTCTGCCACAATAAACAAGTCAATCTCCCGTTCTGGGTGCGTCTAGGCGGGCTTGAGGATGATGTTGGCGCGATCGAGATAGATCTCGTCCATCTCGCCCTCTTGGGGCTCCTCCGGCTCGTTGGTGGCCTGATGCACGATGAAGGTGTTGTTGAAGGTGCGCCGCAGGTCGTCGATGATGAGCGGAGGCCGGTGCTGCACAAACTCGGTGTAGACGAACTTCTGGGCGTAGCGCTGGTAGAATCGCCACACGGCCGGATCGCGTAGCACACGCACGATCTGTGCGTCGTGGTTGATCCCGATCTCCTTGCCCGGATCCACCCTCGTGTCTCTCGCACTGTGGTCACCAGTTTAGCCTCAACTCCACGCGCGCACGCGCACGCACAACCGCACACGACGTACAAGCGAAGAAAGCTGTCGAAGACGGGATCGCCAAGCCGGTACATGGAGTTGCCGTTGAAGTGGTCACCGCATCCCCAGTAGATGCCCATACAGTACTCCTTGGGCGTATTTGGGCCGCGGTAGAGGGAGCCCTTGATCCAGAAGTCCTCCATAGCGAACTCGGCGTGCTCGTACATGTTGTCGAGCCAGTACGGCCGAATGGGCACCACGTCCGACTCCATCAAGAAGAAGTAGTCGTAGTTCTTCCTGAACACGTCCATCTACCAACGCAACGCGGTGGTGTTATATCAGTTGGCTTCTTCAAAGGTGAAGGGTTGGAGATGAAACGAACCTCGAAGATCTTGAAGAACAGGTCGGCGATGACCCCGTTGTTGCGGGTCTCACTAGGATAGGGGTCCTGTTCCTCGGTCAAGTTGGCGCTAAGGAAGGTGACGTTCCCGTAGCAGTTGTACATGCTCACCCGCTGCATGTTCTTCTTGTACTGTCTCGGTCGAAGGCGCGTAAGTGTCTTGGAGCGCGGCAAGAGAGAGAGAGAGAGAGTGATGTGCCAGCTTCCGTACGTTCTCCATCCGTTCACGGTCGCTCTCGACCGTGCCGCCGTAGAGCTTGTTGGTGTAGACGAACAAGTCTCTGTACTGGACATAGGGCAGGTCCATGTCACAGGCGGGCACGTTCATGGACGTGTGCGATCTGTCCGCAACACGTGACACACGCTGCTCGTCAGTACTCTCTCTAACCCGTGCGAATGCGGGTCGGGTCTTCAACCTGGCGTAGAACTGGCTGAGGCGGTTCTCCTGGTGGATCGCATGAGGGATGATGACCGCCAGCCTCCGTGGCGCACGCTTCTGCATCGTCGATGCCGGCTGTAGAAATGCAAAGACATATGGCGCTTCAGATCGAGCTGTGTGGAGAAGCGCTTTGATGTACCCAAGTGAAGCCTTCCGGGTGAGTTGAGTGCACTTCTTTGGTGCTGACCTCATCCTCCGCTTCGTCTTCGGCTTCGTCTGGTTCGCACGCGCTCGCCAGCTCGGTCACCTCGCGCTTGAGGCTGTCGAGCTCGGCTTGCAGGTCAGCCAGCAGTCCCTGCTTCTGCTGGATGTGAAGCTTGGCCTGCTCCTTCTCCTGATCGGCCGCCTGTAGCTTGGCCTTGTAGGCGGCCACCTCGTTGTTGAGCGAATCGCGCATCTGTTCGCTGTCGCGCAGCAGCTGCTCTGCTCGAGAGTACTGCACCGAGAGCCGTTCGTTGTGTCGCTGCATGTCGTGGCTGACCTGGCCCAGGCGATCCATCTCCAAGATGAAGTGCTGCTCCCGAATCTGCGTCCTCTGCTCTGCGCTCTGTTGGAAGTGCAGGTTCATCATGGCCGATAGCGCCAGCCCCACCAACAGCAGCGCAATCACCACCCGCGATACCGTGCACCCCGCCAAGCTCGAGCGGCCCCTCTGGCCGCCGCCACCTCCAGCCTCGGAGTCTCGATGCCACTCATTACCGCTTCCGCCACCAACAACCGACGCTCCGGTTCGACGAACTACTGCTTCCATGTTCTATGTGTCCTCTTCTTGCGTCCTTCCTGCTCTTGTTGTTTCACAAAACGTCGAATTTCTTTGTTTCCTTTTTTAGGGATTTCAAAAAGAATGGAAAAGAAAAAAGACAAAAAGAAAAAGGAGAAGGTCAGGAGAGGTCCTTCTCCTTGCCGATGGAGAAGGCCGAGGGGAAGGTGGAGTGGAGCCCCATACGTATCCGATCGTAGGCGCTGCCGAACGAGTCCAGTGCGGGTCTGTGCACACACCACCATCATAGAGAGGAGGTTTATGATGATGTTTTTTTTTACACAACACGTAGAAATGGAACCATCATGGTGATGGGGAGAGAAACGCACCTGACGTCGAGGAAGAAGGCGGAAGGAGGAGCCTGGTGAGAGTCGCCCTGGGGCACCTCTCCCTGATAGAAATCGATCACGTAGCGGACCTCTGTTCCACACCGGTCTACGATCCAATCGTGCCTGTCAAAGGGCAGCTTGTACCTGGGTGATGGGGAGTTGAAGTTCAAGGTGAGAAGAAGGTCGACCATCAGGGGATCTGGTCTCAGCACACACGAAGTATGCAGAAGAAGAAGAAGAAGAAGCATAAGGTGTGGCGCAAGGTTGTACCCGAGCCAGCTCATCATTCGGGCCTTGGGCGACAGGTCAGTCGGCCGGCCACGGAAGCGCGCAAGCCGCGGTCGCTGGCATTCGCTGTGCACACAAGGGATGAAGAAGAAGGTAAGTCAACGTGGGGTTGTTGCGTTTGGTGAAGTTAAATGGATGTCGTGCCTCTCGTGCAGACGTTCCCATTCGAGCACCTGGCTCCAGGAGCGTTCGTTGACGGCGTTGTGGATGCTCACCACGGCGGTCATGTCCTCCTCGCGCGGGTCCCACCCCTTGCGTCGCATGGCGTTGTAGAACATCTGCGGCGAGGGATAGAGCCAGGCCTCCTCCTCGTTGGGCTGGTTGGCGCTGCCGGGCGTGGTGGCGGCCTTGGGGATCGAAGATCGATACCGATCGGTGGGGAGGGTAAAGCGCTGGCCGGGAGCCGGCTGTTGATTGGGCTGCACGGGCATCTGGTTTTTGGGATCGATAGACTGGTCTCGACTGGCACCTGACATCGGACAGCCATCCATCGATTTTCCGCTCATTGATGAAAATTGCGAAGATGTGGTGGTAGAGGAGGAGGTTGTGCTGCTCGGGCTTTGGTTGGATCCTTCAGCAGGCGGGCATGCGGCGGGCACTTGAGGATTGGAAGACAGATCAGCCGGCGGCGCGGCATTTTGAGGCAGCATCGGATGCGCCTTGGCCTTATCGCCCGGCCACATATGCTGCACGGGGCACGCAGACGGCACACTTCCGTTTCCGCCATCTTCGGGCACGGTCTGCTGTGATGCCATCTTCACTTCGCCTTCTTGGAATAGCGTCCAGATTTACTGCCTGGTTTATTTCCTTCTTTTTCTCTTGTACCAACTCAAAAATCACGGTGGGCGAGATCTCTCAGCACCTTCTTCCGCTATCCAGGGCACCTCCAGATTCCGAGTAATGATCATGATCATCGACGGCGGCCCTCTTTCCAGTACGCCTGTCCTCCTACCCACGAAATCTTTTGGCCTACTATTTTGATATTTATTTTTATTCTTTTTCTTTTACTACCATAAATGGCAAACCGTGTCTGTTTGGGTAGCATACGCACAAAAGGAAAAGAGGACGCACGTGGGGGCGAGTTGGTTGCCTTTGTCGACTACTGAGCGTGTGTAGGTGCCCTTGTGGAGTAGAAGACTGTAAACTCGACCACCTCCCCCTGGCCCCAAAGCATCCAACTACTCTTCGCCTCCTTCTACATCTAAACGACGTTTTTGTTGTTGGACAGACATCAACCATGTCGTCGTCCACGAGGGAGAAGTCATCTACGTCCAAGGCAGCCCGTGACGAATCGAGCAAGTCGACTTCCAAGTCTGAGAAGAAGACGAAATCCAGCGACAGCGACGAGAAGAAGAGCCGACGCCTCTCCGCCAAACGCACATCCGACAAGGACTCCAAGGCGGAGAAGAGTGAGAGACACGCCGCATCTTCATCTTCCTCCTCCAAGTCGAGCGGCGGCGATGACAAGAAGAAGAACCGACGCAGCACAGATCGTCCAGTAGCAGTAGCAGCACAGCCGCCGCCGAGAAGGACAGCGGCGGCGAGGGCAAGGAGAGTAAGGGCGACAAGAAGTCGGGACTGATGCGCCGCAAGAGCCTCCTGTCGTCGTCCAAGGGCACCAAGGACGTCGATAAGAAGGACAAGCGGGACGCCAAGGACCGCGAGAAGGCCGAGAAGAGCGACAAGAAGGCCCGGGAGAAGGAGGACAAGAAGACCAAGAAGGACACCGGGGGCGGCACCCTCCGCAAGTCGGCCTCCCCCGCCGGCGCGACGTCCGCCAGCGCGGCCTTTTCTGCGTCTGCGACGGGGGGCTCGCCCTCGACATCGCCCGTCGCCGCCAAATCGGGGGAGAAGCGCACCGGGTCGGGGATCAGCAAGGCCACGCCCAAGAGCCTGGGCAAGGCGACGCCGGCGTCGTCCAAGATGGGCGGCGACTTCCTCCAGCGGCTCGAGGGCATCGAGCGCACCAAGACCGCTGTGGACTTCACCAAATCGCACGCCACCTCCCAGGTCAAGAAGGGCGCCAAGGCCGTCGAGGAGGCCGAGTGGGACGACGAAACCCAGGACAAGGTAAGCAACTTGCTTCATCATCTTCACAATCGAACACATCAAAAACCGCTCCATCGCTGCCCCCCCCCAACCTCGAAGTGCTGAGAGGAACCTCCCCCCCTTTTTTTTCTTCTTTTCTTTTGGCCTGAAGGTCCCCACGGCGATCCGGCTGGCCACGATCGAGTTGGGTCGGGACGAGCTCTCTGCCTTTGCCAACGCCGGAGAGAAGATGTACTTCGACGCTTTCCCCTTCCTGCCCTTCTAAGCTGTGTGTGTGTGTCGTGTGTCGTGTGTGTGAGTTTCCTGAGTGTCGTGTGAGTGTCATTCTTCGCTGACCCTTGGTTCGCAGTGGTCTGGAGATATGGAGGATCGAGAAAATGCTGCCCGTGCGAGTGCCCAAGAAGAAGTACGGCAAGTTCTACGCTGGCGACAGCTACCTCTGCCTCAACACCTCCTACAAGGTGCCTACCTCTCCTTCCTGTGTCCACCGCACATCATAACCCCGGTCGCAACCGCGCTCACCGTCTTTCCTTCACTCCAGGACGGGCGCTCGCGAACCCTGCAGTGGGAGCTGCACTACTGGATCGGTAGGAAGGCGCCCAAGGTACCTCACCTCATCTCATCTTTAGTGTAGAGAGGGAGTGGTGTACTCTAATTTCTCACGTAATGCAACTCAATTGTACAAAAAATAGGATTCTGCTTCGTCGGCTGCCATTCGCTCGATTCAGCTCAACGAAAAGATCGGCGGTCAGGCCGTGCACTACCGCGAGGTAAGGCCTTCGCGCGTTCTCTCTTCACTCACTCTCGAACTCTTTCCCCAGCTGGGCCGAATTTCCGTTAACTGTCGGTGTTCCCGTCGGGGCGTAGGTCCAAGGCCACGAGTCGGAGAAGTTCCAGCAGTTGTTCAACTACAAGATCAAGTACCTCCGCGGCGGTACGGAGTCGGCCCTCAACCACGTCACCGAAGAGGCCTACGAGACCCGGCTTCTGCACCTGCTCGGCAAGAAGGGAGTCGTCAGACAGGTCCGTCACGACACGCCCCATTCCGCACACGCACACGCACCACCGCACGCACTTGATTGACCTGTTTCCTGACTCGTTGTGTTCTTATCGGTCCTACAGGTGGATGCGACGTGCGGTTCGCTGAACGAAGGCGATGTATTTGTGTTGGATGCGGGAAAGAACATCTTCGTGTGGGTGGGCAAGGAAGCCGGCCTGGTGAAGCAGAGCAAGGGCCTGGAGATCGCCAACATGATCAACTCTGAGAACAAAGGTAACCTACCACACCAACCGCGCGCTCGTGTGGGAGTTGTCGTGCAGAGTGGATATGTTTTGCTGAACGGAAACTGCGGCGGCTGCTGTTCAGGAATGGGCATGGTGTCGTTGCTGCTGGGCGCGGAGCGAGAGAACAGCCCACTGTTCTGGGAGGTCATGGGCGGCAAGGGCGAAATCGCCCCGGCGGAAGAGGCCATGACCGACAAGGAGGTCGCCGAGGAGATGGCCGAGTCCGTCTTCCTTTACAAGTACGCACACGCACTCACCGCCTACCTCTCCCCTTTTTTCTTGTCTAACGAACGCCGCAACGCACCACCGCACACGCATCACTGCACGCTTCGCACACACACACGCAGGGTGATGGAGGTGGACGGCGACATGCAGGCCATCCCGATCACCGAGACTCCATTTGTACGAGATATGCTCGAGTCGACCTTCACCTACATCCTCGACTGCGAAACGGAGATATTTATTTGGGTCGGCAAGAAGTCCGACTGGGAGAGCAAGGCCAGCGGCATCATGCTTGCCGATGTACGTGTGTCTGAACCCACGCAACACATTGCGCGCGCACAGCACACAGCACGCAACACACAGCACCTTACAGTACGCACGCGCACATAGGACTTCCTCACCATGTTCGAGCGACCTTCGTGGACTCCGATGACGCGCATGCTCGAGGGCACCGAGACCGTGCTGTTCAAGAGCAAGTTCGCCAACTGGGTCGACATCCACCCCACCCGAGACTTCCGGTAACGCCCACATGCTTCTTTTTCTCTCTGTGTCGTGTTGTGTCGTGTCGTGTCGTGTCGTGTCGTGTCGTGTCGTTGGTCGTGTGTGCCGTGCCGTGCCGTGTGCGTCGACCGTTTGGAGGAGTGGTCACTGATCACTCTGCGACAGAGAGATCGAGTTCCGCAAGCAGCAGGCCAACATTGCGGCGACGCCAGCGGTGCAGCCCAAGATCGACGTGGATCTCATGCACGCCCGCCCGGAGAAGGACGAGTTCAGCCCCGACAAGGAGTTCCCCGGCATCGACGAAGACTCCGGCCTCGTTGAGGTATACGCAACACCCGCGACACGCACACGCACACGCACACGGACACGCACACGGACACGCACACGCAACACAAACTTAAACCGCACGCGGTGGCAGATCTGGGTGATTGACGACAAGTCGCACGCGGCGGCCGTGGGCGAGGACAACTTTGGCGAGTTCTACAACGGGCGGAGCTACATCGTGCTGTACTCGTTCACCATCAAGGAGAGCATCAGGTCGGTGGCCTACTTCCTGGGCGGCAGCAGGGCCGCGCCCAGCGACTACATCGCCTACCAGACGGGCCTCTACGAGCAGCTCGAGGAGAAGATGGAGTCCGAGGGCGGCAAGGCCCCCATCCAGATCCGCCACCAGCTCTTCGCCGAATCCGACTACTTCCGCACCCTTTTCGAAGGTACTGCCAACTTTTTTATTTTATTCTTTAAATCCAATTTAAATCACGGAAATTGTGTTATTTTGTTTTTATTTAGTGGGTTTTATTGCTCATTATTTCCAATATTATTTTTCTCTTCTCAGGTCTGATGATTGTACATTGCGGGGCGGATCCGGACGCGCCGCGGCCGGAGAAGAGCCTCTACGGCATTTGGGGCACGTCGCCGCAGGATGTGCGGGCAGTGCAGGTCGAGCACATCGGGGCGGCCCAGCTGTCATCCGCCGGCGTGTTCGTGCTCTTCACCGCCACCCACGCCTTCAAGTGGCTCGGCGCTGGCGCCACCGACGAGAGCAAGGCCATGGCCGACCACCTCGTCCAGCACATGGGCGAAGACAAGTATGACCACCACGACTCAACTTTGATCTTTTTTTGTGTCGGAGCTAAACCACACACACACACTCCACACACACACACACACAGGGAGGTCGTGGTGCTGGAGGAGGGCAGCGAGACGGACGAGTTCTGGCTCGAGCTGGGCGGCAAGGCCGAGTATGCCAACTTTGCCGGGAGGCCCTACGGCTGGCCCCGCGTGTTCCAGGTCTCGGAGGCCACGGGCGTCGTGGCCGTGCACGAGGTGCTGTCCTACTCGCAGTCCGACCTCGACGAGCTCGACGTCTTCCTACTCGACGCCTACAACGAGGTGTTCATCTGGACGGGCCGCGATTCGTCTGAGAAGGAGAGGCGCATGGCCCGTGAGATCGCGCAGGAGTACATCGACCGGGCCAAGAGCGTCGACGGGCGAGAGGCGGCGGATCTCCCGCTGACGGTGGTCCTGTCGGGCGAGGAGCCGGTGACCTTCCGGGCGTGCTTCCACGAGTGGCGGCTCCACGATAGTAGCCGCGACCTGGTCCAGGTCATCGAGAAGCGCATCCAGACCAAGATTCAGGGCATCGAGGAGGAGGCGGCCAAGCCCACCGAGCTCATGTCCGACTTCTTCAACAAGCTCAACAAGAAGTACAACATCGACCCCACCCAGGAGCACCTCGCCGACGAGCCCGCCGCCGCCCCTGCGCCGGTGCAGGTCTCCGCCTCGTCCGAGCAGCGACGCGTCGACGAAGTCGCCACCGCCGAAGCCACGGCTGCCGCACCTGCCGTCGCTGGCGACGCCGAGCCCTCGCAGCCGGAACACGACGAGGCCAGCGAGGCCGCAAGCGCCGACGTCGAAGAGTGTGGCGAGAAGGCTGCAGCTGCCGATGATGACGGACACGCGACCGAGACCGTCGACGCCTAAGGCATTTGTATACTGATGGTGCGGAGTGAGCAAGAAGAAGCTGAGCTACGACGAACATAGATGTGAACCGCACATGTACACGAAAGGACAAATCAAAATAGAACAACAACGATGTGTCTTCTGTTAAATGCTGGCTGGGCAAGATGGGTTTGTTTTATGATCATAAGTGTGGGGGTTGGCTATGGACATAATGTGGAGGTGAAGAAGAAGGCAAAATTGGAAAGAGCGGAAGAAGGCCACTGTCACACTGCTCTCAGTAGACGCCGGGGATGATGATGTAGGGCACCTCCTTGCAATACTGGTTCCAGGCCTTGCCGTACTTGGAGCGGCATCGCCTGTCGTCGCGGTTGGCCCGGTCCAGAAGCAGCCACGTCATCATCACCTATGGAAACAGCACAGACAGAAACGTAGAGTGAAAATCCGCACATTTAACACGCCATTTTAGCTCCGACTGTGGAGAGCGTACCTGGTAGGTCCAGGGGATCACGGAGGAGAAGCCGCCGCACATGCAGAACGAGGCGGTGATGAAGAGATCGCAGAGGTAGTTGAAGTGGCGCGACAGGGACCAGAAGCCGGAGGCCAGGAGCAGGTTGTGGCGCTCCTGTCCGTCGGCGGTCTTGTAGACGGCCTCGATGGCCCGGGCGGGCTTGCCCCAGATCGTCACCTTGCCCTTGCTCGCGCGGAACGCGGTCTTCTCGTCGTTGGTCAGTCGGAAGAGGGTGTAGCCCAGGATGTTCATGCCCAGGATGAGGGTCACCTCGACGGCCGACAGGTGGTTGGGGTGGTGCACGAGGAACCACGCCTGCGAGGTGTAGATGGTGAGCACCCAGCAGGTCGAACCGTAGGCCATGAAGAAGCCGTAGTGGTCGTGCATGATATCGAGCGTCTGCGTGTACCACGCCTCCTTCCACGCCCTGCACACGCAATCGGAGTTAAAAAACCGTCGTGTGTGTGTGTGTGTGTGTGTGTGTGTGTGTGGTGATGAGTGCGGTACCAATCGATGATGTAGATCATCTGGAGGACCTGCAGGAGGACCATGGAGTTGGACAGCTGGCCGTAGAGCTCGTACTGCTTGGCGGCGTGCGAGAGGTTGACGATGGCCCACCCGATCATGCCGATGCGGCCGATGGAGAACATCTTGATGTCGAAGTTGCCGATGCGCGGGTTCAACTCCACGCCCATCCAGAAGTCGTAGAAGAACTGACCGTGGACCGACGCGTCCCTGTTGGTCGGCGCGTACACTCCCTGTCATGCATACGTCAGTCAACCGCACACTCGTCACACACAACACACACAACACACACGACACCGGCACACGCACCTTGAGGTAGGCGAGGAGGGCAAAGACGAAGCCCGAGATGGTGCCGACGGTGATGAGCGGGCCGTAGTTATCGTACACGAACGTGGCCGGGAACAGGTTGAGACCGTACGACCCCAGGAAGAACGCGCCAATCGTCACCAGCGTGGCCGCCAGCGCTGCACACACATGACACACGCCCACGTCAGCATACGACACGACACGACACACGACACACGCGTGACCCGGCATACCGTTGATCTTGTAGGGGAGGACGTTGCCGGCGGGCGTGGGGAGGCCCATGGTGCGCTGGCCGGGGAGGAGGAAGTAGAGCGCGACCTGGAAGGCGATGAAGAGCGCGAAGCCGGCCCAGGCCGTCGGGGTGGCGGGCGGGATGCCGGCCCAGAGGCCCGCGAGGGTCCACCGGCCGGCGGCCAGGTCCTGGAGCGGAGCGACGACGGAGCAGTCGTAGTCGGTGCAGGCGCGGTAGAGGAGGAAGGGGATGGTGGGGACGAAGAAGGTGAGGAAGGCGGTGGTGAAGTGGCCCCCGAACTCGCCCTCGAAGCCGCCCCAGTCGCCCCAGGGCTTGGCATCGGCAGATGCAGAGCTCCCGGGGGGTGAGCCCCGCAGGATCGACTCGTCGTGTAGCTTGTCCTTCATCTTCTCCTCGGCTCGGTGCACGGCACCCATGGCGCGATCGACGTCGCGGCCAGCGCGTTCTCTGACGACGGTTGCCATCTCTCTTTAAATGTTTTGGATTTCAATCTAATCTCTCTGCAGATCTTGAGCGATCTGCACTAAAATGGCAAGTTGAAGGAAGAATGAAGAGTTGGTGTGGTGGTGTGCCTTCTTTTGCTCAACTGTGGTGGGCGCAGGCGGTGAGTGCTCTTCATATTTATGGCGGAGCGCCTTGCCGGCCACCGGGTCAACTGCGAAGCACCGGACCCACCACTTCATTGCCCAACGATGCGGGGGGTATTTCGCCGCCCGCTCCATCGCCTTTTCGCCTGACCTGCCCCAACGCATAGTCGACAACAATCACTCCGCTACCTTTTCTCACATTTAAAAATTTGAATCATTTGTCAGTTAACGGAGGCGGGATATTTTGAATTCCTCCAAAAAGAGACGCGAGAGGCAAGGTCAGGTGATGATTAGATCGCACGTAGAAGGGTGGGCCGGAACGAGGGGAAGAGCTTGCGTCGGTGACTCCGTGGTGATCCACGGTGATCAAGTCCTCTGTTTGCACGGGGATTCGGCCTGGCTTGCCAAACCTCCACCCACCTCCACACCATCAACCGGCGAAGAATACAGCTCCCGGGAAGGTGCGTCGGCAACAGCTCCATGCAGCGCGGTGAGCGAAGCTGGTGATGGGCGATGTAGCGTGAACGAGGTCGACCCTGTTGATGATGGTTGCCCTCGGGCTTCGTCAATCCACGCCAAGAAGGAAGATGATCTCATCGCCGCTTCGTTCCGGATCCAAAACAGAGGAAGAGTGGCGGACAAGCATCCTGCTGGAAGTGAGGGGAAAGTTACGTCCTCGTTGATCGCTAGCACCGTCGTGCCGTACCGCGTACGCGCATCGCGGTCTACTTGCGTCGGAAGGAGGTGGTGCGCGAGCTGCCCGTCTGCGCCAAGTGTGTGCGGTGGCTGGTTAGACTTGGAGGAACAATCGTGTGGCTGAGAGCAAGGACCCACGCACCTGCCCACTCAGGGAGCTCACATTGTCGAATCGGCAGAGCTGCCATTTGCTGAGGTGAGGCAGATCCACGCGCTCAAACCCGTCCTTCACATACGCTCGCTCGCTCTCTTCGATGTAGCCCTCCACTTGCTCGTCGTCTTGGTCATCGTCTTCGCTCTCGTCCTCGTAAGAGAGCTTGCGGTATCCCCAGGTGCGCAGGGGGTCGCCATTGAGCCCGTCGCCGGTGTGGCCGATCAGGATGTACTCCTTGACGCTGGCCTAGCACACGACCACCACCGGATCAACGCCGCGTACTTGCCCATTACCGACACGCGCTCGGCGCTACACCTACCTTGCTCCGAAAGTCGCTGGTCCAGTCGGCCCCGAAGGGCATCCACGCACACAGCACGATCGTGTAGTCGGTCTCTCGGAGGGCCTCTCGGTAGTCCGCCTCGCGCACCACATCGGGGAAGAGGCGCTTCATCGGCCGCTCCGAGTTGTCTACCGCCTCGATCACGATCCCGCAGTGCTCGTCTCCACAGCCTTTTTGCTGCTACGTTGTGCAAGTGTGGTGTAAAGATGGTGGAAAAGATGGCAGGATTGATTGATGGAAGGCGGACCCAGCCGGTAAGTGCTTGCCGCAGCCCGAATGTTAGCTTGCCCGTGCCGGCCCCCGCCTCTAGCACCCGGAGGGGCTTCCCATCTGCATAGTCGCTCGCGTAGCGTTGCCTGCATTCGAGGAGGTAGCGCGCCAATGCATCGATGTAATCGCTAGTCCAGCACTCGTAGATGGGGAAGTCCTGATTGTAGCAGTGGGCCTTCCATGCTTCCTGGCAGTCCTTCCTTACCTCCTCTGGCGCACCAGGCGGCGCAAAGAAGGCCTCCAGCAGTTCGCCCAAGCTTGGAAATCGACCCAAATCGCTCATGATCTGCTCCCGTGCCGCCATTTTAAATTTAACTGATTTTATTTGAATAGGTTATTTTAATGTTTCGAGGAAGAGCAACAGTCTGCTTTTCTCGTTCGCCCCAAGAGCAAGCGACGTGCGTCTTGTCCGTGCTGCCGTGGTCTCATCAGTTGACGACGGTCTTATTCTGCCTCAGTACAGAACAGGAGCCGAAAAATGTCGGACATAGGCACCCCAGACGGAGAGCACCACCAGTCGCATCAAGGTGAAGAACCCAAGGTACGCAAGGTCGTGGTTGAGGTGCACTTCTTGAGGTCTTTCGAATGGCTCCCTGAATCTGACGTCTTTGCTGGCCGGGTCGGAAGACCAAGCTCAGCCACCAAAGTGGGTCGCTTGACGGCGAAGACGAAGACAAACCGTTCAACCCCGACCTCGCGCAAGTCGACAGGATTCTGGGCGTGAAGGAGGAGTTGGACGACGATGGCAATGCGGTGACCAAATACCTGGTGAAGTGGGAATCGAAGCCCCACAACGAAAGCACATGGGAGCTCGCCACCGACATCAACGTACTTGCTACTACTTGGCGGCCTGCCCTGCTTCGATCGTGCTCTTTCCAGTACTTACGCTAGTGTGGCGTGTGGCGTGTGGCGTGTGGCGTGTGGCGTGTGGCGTGTGGCGTGTGGCGTGTGGCGTGTGGCGTGTGGCGTGTGGCGTGTGGCGTGTGGCGTGTGGCGTGTGGCGTGTGGCGTGTGGCGTGTGGCGTGTGGCGTGTGGCGTGTGGCGTGTGGCGTGTGGCGTGTGGCGTGTGGCGTGTGGCGTGTGGCGTGTGGCGTGTGGCGTGTGGCGTGTGGCGTGTGGCGTGTGGCGTGTGGCGTGTGGCGTGTGGCGTGTGGCGTGTGGCGTGTGCGTGTGTCGTGTGGCGTGTGTCGTGTGGGT